AGAGCAACAATTCGCTACAACAACAACGAGCTTCACGATCTTTACAACATTAAGTTCAAACAAGCCTTGGACTGGTCTATTATGGCCTGGGACCGTGTCTCGTCCGAAACAATTTCAAATTGTTTTCGACATACTGGCCTTATGTCAGTGGAAACCCTTACAGAAGTAATTGAATCCGAAGAAGCTGTTGTTTTGCAGGAGGAGGAGGAACTGACCGTCGAATTTGACTCGTACCTAAGATCTGTCAGCAATGATCAAGATGATACGAACACAGTTTTCGTGATTCCAGATGACGAAGACGACGGGATCCATGAGATGTTGACGCTGGAAGAACGAACGGATCGTTTGGTGAATCAGAACGTTGAAGATGAAGGTACAGTAGGGACATCATACAAAGTAAGTGCATTGATGGATAAAATCCCCTCGTCTTTATAATAGGCGAGGAGGGAGAGACCGAAGAACAAAATGAAGAAGAAGATGATGCCGATGCGAATATTAGGGCAATTAAAGAAAAAAAGTGCCTCTACCAAAGTTTTATAGATAAACTTGACATCACACACAAATTGGATATGGACATCTTGTATCTGGTAAAAAAAAGAGTTAGACTTTTGGAGTCAGAGGAGCGGCAATCAGTGAAGCTGACGCAATCCCACCTCATAGACTTTCTAAATTTAGTGAATAAATATATACTACGAATTTTTATTGGGAATACATGTTAACTCTGGACTCTGATGTATGATCCGACACTGATCGCTGGTTCGATTCCGCGTCACTAAGCATTTCTATTGGTTTATACTTGTCGATATGTCACAGCCAAGTGATCGATGATCGAATTATCGATTTGTCGATATTTTACTGCTTACCAGCCTGGTCATTTGAGAAAGTGATCGAATTATCGAAAATATCGAGTTATCGAGTATCGAATTATCGAGCGGGCACTGTAGTATGTCAATACTGATGTTAAATGAAAGCGAAAGGATTAGGAGCTAAAGTGTGGCTATATTTTCAAGTAAGGTACCTGCAACGCAACTCTTCTTCTGTATATCTCACAATACATTGACATCATAAATTGCAAAGCAGTTATCCTGGGCTACATCGTTATACATAATGAGCCATAAAACTACACTTTGTACAAAGATGTTTGGATGTGAAGTAGTAGTCAGAGTAGCCTTCATAAGAGGTGACATTAGAAATGGAGCTATGATATGACTGTAAGAGGGCGATTTGTATGGTTATGATTTTCCCTAAGAATCCAGTGAAACGACATATCTCAGAACGATGATGATCAATATGTTTCTCACGCAATCAATACTACCATGCTTTCTATGTAACAAAGCAAGAGAATGATTCCTACCATATCTACCACTTGCTCAGAAAATGAGAATGGGAGTATATAATTACATCGCAAGAGTACCGTATAATAGAATACAGACTTCTTGCAATGGTTACTGTAGCAGCATGATAAACGTGCTGCTGTACATATTACGTGGACAGCATACTACGTCTAATCATGAAAGTGTCTTGAGGACTGCACCAAAAGATGACTTTAGGCTGGTAGATTACTAAAAAAATATGCACAACGCTCTGAAGGGCACGGAGTAGCAGCCTGTGGTGTACTTTGGATGAATAAATGTTGAAGCACGCTAAGAAATCTCAGTTATTTTGCAACACTCACACCAAAGCTGCGTAGCTTAAACGTACATGCATCATCTACACATTTCCAAAATGTCGTCACGCATGTCTTCCAGCGTTTGTGTTATTATTTCACATATAGGCACTGATCCATACTTAATAGCTCTCTTCCACAGCGTTATTCTTCATATAGAATTCCGCCGTTGAATTTCCGGATCAAAATGACAGTAGTATCAGTCTATTAAGTAGGATGCCTTAGCGACAGGACTTCCCGGATTATATATCGACATATCATGGTATAAGAAGCTTCTGACTACCAATTTATTGCGCTTTGTCTCTACCATGTGCTAATTTCGATCGGGAGGAAAGGAATTCGTTGCATGACTCTTATACAATCTCTCGACAAGACATCTAGATAGCAAGTATTACATATGTAGCCGTTACATTATACGTTCCAATATGCCCACCCTTTCCTCTTCGCCTTCAGCTCCTTGTTTCCTCTACATTCGTGAACCAAAGGAAGCATTTCTCTTTAAAAACAGTGAAAACTACTGGCATACCTTATAGACTTCGAACGTTTTATATAAATACGTCAGGCCTATAAGATAATTTGAATAACTCAAAAGTGGAAGCGGACGATTCTCACAAGATCTCAAAAGTCCAGTGGTAATAATTCGATCGTTGCTGCTAACAGATGCCTGTGCATATCTTAACTACCCTGACTTGTGGCTAACAACATTTGCGGTGTTTCTATTGTAAAGTTACTGTTACCATCGTATTATGTAATCACCAAGTTCCCTTCTCGCTGACGCACTGGCCAAGAAACCTTGACACGGTGCCTGGAAGATCTAAGCGGAGACCCGTATGTGAAACATTCCACGCATAAAGCGACGCCATAGCAGCGCCATATAACGATGACAACAATAGCACTCGTCCTTCATTGCCCCTTCTACTTGTTCACTTTTTTTCCTAACGAGTATCTTTTCTACGCTCAAAATGAGCAAAAAAAAAGTTGTTACGTCACGCGTTTAGCGGGATTTCAATTGTTTTTGCTCTCATGGTCATAAAGAGAGTCGTTTTTCCTTTTTTTTTCTTCTTCACCCGCGTTTTTTAAGTTACCATGTCCCACTTGAACAAATCAACCAAGTCCTCCAAGTCGCGCAAGAGCAAGTCGCGCAAAAGCAAGTCGCACAAGACCAGCAGTAAGTCGAACTTACCCAGCATGACGATGCCCAACTTGACCTTCCCAAGCATGACGATGCCCAGCATGACGATGCCCACTTTTACCCTCCCCAGCATGACGATGCCCAGCAAGGACCAATGCGGTTTAGCCGCTTTCCGCACCGTTGTTGCCCTCATTTTCCTTCTCGTCAATTTTGCCCTTGTCTTTATTGTGAGATTCGCAGTGTACCACCCCTTGTGGGCCTGCTTTATCAGTGCAATGGTAGTCATCTTCACCGTCCCGGGTTACGAGAATGCGCGCTACGATGTGATCTTTGTTGCCAAGCTTGCTGCTCTTCTGGCATGCATAGTTGTGCTTTTCGTTGCGTTCGTCTTGTGGAAGCTCGTCAACCACTTCCATCCCTTGCCTCCGATTACATTCTCGCTCATGTCGCTCCTCCCCTACCTCTGTCCCGATTCCTCGCCGCGTCCCTTCCCGCCGCCTCCTCGATCTGATGATGATCAGGAGCTAGGTGCTGCCACAGAGCGCGCGTGAACAAAAAAAAAGTACGACGACGAGAAAGCCGCGAAGGACGATGCATTCCGCGCACAAGTACGACGCCAAAGCCGCGAAGGTCGATGCCGCGCAAAGTACGACGACGAGAAAGACGCGAAGGACGACGCATTCCGCGCACAAGTACGACGCCGAAGCCGCGAGGGAGGTGCCGCGCAAAGTACGACGACGAAGCGCGAGGAGGTGCCGCGCAAAGTACGACGACGAGAAAGCCGCGAAGGACGACGCATTCCGCGCACAAGTACGACGCCGAAGCCGCGAGGGAGGTGCCGCGCAAAGTACGACGACGAGAAAGCCGCGAAGGACGACGCATTCCGCGCACAAGTACGACGCAAAGCCGCGAAGGTCGATGCCGCGCAAAGTACGACGATGAGAAAGCCGCGAAGGACGACGCATTCCGCGCACAAGTACGACGCCGAAGCCGCGAGGGAGGTGCCGCGCAAAGTACGACGACGAGAAAGCCGCGAAGGACGACGCATTCCGCGCACAAGTACGACGCCGAAGCCGCGAAGGACGATGCCGCGCAAACGTACGACGACAAGAAAGCCGCGAAGGACGACGAATTCCGCGCACGAGTACGACGCCAAAGCCGCGAAGGACGATGCCGCGCAAACGTACGACGAAGAGAAAGCCGCGAAGGACGAATTCCGCGCACTATGCCACCTATGCCCACTATGCCACCTATGCCACTTATGCTGTCTTCGTCCCTTTTTCCTGGTGCTGTCCATCACTTTCCGCCGTTACTGCCGTCGTCTCCATTTGCTCCGCTTTTTTTCTTCTTGTTTTCCGGATGTCTGTTTGCGTGCGTTCTGCTGGGGTAAATATTCGATCTTGTGTTGAGCCCTATTTGCTTGATCTGCATAGAATACTAACCAATAATATTATCATCTCGTTTCAAGTAGAGCGTACTCTGTTGTTCGGTGGTGTCTGGCGGTTTCCGCCTTCGTCAGGCGTTGGGGAGCGGTCCGGCCATCCCAGTGGATGTTTCTTCGAGGTAAAGGCAGGATTGAGTTGGCAGTGGCAGTGGCACTGCTACAGCCACCGGGGGTTGAAGGGATGTGGGGGGGCACATGGGGATAGCGATGATGGTAGAGCCGGTGGTGGGGAGGGGAACAACGCTCTGGTTGTGTAGGCAGCAGGAATATACCATCGTGTCACATGTACAGCGGCGATTCTTGACAGCAAATGACAACCCAAGGCGCCGAGCTTGTATAATTACGGTACGTACTATGCTTTCTTTAATACCTACAACCATCTTTATAAGAAGAGGCTTACTAACTGATATATCCTTTTTCCTTTCATTCTTTCCTTCTTCGTACTGCATTCAACTCGGATGTGGTTTGAAGAAGGCTACTAGAAACTTAAGGAATTTATTCCTTTCCCAGGGTTGTCATTCCAGTCAGTTCCAGCTCATGTGGATGGTGTTCCTGCAGAAGTCCTACCTGTACCAGGGCAATGTTGTTCCTCCAATCCCCGCCACCCGCTCAACCGGAGTTATCCTCGCCCTTTCCATGTCCTGGATCCCCCACCGGTTGTAGTCAGTGTCATGTCATGTAAGTCCAACTCCTTCCTTCACCTTTGCCTTGGGGATTCCTGAAGCTGGGGTGTCCGGACTGGGGTGTTTGGCCAGCGGTGTGTGTGGTACGCCGCGATGGAAAGTGTCAGCTTTCCAGGCTAGCCGAGTAAAAACTTCGGGGTGTTGTGAGAATCCCGTCTTTGGCTTGATCACATCGTCTCGTGTGGTGTTGGTGGATGAATCATGGTGATTATGCTGCTACAGGTGGCGTCAGACTTCCAGGGCTTGGTTTCGAAACGAGGATTGACAGAATCCCGTCTTTGGCTTGATTATGCCATCTCATGTGGTCTTAGTGGATGAATCTGACGGAAAGTCATGGTGACTATGCTGCTACGGGTGGCGTCAGATTTCCAGGCTAGCCGAGTAAAAACAACCTCTTTTACTTGGTGTCGGTTCGAGGATAGACAGAATCCCGTCTTTGGCTTGACCATGCCGTCTCCTATGGTATTGGTGGATGAATCTGACGAGCAGTCATGGTGGTTATGCTGCTACAGGTGGCAACAGGGTTCCAGGGCTTGTTTTCGAATCGAGGATTGGCAGAATTCCGTCTTTGGCTTGATCAGTCTATTGGCAGCACATTATCAAATACACAACATGCGAAATTTCTTTGACGGTTTTTTTCTGATCTGACGTTCTTGATCATTACAACAACACCAACGACAGCGACAACGACATCGAACAAGCGTGCGTCCAAGGACAAGCAACATTCATTCAAACGACGAATCGACATATTAGGGAAGGAGCAGATTTACTATCTACTGGTGATGCTATGGCGACAAGTACTTTTCAAACGGATGCGGGTATCTGCACTCAAGATCCTCATCAAAAGGCGGTACATACATTCAAAACTTGCATGGGCGAATTAACTGCAAGTCGTCGTGTACAAACTCTGACATCAACTATTGTGGGTGGACAAAACGACCGAGACAAAAAGACGACACGTGTCTTTTGCGCGAATTGGACAGCAGTCGCTGACCTGTGGACATCGGCATGTAAGAAATTCTGAGCTGGTCAAAAAAATCGACAACAGTGGAATATGGCAATTATTTCAGTCCGTCGGAAATCAACAAGGTGGCAACAAAACAAACGACATTCGAGGAGACATCTTTTAATATGGTGGCTATTGAAGCATAGGACATGAACTTGGAATCGGCAACAGCATGCATGATAGCTTGTCAAGCTGGTCAACGATGTTTTTTCCAAAGATGGCAACTTTTATTTATCCCTGCTTATGACAACGAAAACAACAGAGAGCAACAACCTTCAATCAAACCAAGAACAGTACTGTCTGTTGGCAGATAACCTGTGGCTACCGATGTGGCGGCAATCACACACAAGAAGCAAAAGCGACAAGGAATTACGAGAGCTAGGCAATGCACGATATGATATGACGTTATCTTGGCGAACCAGAGTTATTACACCACATATACGGCGGGAATACTCATGGCATCAACAATTTAGGCGGCAACACAGGGTCAATCGATCTTCACTGTGTGACAGCACAAATCAAGCGCAGCAAGGGCGGAAATGGTGACAAATTACAGGGCAGCAAAGGATTACAAAACTCAAACGACAGAAAAAGCAATATTGACGACACATTCGAAATGACAACAAACCAAAGCTTTCATCAACAGTTGCAAGCTATAAAAAGGCAAAATTGACAACAAACGCGAGCGACTGAATGCACAAAACAATGACAGCAAAAGGCAAAACCATCAGCAAGATTTGGGTGAAACTGACAACATTTCACACGACCGTTTAGTGGATACAAAATATAGTAAGTGTACAGTACGTGACTATTGATCAGGCCAATACTTAATTAAACAGGGAATGATACTTATATACATCTCCTCTTAGTAAACAAGGCGGCAAAGGTGGCACAAAAAGCGGCGATGAAGATTCATAAAAAACATCGGTATGTGCAGCAGGGATATCACGGACAGCAATGCTCAGAGCTTTTTGAACAAGCCAGTATTCATATTAGCCAGTATCCTTTCTGCTTTGGTGGGTCTATGTAACACGGTGGCAAATGAACAAGCAGCAGGCAGTGGCAGCAAAAACAAAAAAAACGCCCAAGGGCATCAAACAAGACATTGCCTCTAAGGACAGTATCAGCAAGTGATTGATGGAACGACACGACGGCACTTTCACAATATCAATGGCCGAACGAAGCTGGCACGTCATTCATATACAACTGTCAAATATACAACAACAAGCAAGCAACGAACATTAAAGCGCGTCCGAAAACCACTACACGACGAGGGAAACAATCAAGGTCTCTTGATGCACAGAAGAACAAGACAAGACATGTGATCAAGATCTACACACTATGGACTTCCAAGCATACTCATTGGTTTACGGCAGCAATACAATCATTAGTAGGAGACTAACAGGTAATTTGAATGTCGATGATGTGAGGCTGAAACAGAAATATGATGCAATTAGTACCACTGGGAATACATACTTATCAAGCTCAAATGAATCTAATAGTGAAAACAGCGACCAATGTAGCCGGGCATGATGCAGACAAGGAAGGACACTTGTTATCATCCTTTCCTTGTCATGCGTTGGCAGCAACAAGAAACATCACTAGAGAGAGATGGTGGCAGTCTCTATTCCAGTTTTGAATAATAGTGCAAATCAAAAAGGAGAACAATCACGTATAGTAGTATCGTGGTAAGGAAACCCAACGCACTTTATGCTCATTACTTTTGTAAACACTTGTGCTCACTGTGATTTTACTCTATCTTCTTTATTAGTGAAGGTCTCTTTCCACAAATCAAGATCCGCCAAAATTTACATCTATTCTTTGTCTGACAGATTGCTAGTAAGTTATTTTCTATGTAATGATGGCCCCCCAAAAAAAGCAAGAAATCGAAAAAAAAAAAAAAAGAGAACAGAAAAAAAAAGTAGTGTTAGTATAGTTTAAAAAAATATACAGTAATCAGCAAAACCAAGTCCGTGACACAAAACGCGAAGCTCAAGCCGATGTCAAGAAACGAAAAGGCGTCACAGACTTTTGATGGAGCACGAGGCCAAGAAGGCACACAAAAGAAGACATCAGTCGTATCATCGAATGGGCTTATTCATATCACACGCACAACAGCAGCGTTAAAACAAGTCTTGACAGATATGTTATACAAGCATATTCAGGAACCAGCAACAAAACAAAGAGAAATCAACACGCAGAACAGCCAATTCTATTATCCACATCATACACAAAAACAACGTCAAGCCATGGCCAACACGAACACGCCATCAAGTTAAACTGCACAGGACGAGCGAAGGGATTGGTAATATTGACAGTACGTACAAACAGAAAACAGCAACAGGTGCTCAAATTTCATCTAATCGTCACTATCTAACATAAAAAGCTCTTTGACGTTCATCTGTTTAGGTCTAAGACTATTTCCATCGCCAAAATAACCTCAGCAATCATCAGTGCAAGACATAGATTCGAAGCATAGGAGTTCAACTTTCAAGTCGCAACTCAGGACAACGCCGTCTATGCAAAAGAGCGAAGTCAAGATGATCAACTAGGAAATGCGAAAATACGGTTCGTGGCTCAAAAAAACAACAACAGACAAACTGACGGCAATATGGGCTACTGAAAAATCGACAACACATCAAGACAGAAAGGCAGAACCAAGCAGCGAAGTGCCTGTACTAGTACTTTTGTATAGATCTTAAAAAAACAAGCAAAAAAAAACAAAAAAGAACAGGGGGCTATCATTACTTAGGACGTGAACTTACTAACAGCTGCAGACTACACGACTCTTTTTATAAGTACTCAAGTCAAAACATCACCTAGATTAGAAATGCATATATATAATTACAAATAAAGCTCTAAATTCAGTACAAACATAAATGATGTTTTTTTCAACGAAAAGAAAATCAGTGTTTGTAACCATATGTGAGTTTCCGAAGAACGACTGCCAAAGGCTCACCATGTATGTACAGTGCCCGCTCGATAATTCGATCACTTTGGTCACAGCCGTAAGTGATCGAATTATCGAAATATCGATTTATGGAATTGGTACTCCGTTAAGAAAAGGAAGGTTCAAGAAGAAAGTATAGACACCCTGTCATCTTGTGTTACATGTAGTAATAATGTAGCTGATGTCATCTGTCAGCAAAAAACATTGTCTTCTTTACCTTATCTTTTTACTTCAATATTAAGGGCAACAACTCACTTACAAACCGCCAAAAATTTGCTATTTGCACATACAAACAGCAGAATCCTAAAGTCGGTCAACGTGCTTTAGCACAATGGGCTAAGGATGAGTTCAAACTCGAGAAACCACCTGTCCAATCGACAATCTCGCTTATTCTTAGAGAAAAAGAGAAGTATCTCGCTATGTCGGAAACCGAGCTTAATATGAAAAGAAAACGCGTACCAGCATTGCCAGAAGTCGAAAACGTTCTTGCAGAATTCGTCATGGATATGGCATCTGTTGGGCAACCAGTCAACAGGGAAAGCATCATTCTCCAAGCAAAAATTCAAGCAAGACGCCTCAACATTGTTGTTCCTGAAGGATTTCAGTATTCTGACGGCTGGGTCACCAAATTCATGAAACGTCACAGATTAAAATCACACGGTATCCATGGTGAGGCTGGCTCCGTTGACATCGACGATGAAAAGATTTAAAAGCAGCTTGAAGAAGTCAAGGCCAAAATAGCCGAGTTTCCACCTGAATGCATCTATAACATTGATGAAACGGGACTTTTTTACAAGCAAGTGCCACGTCGAACGATTTCGAACAAACCTATTGCCGGACGAAAAGTCGATAAAAGTCGTGTAACTGTTGTCCTTGTCACCAATGCAACTGGCTCGCATAAACTTGGCCCCTACTTCATTGGACGCTTTGCTGGAGGAAAAGATTTTGGATCAAAGCTGAGTAAGTTAATGTTAGTAAAACATGAAAAAGAACGACAGCTGATTCAATACACCATAATAGTCAAGGACTGTTACAAGTATCACTTTGCTGGATGCGGTCCAATTTTTGCTGGATGCGGTCCGGATACGGTCCTTCAATTTTGGATGCGGTCCAATTTTGCTGGATACGGTCCAATTTTGCGGGATACGGTCCAATTTTTGCTGGATGCGGTCCGGATACGGTCCTTCAATTTTGGGATACGGTCCAATTTTGCTGGATACGGTCCAATTTTGCTGGATACGGTCCAATTTTGCTGGATACGGTCCAACTTTTGCTGGATGCGGTCCAATTTTGCGGGATACGGTCCAATTTTTGCTGGATACGGTCCAATTTTTGCTGGATACGGTCCAATTTTGCTGGATACGGTCCCAATTTTGCTGGATGCGGTCCAATTTTTGCTCTCTTATTGATGGATAATGCACCTTCGCATAAAAACTTGGAAATTCAGTTAAAAAATATCGAGTTGTGCATGCTTCCTCCAAATACCACATCCCACTACCAACCGCTTGATGCAGGAATCATTGCTTCGTTCAAAAAAAAGTATAGGTACATTGTAAACAACAGGAGATTTAAGCAGACAAAGTGATTTATTTGGATGTTAAGAAAGCAGAACTTGTTGGGCCAAATCTATTTTAGGAGCATCTTATTTCGCAGAGCAACAATTCGCTACAACAACAACGAGCTTCACGATCTTTACAACATTAAGTTCAAACAAGCCTTGGACTGGTCTATTATGGCCTGGGACCGTGTCTCGTCCGAAACAATTTCAAATTGTTTTCGACATACTGGCCTTATGTCAGTGGAAACCCTTACAGAAGTAATTGAATCCGAAGAAGCTGTTGTTTTGCAGGAGGAGGAGGAACTGACCGTCGAATTTGACTCGTACCTAAGATCTGTCAGCAATGATCAAGATGATACGAACACAGTTTTCGTGATTCCAGATGACGAAGACGACGGGATCCATGAGATGTTGACGCTGGAAGAACGAACGGATCGTTTGGTGAATCAGAACGTTGAAGATGAAGGTACAGTAGGGACATCATACAAAGTAAGTGCATTGATGGATAAAATCCCCTCGTCTTTATAATAGGCGAGGAGGGAGAGACCGAAGAACAAAATGAAGAAGAAGATGATGCCGATGCGAATATTAGGGCAATTAAAGAAAAAAAGTGCCTCTACCAAAGTTTTATAGATAAACTTGACATCACACACAAATTGGATATGGACATCTTGTATCTGGTAAAAAAAAGAGTTAGACTTTTGGAGTCAGAGGAGCGGCAATCAGTGAAGCTGACGCAATCCCACCTCATAGACTTTCTAAATTTAGTGAATAAATATATACTACGAATTTTTATTGGGAATACATGTTAACTCTGGACTCTGATGTATGATCCGACACTGATCGCTGGTTCGATTCCGCGTCACTAAGCATTTCTATTGGTTTATACTTGTCGATATGTCACAGCCAAGTGATCGATGATCGAATTATCGATTTGTCGATATTTTACTGCTTACCAGCCTGGTCATTTGAGAAAGTGATCGAATTATCGAAAATATCGAGTTATCGAGTATCGAATTATCGAGCGGGCACTGTAGAAGTCGCTCAGTGATTGCAGTCAAAAGATTACGCACATGCGCTATTTAGCCAAGTCTATAAGCTTTAGAATATTAACAAATCAAAGTATATATACTCAAGATATACGAAAGAAAATCCAAGAGTGAACAGTTGTATATTTTAGTTGCTGGAAGGCCACATAGAAACAATAAAAGTTGAAAACTCGAAAAAACAAGGCCAAAGCCAAGTGACCATGTTCTATCCTCAATGGGCTACGACGATGGCCAGGCCGCTACGTATCGACCAATTTCTGGATCAAAATGTGCCCTAAGATAGCCATTACCGGATAAGCATATTACACAAAGGATAGAATTAAGAAATATCTCTCCACAGAAGTAATTGTCCCTTAAGTTTATGAAATAATAGAGGACGTTGATAACGAGCCAATTCATTCACGACGAATATACGCGAAAGTAAAAGCTTTCGTTAAATCTTGCAGAAAATATGCGCAGTAAAATTTGCCTCAATGTGATATACTGTACGCTTCTAAATGTTAAAGTTGTTTGCAACGAAAGTTACTATGTGCAAAACAGGTGTACAATCTGTCAACGAAATGATGATCGTTATTAAATCGCTTCCACATTGAATCCTGTTTTCTTCTATCCAGTAAAGGGTATAAGCCTTACCATATATATTCATAACTATCTAGCCGTGTACGATTAATAGATTTGAAAGTTTTTAAGTAATATCTCGACAAATAATGTTTCCAATCAGGTGTTGGTTTTAGGCGATAAATAAGCTTTCTGAAGTGCTTAGTTTCAGGAATAAGTACTAGCCGAGTTTTTACACCACCGTTTCGCAAGTAATTATAAAGGTCGAAAGCCAATTGATTATGTGTCGCGTATTTCGCACATACGCCTAACAGAGGCTGAGCAGATAGACCTACACTTCATCCTCCATTATGATAATGGGCCATATTCACAAGTGGAATCTCCTAACTACATGTGTATAACAGTATAGCATAAATAGATCCAAAACAAAGCATAGGGTGGTAAACTTCGTATCACGTACTCGCTTGACGGATATACCACGGAAAGTTGTAATCAAAGCAGATAGCAGCACCGACACGTCCGAACTCTGGCGTATCCACGTATTGGATTTCTTCTTTTCCCGCCGGTTGTGGCTCCTATTATGCAGTAAGGTAATTTAGAGTCATTAGTAAAGCTATTTGTACCGATAGTAGTAAACCCAATAATATTGTGTACACATACAACGAATGGTACGGGATGGGCCTTATTGTAATTAATGGCAATTTCACCCTTTGGCGTTACTAGAACCAACTTGTTCTCCAAAATGTTGGTTTCGTGGTCCTTGTCATAAGTAAGAGCAAGATACACTTGTTTTTCCAGGGCAAGATTTCGGGCCTTTTCAAGCAGATCAGCTTCTTCCTGTGGACTGCTCGCGGATCCCGTTTCCTCGGACCATACGATCAATTTGGCTCCTGCCTGTAGTTTAATCAATAAATGAAATTTTGCATGAGTATTTTACGATAGGTTACACTGAGGTGTCGTTTCACCCCTACTTCCGCAAAAAAAATATATACAAAGACATACATTAGCAAGACTTGTGGATCGATTTAACCATCGATCATGTTCTGTTTGCTGCTGCTGGTTTAGCAAACTTGGACCAATCACGCAGCCGACAGGAACGGTTTCAGGCACATAGTCAGGATACGCGACCTGGAAGAACGAGCCTCGATGGATATTGATTTGCCAGCCCCCAATAATGGATAGTAGGGAGAGTAAAGCAGCATACCAGATGGCAGGATGCCAAAGCCATCCCTTCTCGGTGGTGGCGGTAGTGATAGGATGCGTTACAAGCTGTTGTTCTTCATCACCGTCGTTGTCGGCATTATTGCTGAACGCCGGCTTTTCGGAAGTTCGGCCGAACTCTTGGACGATCGTGGCAAATAACGCGAGCAAAAAGTCCACAGCGGGTCGTCCAGCAAACCACACTGCAGCCTGTACAATGTCTGGGAAGCCAGTAATGATACTGTTGGAGTATGTGAGGATATCGCCAGCGCCCATCAAATGGCCAAAAAGGGCAAGCCAGACGCCTGTGAATAAAAGCGGAAAAACCAACACGCGTACCCTGCTGGTGACTAGCAAGGAAGTCAGCTGCGACTGGAACGCACACGTTGATACCAGCACCTAACGCAACCACTTGAATGAAGTGCATTTACCCATAACAGTGGCTCTTATTTAGTAAAAAAAATAGTTTGCTGATCGTTTCTTTGCTTCAATGGCAACGGTTAAAAAATATCCTCACCTAACGTCAACCACGGACGCTGGAATCGTTTCTCACTTTCAAGACCGTCTGGTAAACCTAGAATGGAGATCATAAAGACAAGACATTCACGACGAAAGCGATAAAGACATTGAGCCATTGCTTGCGGGTATAATGAAGCAATAGTGCAAAGTAAAACACGGTTGCTGATGGAATGGACTGAGTGCCACTGGCAAACACGCTACATAGTAAGGAACGAGAGAGGTGCCCTCGCAAATCAATACTTTTTCTTACTACAGCCACACCTTAAACAGCTATCTAGTTTTTCTTACCCCACAAAAAACAGTGGTAATACGAGCCGATGGCCGATACTATATGATTTCAGCTTTTCAGTGATCGTCATAAAGTAAGAAAAGATGAACGTCAATTATACAGTATAGACTCGATTGTAAGTTCGGGTGAATCTTGGCGCTGTGCTCCTCCGCCAAGCTCTTTTATCATTCGTGTGGAATATACGATAGACGGTGCTACCTATATCACATCAGACTTCAAAGGTGTTACTAAATCATGTGCATGTATATACAATGTGTACTATCAAATGAAGCATTTACGTCTTGCTGTGCCATTAATCAAAAGCAAGGTTCTCATAGGTATAGCGTATATTATCACAGTTTAGGACCATGCCTCAAGTATCAACGCCGTTACTATTACAGTTGCATATGTGCAACAGTGACACATGCATTTGCAGATATTGGCACTCGTCGAACAGCTTTTTTACTATGATACGTTCTTCGATAATTGATGATGATGATGGATGGCGCCTTTTTAAAGCTCTTTTACATTGAAACAGAATAAAGTTGGATGCACTGTGGTCAGCAAATTTTTAAAAAGAATCTCCACCGGCACGCCAGAGATCGCACTTCTGGTTGTATAATCACTGAATGGATCGCTCTGTTCACGGAACCACACCGGTAAATGCACAATTCATAATTTTCTTTCATAGAGAGGCTGGTCTCGTTTTCTGCAGCAAGCTGCTCCTCGAAAAGCATTTATTATAAATAGTCAATTGATCAGCCCATGCTCAGGATAGTTACAAACACTTCTTCAAGAGAGTAGAAACGAAATCAATAAAATTTATTGTACACAAAGACAGAAGAAGACACGTTTTTTATCGTTGCTTGCAAATGACCGGCTTGTATATGAATCCTTCGTTCCTCAAAGGAGAGGTTGCTCTCCCTTGGTCTCCACAAGCCTCAGTTCCAAAGGAACCTACACCTCCCAATAACAAATCACTACAAATAGAAGAAGATGGGTGAGAGTAGTTTGTCAAGGGGGGAATTACGTGTATACTTACTTTGTGAGTGCACAGCGGTAAAGAACTTTACGGCTTGTAGTGCGCTCACCTACACCTCCCAATAACAAATCACTACAAATAGAAGAAGATGGGTGAGAGTAGTTTGTCAAGGGGGGAATTACGTGTATACTTACTTTGTGAGTGCACAGCGGTAAAGAACTTATGGCTTGTAGTGCGCTCACGGATAGGGCTCGCTGCAATAGCGACTCGTGCACTGCGCCACAAAGATCCTAATGAAAATCGCAAATGTACGCCGAAAACAATAACGAATACTGATTCTGCACGTACACCCACTCGGATCAAGTAGCAGAAGGCAACCCTTCAATAAAGAAGCTGAAAAGTGGAAAAGATCTTTCGACAGTGAGGAAGAAGAAAGAGAAAGGGAAATGCGCAGTCGAGTCCAGTTCTTTTGTAGGCGTCACAGTTTGACCTGTTTGACCATCCGATGTTGCACAAGGATCGCGAACAATGGATGACAATCTCTCAAGGGCCATGCTTCACACCGATAACACCTGCACATTGTAGACGCTCCAGGCTCCATGCACACACTCGTCCCATCTCGCTACTTGGCGATCACGATGAGTTTCGTTCTTTTCTGTTCACTGAAGCTTGCCTCTTATCGGTGTACCATATGCATAAGGGGCAAGAGTCGAGTGGGAACATTTCCGAAAGTGTGAGTAACACCAAAAATCTCTTATGATTTCATGCATGAACGGTGCTTCGGAAAGTTTTTCCAGGGCACCAATTCAGATACCATGGAAATCGCTACAAGTTCACTCCAAGTAAGTCAAAATATGCCACAGCGGCCGATTCAAAGAAAGAAGTGGCAGTGACGGCCAAGGGGCACAGCCGCAACAACCAGGTTGTCGATGAACAGAAGGAGTAGAAAGGAGAGTAGGAGCAATGTGACGTTTAAAAGAAATTATAGAGCGCGTCGTCACCTGACATTGCTCTTGTCGGCATGAGTTGTTCCTTACATCCACTACTCGAAATATGTAATTAGCAAGCATGACTTTAGCTTTTGTTTGAAATGTGAAGATAGCAGTCAGGGTATACAGGATGATTGGCAGCACATATGTAGGCAGTAGCACGGACGGCAAAATAGTTTTATGTCTACTGTGACTCGTATTACGTCGTATGTTTAAGATCGTAACCTGATGTTTTTTGAAGCCTTCGAAAGCCTTGGAAAGCTTTCCAGAGCATTTAAAGATTTCAGAAAGCGAACATGAATTTCTGGCGTATGGCTACCAATGAACGTGCGTCAGACCTCCAACATCTGGTCTTTATCGTAGGCGGTCGAGTAGCTGTACTGTACCAGCCAATGTCCTTAACAAAGATGTCCTCGCTTTGCGCGCTCCATGAAACCCCTTCTTTGGTAAGGCTTATGAGTTTGCTTTATTGACAACCAATTGCTGTTGCTGCTGTTGTCGGCTGCGGAGACATTTTGGTATAATGAATGGTGTCGTAGCATTTTTCCGCCCGAGGAATCCCGGTATCCTTATACCCCCCCTACTACTGAGCGTTAAATTTTGCAGTTGGTGGCATTCCATACGTAGTAGTGGTATTAAACGCGTCTCCTCGTTCATTTTTTGATTTATCCTGAGCGTCGTAAGATGTAAATCCAATGTGGAAAGCACGGCAACAAGCCTTGTGCATCTTAGCCATGACATTCGGAATGATTTCTCGAGTAATGCATCTACTACTGGCCGCGACGAGGCCAAACCAACGAATATACGCGATAATCCCTTGTATCCATCGGACACTCCAACGGTCTTCACCACCAATGAATGCTTTAGTCAGCACGTCACAACAGTTGGGAAGCGACTTTAGCGTCTAATAATCATATCCTGTGCCTGAGTCCCCATAGTTCTCGTGGGCCCATTCGCATGCCTGATGACTTAAGTTACTGAAAAACACACTCAAAAACACACACACGGGTACGTAACAGCAGAAATACGGCGACGTATCTTTTGATTTTATACAGCGCAATACTGCCTTTTTTTTAAAAAAGAATATGCTTTTATTAATCTACATACTGCTACTACTACATACCGCTGCCACTGCCACTGCCACTGCTGCTACTGCTGCCACTGCTGCTACTGCTGCTACTGCTACTGCTGCTGCCACTGCCACTGTCACTGCTGCTGCCACTGCTTCTGCTGCTACGGGTAGTCCTGGCTGAAACGACAAACTTTTGGACGCGGCCATCCCGGTTCATCGTTATGCTCGTCGACACTGTGCACGGGTACTTTTTTGCATTCGAAATCTTGGTCACAATTTTCATGATTCAAAAGAAAAGAAAGAGAGAGAGAGAGAGGAGCAAAGTAGCAAAAATTATCTCCATGTAGTGCTTTTATATCTTTTTTTTTTGTATGAGTAAAGTTTATTTAAATTGAGGGCTCTGAGCCCCAATAAAATATGTTGCTTATTCTGTTATGGGTGCTATGGAGGGGTAACGTGCCTTTAGGTCCTGCAAATACTGTAATGCAATCGTTTGATTCCATGGCGACTCATCTAAGACTGCGCGCCAATGCATTGTCCAAACAGTTTGTAAAACCAGACCAAGCTTTTATATCTTATCTGTTCGCTTGGTCAACTGATCCAAAAAAGGAAAAAAAGAAAATTGACAGCGTCACTTACCAGCCCAGGTGATGCCATGTTACACCGACAAGCACACTCTGGACACGCCGAACTATGGGTCTGTCGTCTCCCGAGGCATTCGGAATGCAACCTCACTGACATTCCCCTTTGCAATGTGCTCACTTCAGGCTACACGTACACACTAGTCTTGTCTTTCTACATGGCTCTCACAAAGTGTCTCCACTTGTTAAAGTATGATGACGCCTTTTCTTCTACTCGACACTGAGGTTACACAAGGCCTAGACTATCGATAAGGGCGCATGACGGGGGCATTGTCTTTTGGAAAGCTATACTGGCGATCCGTGATTCCAAGTGGCAATCGGAACAATGCTTACAGAAGCCCCGCTACGCTTTGTATTCTTCCGCGCGTTTGAAAGTACAGGCGCGTGTGACATCCAGGAGATTAGCAGACTCTCGCTGTCTATGTCCCTGCGTTTTTGTACTCTGGCGGTGCAGCAGTGTCTCGTCTGTTGTGTCGCAGTCGAGAGTGAAAACGCGGCTGAATGACGGCTTTCCCCACAACAACAGCCATGCTCTGCAGATTGAGGAAAGAATACTTCTGTTCAATAATACATGGCTCCAATAAGGGAACCATTTACATTCGCAGGAGAGTCAGATACTGTATTCACGCAGCAGTCTAGATACCATTGAATCAAAAAGCGCTGCCATAGCAACTGGCAGTTTCATTTGATTCTTCTTCAGCTACCAAAGCTTTAATCACATCCATGTGCGCATCGGGCGCTGTAGTCGTGTCCTCGACTGCTTCAGATAGAAGTGAGGGATCAACATGCACAGCTGCCGTGGGATCAAATACGGTAGCAGTCGGCACAGGGCGAGTACGATCAGGAGTGTTGTCACAGGCCGTTGAACAGGTGTCGTTTGAACCTCATGAGAAGAACGTCTGAGTACAAGTCGTCGCGATGCGTCCTCAACCACACATACTCTGCGCGAAACTGGGAACCACAACACTCCATCAACAGTTTACAGTACTCGCGCTAAACCAATATGTCCATCGGGTCAAGATTCAAGGTGAAGGCTGGCCGAGGATTGAAGAGATCGGGAGAAAGGCGACTAGCCGCACGTCTGTGGACCTCGTTGTTGAGCTCACAATCTATGTCATCCATAATCCGTGAAAAATTTGGGCGATGCTTACCATATGAAGAAAAGTAGTTTGCTCTGGAACACATTCGCAGGTGCAGGAGCAGCTTGCGATAGCGGCAAGATGGGCGGCGGCGGCGGAGGCGGGAGCAAACCAAACTACGTACACAAGGAACAGATCAACGTGCGCATCGAAGTGCAACACTCAGCGCGAGCAACAAAGGCCACAAGGACGACGAAACCAGTAAAGTTACAAAGAAGTGGGTGGGCCTGCCAGAGGAACGTAATGCAACCAGGGGCGAGGACACCACACAACATAGCGAGCGAAATTGCGAAAAATTCAAGCTTTGCGATAAAAGAGATAAGAAGCTGTTAAAGAAGAAGAGATGTGCACTGCGACGGGCGACATAATCATATATTGTTGCCTACGCAACAAATTGAAGTCTCCGCCAACTTTTTAGCATGTATTTTTTATGCGTGCACCATGGTATCGCTACCGCCATGGAGATGTCCTGTACGTTTTGAGTACTCACGTTATCACTGCCTTTATTTCTTAAAGCAACTAATCATTTGGTGGCATCACAAAGGATAAACCTATTATCATCGCATAGTAGCATAGCTCGGATGACTAAACAGATTGGATGTTTTAAAAAACACGATAATTGGCGTATACTGTATGTACACTCTTTCCAGTAACTTTTTGCGCATATCCTGTGTAACACTTTGCGCTTGGCGCAGATTTTCTTTTCGCCGAATTGACAAGGCACAAAGTGCGCAAACAGCATTGATGCGGTCTTTAATTAAACAATGGATCAATGCAACAGGGTTGGTACTGTTAAGTATTGAAGAAATGGGGTCCGTTCCAGTGTTCACTCAAAGCAAACAGTACTTGACCATTGCAATAAGTGAGTGAGTAGCACCTGGGTGTTCGATCCCAGTTGTTGCTCCTGGGATAGACCCCTAGAAATAAATGATTACAGTGTTATCATTTCTATGATACGTCAAAGTGACGTGGTAGTAAATATTGTTATGTTTTGGTTGGTCTTTTAAAGTGTATCCGTTGTGTTCGTTTGACCATTGGAATCATTGGAAAGGAACTCATTTATAAATATGGAAGGAGCTGTGATATCTGACGCAAAGGAAAAAATGTTCCATTGGAAAAGATTTGGGAGAGATTCCACTCGAACATAATTTTGGGATACAGGCCTGTTACCATAACAGCATCTGATGAGCAAACTCGCGAGCACATGAAATAAAGACTACAAAGTACCCAGTTGTATTGCCGCAAAGTTTGATTTGACACGAACACACAAAGATGCGAAGACCTTGTAAGATGAAAAATAAGATACTGTATGATAAGAGGATGATATACAGAGGAAACACTTCGATGAGAACAAGGTAACATACTACACTGAGTGAGGTAATGGGAATATACTATGTACAAAAATGTAAGAATGTCACTAAGAACCATGAAGTATACATAAACATTTAGTAAATATCTAAAATAAATACAGAATATCACTTACTTTCAATCACATCTTGAATGTGTTCTTCAAATGCTGTCACAATTACAGGCCCGTGTGAAAAAGAAGACAAACCTAGATTCGCGTAAAGTGGGCTCTCTCCCAAATCAAATCTGCGCCAAGCGCAATGTGTTACGCAGGATATGTGCAAATAGTTACTGGAAAGAGTCAGTGTATGTATGATTGGAAAAAACAAATGATAGCCGATGACAGTGTTTTTATATACAGATACATAATAAACGCAGTATAGGTAATAAGTACAGTATGGCTTAAGCAAGGATAATTTTGTTGGGGTGATAAAACAGCTCACTTCAGTGTAAGGAGGCGAAAGTTAATCTATTTAGGGAGCATAACAGATGTGTCAAAGGTGCCTGCCTCCAAACGAACTTCTTTGAACTGTGCCCTTAAATGTCAAGTCGCACTTCGCACTTCTGGGACGCGCTTTGAGTGGCTAGTAGCGGCACCGACGTCGTCGCCATCTTCGGAAAAACTGCCGCTTCTTCTATGAAGTATACTTTTTTGAATTTGGATATCCTTTGATTCGCGTAATATAAATGTACACTTACTCATCCGCCTGCTCGTCCTGCACCTTGCAAAAAAATAAAAAAGAAAGAAAACATATACAGTTAGTCATTTGATACTTTTAGAAGCCGGACTAGCTGGTGGCGATAGTACGTACAGAGAATAAACATGTAAGAAGAGTTGGAAAAAAAAGTATATAACTTACATCACCGTCCGACGAGGACTCTTGCACCTTTTTTTTTTGCTGGAGTGCCGTCCTATATTTTTCGTTTTCCCTCTGGCGTGCCGTAATAGCTTCCCATACGCGTCGTAAAAGGTAATCCGCTGCCCATGAATCTGGACACGCCGATAAATCGATCTTGGGACTTACTCGCGCCAAAGCCAAGCGTTCTAAATTGGCACATGCCTTGACTCGATGTGGACGCACTTCTTCTTTACCAAATGTAGTTGGGCATACTCCAGGTGTACCTAGCGCCTTTTGGATGGCTGTAACTTCGTCACGTCCGATATTCAAAAGCTTTTCATAGCCTTTAATTGCCTTTTCGAGACTTTGACCATAGCCGGGCTGACTAGCAATCAACCTAAGGATATGATTTTTAACTACTTTGGTGGGCTTCCTTGCAGGATCCTTCTTGACGTTGCTCTTTCTGAAAATGGCTTCAGCGAGCTGGGACGTGGAAACTTTGTCCTTGCCCTTACGGCGCATCATCCTGTCGGTAGCTAATGTCTTTGCCTTTGCTGATGGCGTGTACGAAGATGCGTTGTTATTGTTGGATGGTGCTCGTGACGAAGAAAACTGCTTTGATTTCGAGGGTGGCAGTTTTGATTGAGACGCTGCAGCAGTTGAGGATGCATTGGCGGCCTTTAAATACTGTTCCAATTTCCGTTCCAAGTCGCTTTGACGCTTCAAAAGACTTTCGGTGGATTGGCGTATCCATTGTAGCTCGGCTAACATCTTTTTGGCGAATGGTCGGCCGTTCATGTCGGCATCAGCATCATCGCTACTATCACCCTGGTCAGAAGTAGTATCTGAAGATGACTCTATGCTTTCGTAGTTTGACACAGGATACTGTGGCATATAGTGCAGAGGTACTGGCGGAACAGTGGTACCGTGGGGTAGCCAAAACATTCCAGTCGGTACGGGTGTAGGTGCCGGTGTCATGCTGCCAGAGTGGCGTGCTCTTTTGCGATGACGATGGCGACGTGGTGAAGTGGAGTACATGTTTGTGTGTCTATCCGTTTGCGTATTTAGTGGGCTAGTATGCAGGTTCAAAAGAAAAGAGTGAGAGCGGGAGAGAGAAAGCAAAGGAACCCGTTGCCTTCTGTGTCAAAGAAATTTTGAAAAAAAAAGTTACGCCCAACTCATTTGTGCGACCCAAGGTTGTTTTACATCATCAACAACAACAGTCATGCTCCATCTCTATTCTTTTTCCCAGCAGCTACTGATGATGGATATACGTAAGTGATCTTCATGTTTTTATCAGGCAATCTTTGCGCTATCTATCGCCATTGCAAAAACAGAGTTATCCTACCTGTCATTAATACATGCCATTTTGTGTCTGGTGCTATAGAGCTTATAGATCCTGAAATCGTTTCTGATAACTTTACTGTGTTAAAGCATACGACCGCTGTCGTCACCGTTAATCTTACGCACTTACGTCGACTTGATTTATGACCACAATAGCTCGTGTAAGATTAAGTGAACACTGAGACTAAGACATATACCTTGACGTTAATCAATGATTATTTCCTTAGAAAACTATTGTACACTGCTACTATGCAGTCGCTAGTACATACTTAGTAGCAGAAGCAACTACACATATTTCTATAAAATTATAGCTCGATGAGGCTGTCTCTAGGAGTCACTTGGAAACAATTGCTGCCTATCAATAGAGTTATTTGACTGCATTGAGTTTCGCCTAAGCATGAACATCAATTTTTCCGGCACGAATAACCCAGCGGGATTTTGTTCGTTCCTTCATAATTTTCAGTTCTTTCTGTTCCTTTTTACAAACACAATGTCGACCGAGATTTCAGCTGTTGATGAGTGGATTACCACAGACGATGGCTACTCATTGTTTACCAAAACGTGGAAACCTGCTTCGTCGCCCGTAGCAACTGTTGTGTACGCTAACGTTCTCCTTTGAAAGCTTCAGAAACTATTTTTCAAAAGAAAAGCTGAAGACGTCTTTTAACAAGTACATAACATTTGTGCCCTGTAATAGTATGATTCATGGCTTTGGTGAACATATCGGACGCTATGATCGTCTCTTTACATCATTTGCAAAGCAGGGCATTCAAGCCTATGGTTACGATCAGCGAGGATGGGGCCAGAGCGGTAAAAAGGCGCATGAATTTGGCAACAACCATGGGTAAGCAACGACTAAATTTCAATGCAATGCTTGCAAAAAGCGCTCATAGAACACTATTTTTATGATAGCTATGATACAGCTCTATCGGATATCAACAGTGCCATCAAACGCAATAAGTTGCCCGATACACCCTTGTTCTTGATAGGTCACAGCATGGTATTTAAACAGAGGGAAAGAGTGAGAAAAAAAAAAGAGTGAATGTAAAAATTTGAACATTCACACGTGAATTTACAAAAAGGGCGGAGGCTTGATCCTGAACTACTTGGCCAGTGAGCATGATGGTTTGGATTTGGTGACGGGCGCTATTGCATCGGCGCCATTGGTGATCTTGTCCATGCCTGTATCGCCCTTCCGCTACTATCCGCTGCTGATGGCATCCAAGATTTTGCCAAGCTTTGTCATCCAAGTTGGCATGGATGCTAAAGCAATCAGTCACGATGAAAAGGAAATTGAAGTATACAATGCCGATCCTTTGATTCATGATTACGCGACCTTGGCAACGGTTCGCAGTTTCTTGGATGCCGGCAAAGCATTACTGAAGGATGCTGCTAAAATTCGCACGCCTATCCTGTATTCCCATGGTACCACCGATCCAGTCAATGATCACAAGGGCACAAAGACAGCTTATGAAGTCACATCCAGTCAGGATAAGGAGCTCAAGTCGTGGGATGGCCTTTTCCATGAATGTAAGTTTTTTTTATGGTTGTGTGAAAATTTACATGAGTGAAGAAGGAAAGATGCTGACGATATGAGATGTGCCGTACGTAGTACATAATGAAAGGCTTCCTGACAGAGATCAGGTGATGGAATACTATGCTGAATGGATTAAAGCCCGTATTCTCTCATAATAGTTCTAAAGTATACATATACAAATAACAATGATAACTATTTACTGCCACACTCCTGCGGAATCTCAGAGGTTTGCTGCTTGATAGTGGGTTCTTTTACTTCTGCATCCTCATTCTCCTGATCCTTCATATCAGCATCAGCATCCGCCTTGTTGCGGTCCTCCGTCTTTGAATTTTCATTACTTGCTTCTGATAATTCCGTTGCATTGATGCCTGACTCCTCATCAGCATCTGCAGTAGAAACTTGTTGCTCGTTCGGATCAGGTTCGGATTGCTGTTCTCCATTAGGATTGTTGTCGTCTTTCTTTCCCTTTTGCGGTCGTTTTGATCGATGATTAGGTCGATATTCAACGAAAATCTTTTCTTCCAGCGTAACTCCTTCATCCAATTCGTCGCGTATCCATATGTATATTGTTGGGAACTCGATCACCCGCTCGCCCCGAAGTAATTCCCGTATTGACTTGTCGAGATGTGGCGTCAAATCCACAAATGTATTCTTATGAGCTGCTTCTTTCTTAAGCCCAACCACAAGCTGATCGATGCCTGCATCTTTGAACTCGCGCAACTGGTATCGTATGGTTTTGTACTCGCCCTTTCCTTGTGGGTTTTCCGCAAATAACATGTTTTCAAACACGCCACGTAGACTTTTTGCATGTGGTATACTAATGTTTTCACAATTAAATTTAGTCGGCTCTTCCGTGTCAACGTTTATAGCTTCATAAAAGCTAGAGACAAACGAAAAAGCCACTTACGAGTGTTCAAGTATTTTTTGCGCTACATTCTTCCGGCTAAAGCAGCATTCAATTGTCCAATAAAGTTGGTGTTTGCTATTGAAGCAAATATTTCTCAATTAGTAACATAGAAAAAGTAGATACACAATATCAAAAAGAAAAAGAAACTTACTTGTTGCTGTAGTTCGTCTTGTTCATTTTGTGCCGTGACATTATGGCAGGCAGTACGTCATATTGTATACCCATTTCTCGTGCTTTTTTCAATAACATTTTGGAACGGAAATCCATCGACGGTGGTGCTTTGAGTCGTTCTCGTGTTAAGGTATCGGACTGTCGAGATATATCTTCAAGATACGTATAATCTACAATAGAAACAGTAGTGACAAAATCAGAAATGTCAAGACTTATGCTTTTGACCTTTTCTTTTCCCACAAGTCCCACGCGAAACCCTGGCAAAAGCAAAATGACATTACCACTCATTAAATGGGAATAGTTATACTGGTCTCGAGTCACAAAGTGCGTCTTGTCTCGTTCACCTGAGCATTCCTTCTCGTTTTTGTGACGTTTGACACAATCGACAGAGCAAGTTTGCATGGCACACCTTGGGCATGTGTATTTATGTGAATTAATTCCGCATATTTGACAGAGTTGAACCTGATCTGACATTTGGATCGTAAAGAAAGGCTATGAAAAGTCAGAAAGAAAAAGTTTATGCGAACGGTGTTGACAACAAAAGCTGGACTCCGTTCTCCTAAAATTGTCGGTGCTCTCCCCTCTTACTTCTCCAAAAATCTCGCCTAAACATTCCATAAACCGCTCATATGTCTGCAGCAGCAGGACTCGAAGCGGGCCCTTCGCAACGAGAACATCGACAACCGCCTTCAATAGCATTAATCAAAAGATGGCCGGATATCGCTTTAATTATACCCAACAGTGGTAGTATGGCAAGAGACATGGTAAAAGAAAATGTTTACCCCGTGCGTCATTATATTATATACTCAACGTGTATACGCACTGCATACACAGTTGGCCAACGAACGCAACTTTTTAACCTTCTTTAAACTCGCTTGTACCCTCGTGGTACTTGGTAAGTTTTCTATTCATTGCAAAAGCATTGACAGTAAGGGTGGTAGCGCTCACTACGGGTGTCAGGAAACGCCAATCGAACGAAGCCGAATCACTCATCAGTCTTGCAAATTCGATACAGGTTTCACGGTTTTACTGAAGTTCCGATTACCAGACGACCACGGTAGCTTACCTGATGAATGGGCAGATGATTCAGTGACTCGACCCATCGGGTACACTTTCATTGCAATCGGGTTCTCTGCACTCTTGACGGCTGTTGGCAAATATTTCAAAACACAGCGCATGCTGGCGAAAAGCATCAACTTTATTCAGGCCGGATGGGGAAGTTTTATTATCGTATCCCTTCTTTTCACACTTGCCTGTGTGGTCATGATATTGGCATCGCTCAATTCCAGCCTATTCACTATACCCTCATAAACCCAATACAATCTTTTTTTATCAATATCGTGATTTGAATGACAACGAGTAGAGACAAATGTGAGTTTCTGATGGATATGAGTTGCAAAAGGCTTAACAATCATTGTGGTTCATCAATGAATCGCTATTACGGCAGTTCGATACAAAGTATGTTTAGACGACCACTTTTTAGTAATGATACACCAGATGGTTGATTCAAATAAAGACGAGCGGGCGGAGCATGGTCACACCATAGTCAATTTATGCTTCTGACATATCAATTTACGAATTTACACGAGCATGAGTCGACGCTTATTTTCACAAATGCAAAACGATGACGCAGAAGAACAAGAAGACGACCACGTTAAATCAGCACTTCCAATTTCAAAATCAAAAGCACAACTTGTAAACGGTCAGCCTGTTTCAGGAGAAGATTACCTCTTAATGGTTCGGTAAGCATAATCATCCTTTCTCTACTTCCACTTGGTGATTTCCACGTACACAATTCAACGCAGCAGGGAAAGTAAGAAAGCAATAACACATGGTCTTTCATACGATTCGCTTATTTTTCAGAGATCAGGCGAACAAATATCCAAAAACAGTGACAGCAGCAGCAGCACCACCGCCGCCATCAACAAATTCGTCGTTGCCCGCAAGCTTTGCTTTTTTCCAAGAACCAGAACCCACATCAGAGTTTCTACTGCCTGACCCTGTGTGGCAACAGGAATTTGCAAACTCGTTTAAAATATACCAAGAGGTAATGTCGAGATCCATCTCTATTTTTTCCTCCCAACAATTTACTGGTTCTGAACGCTTAAGGTGATATTGGCCTTTGATGCCATCTTAAAAATTAGTACAAGCAAAAGAATAAGCCGAGAAAGGGAAAGGTTACATTGCCTACTAACTGGCGGGCGCATTGCTATGACAGCGAAGCAGATCAAGAGCGTCTAAATATCATTGCTCATTGCTCTCAGGTAGCATGGAAGAGAAACGTCACACTGTTCATACACAAAACTAATCATTACAAGCGTTATTTCATATGGTGATAGAGAAATATCCTGTCTCTTCTGAGAGGCTTTCGAGACTGGTTGACAGAAATGACACATACGGAAGTAAGAACAAACCTACCAGCGTAGATGTGGAGGAGCAGTGGATACTGATGTTTTGTTCCTATTTGTAGTCTCTATGGTTATATACATTACTAGTGTACTTGGATCCTGTCATGATGGCACAGCATGTTTCTGTACTAAGAGAGTTGGCACGCAAATGCATCAAGATACGAAATACGAGAGAAATGCACGATGATAACGTAGTACGACTCAACATGATTATTACCATCATTGCCAAAGTATTTGGACAGGCTGATATGGTATAAATTAGCATGTACATGTATATAAGATTTCTTTCGCATTTTCACTTAACATAGAATCAAATCGATGAGAGAATTGGTTATTATACACAAAAAGTACTAGAAGAAAGGAAAAGGAGAGGTCAATTTTTGTGAGTGCGTGGATGAGCTATAAGAAGTGGGAGGGAGTGTCAATAGATACAAAGTTATGGAATATAAAGAGTGTTTTTTTTATAGGATGTGGTGGTAAACAGAATACAAAAACGAATATCTAGAATTCGAATTCGCCTCGGAGCTTGTTGATGTCAAAACCAGCCTTGGCCTGATTAGCCAGATCCTCACGACCCATCATGACAAACGTCTTTCGTAGCATTTCCCACAAGTTACTTGACACATTGACGCCTTCTTCGTTATCCTGTCGCTTGTGCATCGAAAGGCCGGTCAACAAATGCTCTGCAGCCTCCTTGTAACAACCGATGTTGATGCAGCTGACACCCAAGTTGTATCGTGCACGGACAAATGATGGACACAGCTCCAATGCCTTGTGGTAAGCATCGATAGCTTCTTCGGAGCGGCCACTGTTGGCCAAGGTAGCACCGAGTCGATTCCATAGTAAATAGTCCTGTTTGACAGAAGCGGAAAAAAAAGATTTAGTATTCTAATACTCCTGTGTCTGGTTCATAATGAAGATTTCGTAAACACAAACTTACATCAGGACGGCCCTTCAGTGCAGCAAAGAAGCAATCAACAGCTTTCTCCAAATCACCACTGCCATAGAATAACACACCCAGACCGACTTGGACATCAGGATCCATTTGCTGCCCTTCGGGTGCCTGGCGAGCCGCCGTCAAGAAAAGATCTGTCACTCGGCCATGTAATTCAAAAGGTGTAGCAGGTGCTGGCGTACCATTGGCCACCAATTCCGGATACTTGGCGCCAATCCAGCGCTCCAAAGTTTGATAGGCAGCATGGTCGTAGGATTCGTTGGTATAGCTGACGGCCAACGACATCATGGCCGAGAAGTTCTTGGGGTCGACTTCGACTGCCTTTTCCAATGCCCGAATGGCCGGTTCTTCCTTCTCGTTTTGAGCCTGTACATTGCCCAAATGCATCCAAGCCTCCGAGTTCAGTGGATCACGCTGAACAACGGCTTCAAATGCCAACGCAGCCTCGCTAAGACTGCCTCCTTCATTAATCATACGCAGACCTTCAGCCATGGGATCGGCATGCTCGAGGTAAGGATTGACAATCTCAAACACGTATTCGCCTAAATCTGGCTTGTAGATGGATGGATTGTTGCTAAAGTTGCCAAACTCTTCTTCCCAATCCTCCGGTTCGCCCTCGTTGGCCATTTGGTCACGGATATCTTGCCATACATTTTCAAACTGGTCAAACAGCTTGGGATCCTGGGCTGCGGCAGCTTCTTCAACCTTGCGAGCAATTTCTTCGTCAGTCTCGGTAGGTTTGGCATCGAAAGCGGCAAATTGATTTTCCCATTGTGCATTATTGTCCAACTCGACGAGCTTTCCCTTGCCCTTGTCGTGGTTCATTGCAAACTCGCCGGCCCAGTCAAAGTGACGCTCGAATGCTCGCTCGAATTCAGCGCGTTGTTGTGGGTTCATGTGTACTGCTTCGGGGTGATTCATGAATTCGTCCTTCCACACTAATAGTGATAACAATAATAATCACATGTCAGTCCATCTAAACATCTATCCAGCTCTTCCTCACCCCCCAAACAATCGTCCGCTTTTTGAAATGAAAGTTTACCGGAAGCATTCATTGTCGGGCCAGCAGCTGCTCTACTTTCATGGAAGGCCTTTTCCATGGCTGCTTCTTCTTCAGGAGTGACTTCCCACAACCGTGGTCCTTGTTGTTGAAATTCGTTGGCCCACCCGCCGCGTACAGCGTCCAATTCACGATGTAGTTCTGAGAACTCAAAGGGTCGGCCTGATCCCGCAGGCCGCTGTAGTGGTCGCTGTTGTTGTTCTCGCTCAAAGAATTCATTCACCATACCATCGTCTCGGAACTCTTGTCTAGCTGTTCGCATCTGTTACGTAGTATACATCCAGCTTTAGGTCAGCTTTTCATGTTCCTCCTTCTTATCCCGGGTGTCTTTTATTTATCCAGTAATAACAACTAAAAAACAAGCAAACCTACAGACGAAGGTCCTGCTGAACCTTGTGAGGGTCCGTCAAAACGATCCTATACAGCAGAAATAAGAGCAATTAATAGATTAATCCACCAGGAACCCACAGAGTAAGCTCGTGAAACCGAATTAGTAATCCCAGTTACCCTTTGCAACGATCGATCTTGACTAAACTGCTTGAGCATTTGTGACATTGGGTTTGCACCAGCAGAGCAGTCAGCACCGCCTCCAGCCATGTTTGAAAAGGACATTATGAGAGTATATAGAGCAAGAGGGTTTTGTGGATGTAAGGGTGTGGAAAGAGAAAGTTAAAAGTCGGTATATAGAGAGAGAAAAGAGCGCAATAAAAAGGCGGGGTATATCTTGCAGGTATTTGTCATCGCATTCGTGGACCTAAAATGGCACGCTCCAAATCAAGTGGAATTTCTATTTCTCAGCATAATAACAGTGGATAAACTCTCTGTTGCTGCTCGCAAATTGCGGGGATGCGGACTGCAAACTTTTTCTGTCATTGAGTCTTTATTCCCATGACATTAATTATGAATGGACGAGTATAGCAAACGCATAGTTGGCTGCATGATGTTTGTTGAAATAACCCTTGAAATACGAAAAATATGGATATATAAGCGACAGCTTAGCTGCTACAGCGCTAAGCTCTTTACTTTTTGTGTAGTTTTCTGTTTGCAACATGGATTTCATTCGCAGAAAGGCTTCAAACGCATTCTCTAGTCAACAAGACAACAAAGCTCCAGCAGAGCATGATATTGGGCATAGGTAAAGACTTTCACACACACACAGATAGGGTACAAAGCAGCTCTTCTTTCTCACACCTATAGCACATGTGTAGTCCCCCTAGTAATCAACACCAGCAACAACAACAAGAGCTTCAGCAATCGTCTATTGGCGCTGAAGAACAGCATCCATATGCAGCTCAACCACAACGTGCCGTTGTAGGCGAACAGCAGGAAGAAGCGCCGATCCAGCATGAGCCAACCAAAGGCCGTGATCGTAATATCGATCAGGATTCGGCTCTCACGAACCAGCAAGACGATATGGTGAGCCACCGTGCTCAAGGTGGCGGTAGCCATACGCCTGTCTGGGCTAATGTCCCTATGCAGTCGAACATGCCTGCCCATGATGTCAAGCCTACGAAAGGCAAGAATGTCGTGAATAGGGCCCGTACTCTGTCTTCCACCCATCAGATGATGCCGCTTTTGCCCGCTGCCGGTTGCTTCGACTTGGATGCGCCGGGTAATGCTCCTATTATTACTGGCTATGACCATGATCGTCGAAGTGTCACTTCTAAAGTAGCTGAAGACGTCGATGCTTCGTACAAGAGCAATCTTCACAAGCAACAAATTCAACCAGCAACAACAGCTACCGCTCTAGGACGTGGTGGCGTGAAAAATGCTTCTACTGCTGCCGGTGTCGCTGGAGGAGCTGCCGGAGGAGCTGCAGCTGGCGGTATAGTTTCCAAGTGTATGGAGTACCTGCGTGGCCGAGAGTCCAAAGACGCTTCTCAAGATTGGGACGAGCCGATAGGTCCTTCGGACCATTCACAAGATAAGGATACAACTTCCCCAGGTGGCCAGTTCCAACAAACAGAAAGTGGCAAGATCCAAGACGAGGACTGGACGAATCAAGATGATGCTAGCAAACTGAGCGAGCTTGGTGAAGGAGGTCATTATACACCATCTGGCCAGAAAGGTAGCCTTGCTTGTTTACGATTTTAGGATATACTATCAGTAACTGCTCGTTATAATGCTAACACTTGCACTGCAATCTATTTAGCTTCTGGTACTCCTATCGCCGCTGGTGCCGCTGGCGCTGCAGCAGGTGCTGCTGGCGGTGCTGCCATAGCAACAAGAGATACTAACTGGACGAACCAAGATAATGCCACCAAGTTGAACAAGCTTGGTGAGGACGGTCATCACACAGCCTCCGGACAGCAAGGTAAGGTACAATTTTTATATTGAACATGAACTATTTTTAAAACCTGCTTTATTAATTAATCCTATATTACCTCAACATTAGTGATGCACTCACCTCAGGATGATGAAGGTCTCCATCATCGCCAACCTTTCTCGTCGTCATCGCAGCAAAGCCAAGGTATGAAAGAATCTTAAAGAAGTTTCCATTTTATTTGTTACTTTGTTTCCCAAACATATCAATCTTATGCATACGTATACGAAAACTAATTTAAAATAGATGATATGGCTTCAAACCGGGCCGTTATTGACGAAGATGTGAACCAACATTCCGAGGGGTTGGCTACTTCTGAATATTATGGCACTCAGGACGATTCTGTTATTGATCACAGCCAAGATATTGACAATGGCAAAACGCCCAGTACTGTCTATTCCTATACACGAACCGATGGGAAGTCGCCTGAAGATTCGTTCTATGGCCAAGCCATTGACCAACCTGGTGCTTCGCACGATATTGGTTCTGGAGCAGGAATCGGTGCCACGGCACTGGGTGCCGGAGCAGCTGGTGGTGCTGCAGGTTTAGGCGCTGCTCATATCTATAATCACCGTAACGCGTACGATGATTATCAGCGCTCTCAGCCTTTCGATGCTGAAAACGATGCTAAGCGAGCTGCGCTAGACAAGACTGATGCAGCTTATGGTAAAAAAATAACGGTGTAACAGGTATCGTTACTTGCCGTGGTACTCATTCAAAGTTTATTAATGTATAGGCACCACTTCCGCCATTGATCCTAACGCAAAGGCTGGCCAGACATACGACAGTCAAGGTGCCGGTATTTATGCTCCCTCGTCGGCAGCAAATGATATGACCATGCATGAAGATACTGGCATGAAATCTGACATTCAAGGTATAGTCAGTAATTAGATTGTTTACGGTGCGTCATGATGACCCTTTTCTGACTCAATGTATTCTTAACAGATCAACAAAAGCGAGAAGCGCTAGGTGGCTATGAAGAGCAAAATAACAGAACATTCGGTCATGATCAACTACCTCCAAGATCAGCATATGATCAAAACGATCCTTCTTCCACGGGTGCTTGGGACGAAGAAAATGCGGATCGCCCATTCAAGGCATCGCAGGACGACAGCACCTATAATCCATTTACTCAAGGTAAATACTGGGGTTTATTAGAAAGTTTTCTTTTATGCCACCAATCGTGTTCCTTTGCACCTTTTCTTTCCGCTGACTTTACAGGGGTTATAGATCGTACCGCATCTTCTTCCAAGCCATCCAATATTAATGCTGGTGATAATCCGCCATGTCGTATGTGTTACAAAGCACGTTCACAAATGAAGAGATAACCGTATTAATTAATTGCGTAACCGTATTAATTGGTTGCGTTTTGTATAGGCCCTGGTGAATTCTTGTTTGATGAGCCTCATGGTAATGCTACTAAAGCTACAGCAGCCGGTGCTGCTGGTGCTGGTATTGGAGCAGCTGGAGCAGCTGGAGCAGCCGGTGTTGCTAGCACAAGAAATAAGCAAGATCCTTCCTCTTCGATTAAGGATGGTAAGTTTTAGCGTATCCTTTTGCTTAATTCTGTTTGGACAGTTGGCTGACCTAGAACGCACTGCGCATATTGTAATATAGATCAACTGAGACAGCAGCAGCCAAAGGAATTCGATGATTTACATCCAGCCTCCAACGGTTTTGATGGCGTTGAGAAGCACCAGCAACAACAGCCTGATCAGGAAAAGAGTACTGATGATGGTATGAACAAGCAACAACAGCATGAAAAGCAAACACTGTCCAAGAACATGTCAGATCAGCACCAGCAATCGAAGGAAGGTCAGCAGCAACAACAACCGACTTGGGATGGTAAACCCATCGATCAGAACCAGTCCATGGCTTCTCAACGAGAGTCATGGTCAGCAATGGATGCACAGCAGCCTGACAATATGAACAACGTCATCGACGATGTTTCGAACGGCGGTCTTCGCGAAACCAGTGTACAACAAAACGATGGTGTGTTTGAGCCGCGTTCTACTCCACGTACAGCTGACCCCTCTGCAAAGGGCATGGGCACTGGAGCTGCTTTGGGCGCTGGTGCAGGTGCAGCTACTGGAGCTTTAGCAGGTGACAAGTCTGAATCAAAGCAACAACAACAACAGCCTACTGATCATCAAGGGCAACCAATCACGGATCGCATCGATCAAAAGGAGCAGCAAGATATTTCGAACAAACTTGAAGATCAACAGCAGCAGGATCTATCACAGCAACAGTATACAGATCAGCAAAATCCTAGTGACCAACAAGGCATGGATCAACGACAGCCAGGTCAACAACAGAGTATCTCAAAGCAGCAACCGGGTGATGCCAATCAACAACCTGTTGATTCAGTTGATCAACAACAGCAACAACCTGATCAACAACAAAGTGGTGCGGCCAAGAATGCAGGTATTGGTGCTGGAGCAGGTGCGGCCACCGCTGCTGCAGCTTCCGCACTATCTGGCGACAAGCAAGCGCAACAACCTCACCAAATTAGCAAAGATGTTGACAACAGTACTTACCGCGGTAGACAAAAAGATAAGCTTTCAAAGCAAAATGTCGATCAGGCTGATAGTAAGTTGGATACGTCAACACAGAAAGGTTTCTTTGCTGATTGCTAATCAATTAAGCGTCTCATTTGATAAATGTAACAGGTTCCGCCGATGTGAAGCAACCTCAGCAGCAGATGCAGCAAGGTAATTTTACATCACAAAAATTTCCTATAAATACATGGTATGTTGCTAACAAGAAACATAGGATCACAAGCACCATTTTCTTCAGATCAGAACTTCAAACCTAGTCATGGAGGTCCAGGTGACAAGGCATACGGTCAACAAACTGGTCCTACTTTGGATTTCAGCCGCCAACGTCAATCCGTTACTGATCAGCAGCAGTCATTGTCGCAGCAAGATCAGCAAAAGCCTTGGGAGCAGCACGATCAGGTCCCACAGCAACAGCAATTTAAGGATGCCGCTGGTATCAACACTGCCAAGTATAATCCCAAAAACACGATGAGTGGCGGAATAAAGCAGCAGTTCAATAGTATGAATCCTGCTACTGGTGGTGAAAAGCAACAATTTGCCAATGCTACAGGTCCCAACAAAAGTGGTATTGCTGGCGGTCTCGGCGCAGGTGTAGCTGCTGTTGCTGGAGGTGCCGCTGCAGCTATTGGAGCTGCTACACGCCGTGGCTCAAAGGCCAAGTCAACAGGGAAGCAAATGCAGCAGAATATTCCGACGACTCTAAACGGTGCTGTTGGCGGTGTCAATGAGAACGCTGTGGGTAACATGACTTCGCGTGAACAACAAGAAGTATCGCAGCAGCAAGAGTCTCGTAAAGCCAGCGAGGTGCCTCGGGACACAATGGCTACTGAACAGCAATCAGTTCCTGCTAGTCAGATAATCCAGCAAGGCGGTGTAATCTATCATGAGCCACAAGGTGGATCTTCGTCTTTTGCCGCCGCACCTGGCCAAAAGGCTATCTTTGTGGATCAAAATGGAAAGCAGGTTTTGCCAAGCCAGATCCAAAGCAATGCCGTTTTTGTGGATCAGACTGGCGACCGAATCCAATCTAGCCAATTGAACAAAGATGCCATTGCCCAGCAACAGCAACTACATCAACAAGAAGCTTCTACTTCTGGTCAACAGCAACCTGAATCACATCAGGCATCAACTGATATGTCTGGTCAACCTCAGGCGCAGCATCCTCACCCCGCCGAACAACAACCATCAAGTGGTGGTACTGCAGCTACTGGCGCTGGTGCTGGTGCAGTCACTGGCGCAGCAACTGGTGGTGTAATCGCTGGACAGGGCTATCGTCAACAACAAACAGGTGCTGGTAATGGTATGCCTATGCAGCAACAGCAGCAACTACCTCAGCAACGCCAATCTGTTCCGGGTGCGAACAACCCCGATAACCGCGCTAGTTTCCAGAACTATGTCAATGGTAAAATTGAGCATCGACGTGCATCCTTCAAGGTAAAAAGATTAGAGTATTATGCCACTTTTTTTGATACTTTTAAGTACGGTAGGAGTGATCAGTAGTACGAAAGTATAATTAGTTACTGATATCAACAAAAAATGACGACCATTAATGTAGGAAAACATTGGTAAGATGTTCCACCTTGAAAACTGGAAACAAGAGGCTAGAGAAATGAAAGAGCAAGCCCAGCAAAAAATTGAAGGCTATGATGCCGTACGTCGCCGGTCAAGCGCTGGCGCAGCAATGTAAATAGCAATTTTAGTGAGAACATTTGTGAATATTTTTGTAAGGAAAAAAGGTCGAAAAAAAACACTAGTTCAATTATGTACATAGAAATATATTTGTAAATAAAACGTAACGTCATGTAATGTAGTGTCCAAAGGACTCTATCCATCAAGTGATTAAACAGGAGATGCGCTCCACACATGTACTATGCCTTGTGCTCCAGCGACACCTGCGCAAATCATCATGGCATTTTCGTCAACGGCTAGGCTTGAGACGTTACTTGATGTTGGATAGGACTTCAGCAACTCGCCGCTACCAAAAACATCCCATAACTTTACAGAGCAATCACCTCCACCAGTAACCAGGATCTTGCTGTTTGACATCCAATGTACACCAGATATGCCCATATCCGAGTTGATAGGCACCATGTGATCAGCAAGTGTTTCTGTGAAAATATGTATCAAGCCCCAAATTAGGTCACATTGCTTTGTACTGCCATCCTTCTATATGGTGATAGAGGGTCCTATTGTAATGCTGTACTACTCTTCCTCCTCTCTCTCTCTCTCTCTTTACTTACGTTGATGTTTTAATCTGAACAAGACTTTATCAGGTCGTCGAATGTCCAACACAGCAGTTTCATTATTTGGGTTACCAGAAGCAACAAATCGTTCGCACGGACTAAATGTGCACAAATACATAACTCTTAGGTCAACCTCACTCTAAGCAGTTAATTGTCCCATACGGCAATTACCTCATGCGAACGAGATTCACATCCGGATGACCTGTTCGTGCTTTGATGACAGATTCAGGGGTTCGGGTATCGTTCAGGTGAACATAGCCATCACCTTCATATTCTTCGAAAGGACTGTGGTTTCCAGAAACAACGAATCTTCCCGTTTCTGATATATCAATGTCACAAACGGCGCCATTCATATTTTTGTAATATATTGCTGTTTGACCGCGTCTTGTGTCGAAACCTTGGATCTAAAAAGTGATATTTCAGTAGCCGCAAAAGGGGAGAGAGGAGAAGCATGAGGTATGTATGCGACTTGTAGGATCGAATACTTACAAATCCCATAGGTGAGGTCAAACCAGAAGATACTCCCGTGTAAAGCATGTTTTCGGATGGTCCACGACCGAACACCAGGGTATCAATGCTGGGATTCTTGGTCAGTCTTTTATCCGGAATGCATACGGTACCATCACCAACATTTCCCAAGCCGTTCAGAGTCCAAATGACTGCTGCGCCATCTCCTGAACCAGTAGCAATGATATACTTTTGCTTGTCAGGGCTTACTGCTAGCTGATGTACCTTTTTTTCATGGTAACCTTTTGTTTCACATAATTAATAAACTCGGTTACTTCTTTTCTCATCAGTAATCTCAGACCAATCTTACATAAAGTGGAAAGCATGCGCCCAGTGTATCCACACCAAACTTTGGCAGTTGTGTCATGAGATGACGTAAAAAATAGTCGCTGGTCGGTGGATGCTCGTACATCAGTGACAGTGTGCCAAACGTCTTATCAAATCATATTGTTTTTTAGACTTATAATCTTTTTTTTTTCAGTTTCGTTTAAGAGTAAACTTACCTTGGCCATTGTGCAGTGTTTTGTGGCCTTTCAGCTGTGAGACGCGTCTTTTAGACGCAGACCAGATGCGGAGGTTACCAGGCATGTTATATTCGGGTTGGTCATTGCATGCAGATGCAGCAATGATTTTGATCCTGTTGCTTTGAATATGTTTAGACCGAGAGTTGCACAAATGATGGTGATATTGACGATATAAGATCGTACCTTTTCCTCTCCTCCCTTTCTATCTCATCCTATCTTGTGTTACTTACGATTTGCCCTTTCTGTTTAGGATGTGCACAGCAAGGGTGTCTGCGCTGCCTTCTCCAAATGTATGTTCGTATTTCAGTTCCGGCCAAAGCGCCACTTTTGACATGTTGGTCCGTGATCTACCGTGATATCGCGAGCCCTTTACTAACTTATATACTGATGGTCGTTTTGTATTTCCTAGATACATATGATCCTGCCGTTAGCGGAAGTATATAACACTATGTGTAGCTGTATCTTAACTGAACTTGTAACTATAGTAAAACAGAGAACTCACTAGGTTTGCAAGATATGATCACTGGTGTTTTGTACATTTGTTGATGGCCCTTTTCCCGATCATCCCAAAAACGCGCACAATCCACTGCTCTCCGACGCGTCAACTTGAGTGCAATAGACTCCCATACGTTTCTTCCGTCAATATCAAGACCATCTGCCTGTCTTTTCTTTGCTTTTGCAGTATAATGTTCCATCATGCTTTCGATAAACTCGATTTCCCATTCTTCAAAAGGCCAATGTAACCAGTCGCCGATCTCCATCTGAGCCCAATCTTCCCATGTTGCATGGTCCCAGACCGAACAAGGTACATATGGTTTTAGAGTCTGTTGTTCTGCAACAAGTGATGGAGTCTGTGAACGACGTTTTCCAGCATAACGCGTGCGTGTTCGTGTTAATTTAGCTGGAGGGTGCTGCTGCTGGTGTTCGTTAATACCGCTGTTTTCTTTTACTGTAGTGTCGAGCGCCGAAGCCTCAAGGGGACCCATCACAGACACATCGTAGGCCTCGATCATCGATAAAAGAACATCAAGGTTCACGTTATTGGGTAAATTTGTCTGCATTGATGGCTCTTTGGCCTTGTCCTGGTGCATTTGATCCATACTATCACCATATGCACCAGAGTTCTATGAAGGAGTTGGCAACGGACAAAATTAACAGAAAATCCTACCCCTTCTTCATCTTAAACTTCCACCCAGTCTCCTTTAACTGTTTTACTACTTACCATTGTCAGGTCCTCATCCTTAATATCTACATCATGGATCAGCTGGCTCCAGTCTGGCGGTGCGTCATCTTCCTCATCAGGCGCAACCATGGCATCCAATATTCCAAAATCCGTTTCTGTTGTCACAGGTTTGGCCCCAAACAGAAGTTCCGAAGACGAGATTGAGCTATTATCGTCGTCATCATCATCCTCTGCAGGATCTTGATCCATAGGTTCTTTTGACGGTTGTGGCAATGGTGATGATGGTATGACTTGCGATTGCAACCCAGTTGCTAAAACTTCCGATCTTGGTATTGTTGCCGTTGGTGCGCTTTGTATTACATCAATAGAAGATGTAGATTGCTCGCTGGAATGCTGTCTTTTTCTAGTTATATGCGGTTTGTTTAGATTTTGTACAGTGATCTCCCCTTGTTTGGAAATTTGAAGTGTTGCTTGATTTTTTGGCAGTTGGTGTATAGTCATTCTTGGTTTCAAAATTGATTGCGCAAGGATTTGCTGGGCGAGTATTTGATTACTTGACGATGACGCGCTAGATGCACGTTGCTGTTGCTGCTGTATCTGAGGACGTGGTTGTCCTGGTTGTAGAGGTAGGTGTTGTATCATTGACTGCGACTGTTGTCGCGATGCTTTATTGATTGTTCCTTCTTCCTTCGCAACGGGTTCCTGTTTTTGGTGCTGCTGTTGCTGCCGCTGTCTTTCTTGTGCTTGCGCGTCATTTACGATTATGTCGTCCTCTTCATCGTCAAGACTGATCGGATCGTCAACCGTTTTTCCCTTCTTCCGTTTCCCAGCTACAGGTGAACCTTCCATTACAAATTTCACGTCGTCATTGTCCTCTTCATCACTGCTAATCACGATGAGATTTTGATCTTGTGTTGTTGCTACTGCTGCTGGTGACGCGGATGTCACAGTCTGTTGTCTTACTGGCGCTGGTGTTGGCGCTGGTGTTGTTGTCGGAACAGGTGCCGGAACAGGTGCCGGAACAGGTGTAAATAGTGTAGGTTGAACGTGATCACGCGTTGGTGTTGGAATTGATATTGGGGTTGGAGTTGCTGTCGGTGTAGGCATTTGTGGTGGCAGAGGCATTTGTGGTGACGTTCGAGGGAACAAGTTGATGAATTGCGTTCCTGGAGGTGGGTAATGTGGCGGCGGTAATGATCGTTGCTGTTGCTGCTGCTGCCGATTGGCTGACTGAGCTGATTTCCCCCGCTGTTGGAATTGCGAAGTAGGATTCCAATCAACAAATTGATATACTTGGTTGTTATTTGAAGGAGGAGGAGGAGCGTTATGCGCCTTTGGCGGTTTGTTACCCATAACTGCCATTCAAACAGGGCGAGCTTCCCGGTTTACCGCAAGCTTCTCGCCTTCAAAACGGCGGGAATTAAAAAAAACCTTTTTATACAAGAGTAACGGATTGCATAATGAAGGATTCTTTCAGGGACAAGCATTCGAAGGTCGATATCGCATGTTTGAACGATAAGGAAGGGCAATTAAAATGGCGTATCATCGGTTGAGGAGATGACAGATTTAACCTCATATTCTTTGTGCTCGTCTTGATGTTTAGAGTCTAATAAGTTTATCGCAAAAAGGAAACGGCGGTCTTCCGTCCTGTCGCTTATTCAAATGCTTCTGTGAACTGACTTCACTCCTGATACCTATTATACTGACATTATTGTCAATACATATAAGTAAACGCTAGGCAGGTATAGTATTTCCGTCACCATTGCCCGCCTGTTTCATTGCACATACTACTTTAAAAGTAATTGCCTAATGGCGTTACTAAAGAACAGGCGCTATGCCTTGACGTATATAATCTTACACTGGCATCATTTAGAGAAGGCGGTAGTTGCTTGGTTTCTTTTCTTTTGTTGTCGTACTGTGAAAGAAATAGAACATGGTTTTTTTCCCTAATTCAAGCTACTACTCCTATCATTTTTTATAGTACATGACGACCTATACGAGAATTAGCGATGGCATGACGTGCTCAAGTTGGTAAATCCCACTTTTATAGCGCAATTACTACCACCCATTATATCATCCGCTTGTCAAACCTTCCAAAAGACTGTTCGATGCAATACCAACTGCCAATTTCTTAAAAAAATTCGATACTTAATAGTGGTGATGACCAGCACAATGATGTGGGTGGAGGGAAAAGGTGGTTTTTCTTGTATATATGCTTAAAGAACAATCAATCGCATTTTAAATGTGATGAATTTGACGAATGCGTCGCCTGCTACTAAGCAGTGTGCACACATTCTCATTCAAAGGCAATCCGACCCTATATACTGTATGATTTGTTTTAAAAAATTGCTCTCCCTAATTTATGTACTGTTAATGTAACGCAGGTTAAATGAAAACAGTGGATTTTCTTGCTCATATATACAGATACGCTCCCTGTATTTTTCTAAATATATCATGATAAGATGACATTTAAAATACTTTTATTATGCCAATTATGAAGCACTTTTAAGAAAACCGAACTTACAGAAAAAATACTGCTTGGTAGATCATGTCGATAAACAACGCAATGAACGGCTGACGTCTGCCGACGAGCGGCAGTAACTGAAGCTTAGAGCAAGAAAATCAAAACAGATTCTTGAACGTAAATACAACTGTATTTTTTGAAAAAGTTATTACAAAGAGAATAAGATCGACGAGTGATTCTTCTTTCTACCTTTATGATCTATCGTGCTATTACATTTCTCCTTGGCTTTCTTTTCCTGTTTCCACAACCCCAAACATTCCAGTTTCTTAATGTAGTAGCATCTAGTACTTTATAAATTTTCTACAATTAATGTAAACGTGAATCGAAAAGTCAAGGTAACAGAAAGGTTCAAGATCATCCCTCCCTTATACTCGCGAGAAATAAAGCTTCGATTAATCATAGCAGACGAGCAGTAATGATAACATGTATCCAAGAATTCCTGAAAATAGAAGGATATATGATGAAAAGCTGCATCCTAAGTATCTTCATTTGCAATGGAGCGAGAAGCGACGGGATGAAAGTTCATTTATTGATCAAGGCATCACCGATCACTCACCGTTCATTTAATATGTGTGCGTGTTGCATTAGAAGAATCAAACGTGGAAATGATACATACTACTAGCATCGGATCATTGTTATTGGTCTTGATAAATATTTCATCGTAGATATGAAGTATTCCTTGAAAAAAAAATTTTATTCGTCATATATGCAGTGTACTACGAAAGCACAAGAAGAATCATATTTCATTTGAAGTTGAGAGAAGTCAATGAACGAGAGTAGTTGAGAGGGGAAAACCGAGGAGGAGAGTGGTTGTTGACGTCGCTGTTGTAGAATTTTCGATAAATTGCCTGGCAGGTAGACAAAAGTGACGATGACGACATTGAAAATGATTTAGTAAATCCTGCATAATAAGTGGTTATTTAAGCTAAAATGTTCGTAGTGCCTCGTTCCATTCGCCACTCCCTCCGTCTCCATCCCATATACAGCCTAGTATACAGTAGAACAAAAGGAAATGAATTTAACTTTCCTTACGAAATAAACTATTCTTCGTCGCGTGTGGGGGTAAGATGAGAAGGAGAGAGTGAGGATGATATACAAAAATAAAAGCCAACAACGGTTGTGGACTTATTATGTAAGAAAACCTTCTGAATCAAGGTACAGTCCTCTGTGCTTACATACATTGTGGTACCAGCCAGTTCGTTATAGCTAGTGTATAGAAGCTCTATCTTTTACCCCTTTAAAAAAGTGAGAGAAAATGTTACTTGCATCCGTCAATCATCTTGTATGTGATCAGTTAAGTTGTCCCATATGTAGCGTAAGTCCGTCGACGACTATAACAACGCATGCATAATCGTTCCATCGCCACATTATCACAGTATAGTTATTGTAAAGTTAAATCTTCTATTAGAGCGAGATGTTACTACAAGCACAAACAAATATAAAAGTAAGGGTGAATATCTACAGAGCACTACGAATGAACGTCTACAACAACTATACTTCATGAGGCATTGACTTTAACCATGCAAAACTATGCAAATGGTTGGGGTAACAAAGAGGGAGGAAGGCGAAAAAGCCTCAAACCATATACTACGATTAAGCATCTCATGATGCGTTACTGATCGCATTCTCATCTACTATCTTTATCATATATGCTGTCTTGACGGATATTCAACAAGTTGCCTTTGTAATTGAAAAAGGAACTGTATTGCTTTCGCCATGTGGGTTATTGTTGTGTTTGTGAACTGTTCCTGATTTCAGATCACACCGTAGCGTACAGGAAAATGACGCTTCAGGTACTCAGTAATATGACGCATGACAAGTACGTAGCATAAACGTTTGTGACACACACATGTTAGGCGGCGGTACAGCTATTGGTGATGATGATTTCTCTGTTTGGGGCGAGAAAACTGGAAGAAGTTAATCTTGCATAGTGGTGTCAATAACAATAGCTCCTTTTTTCGTTGTACTATATAATTTGGAAGTGCTAGAAATGTCAAAGCGATTAATTCGTTGTTATTCTTCTAAATTAAATGTATGTACGCAAAAGCACGGCACTACATAATTACACGGGACGAGCGTACGTACATATTTATTCCTTTGGTGTTTTTCAACCGATTTAAATCTGAATTATCCAGATGGTTTTTGATCTACTGTATTGTCGGTTCCAATTCTGATTGATTACGAAGAGAGAAGGAGAGAGCCGGTTGTGCACTCTCATGATATATTCATTGTATTAGCCGACCCTACCGCTTTTATTATGGGTCAGCGTCAGCGTCTTTCTTGTCTGACGACATACTGTACCTATTTTAATTGCTGCTTTAACTTCAGAAACAAAATGTACGTTCTATTAGCGTATTACCACATACCTTACATAGTGTAATATTGTAAAAAAATTAACCTTTCGATCATGATATCATGCATACTACAGTAGACCCCCCACAAAGCGTGAGATTGCAGATTCACACAGAGAAAGAAGGAGATGGGGGAAATTGAAGGAGCTGACGACCCGCCGGAATGATGATGCAACAATTCGCGTCATGTATTATAAATAAGGTTATCACATTCGGGGGTTGTTTTGTATGTAATGTACGAGGTGCAGCAGTATTTGCATTGTATGCACCTCTTGTAGTACGCAATTATGTAGTAGTAGTAGAAGTAGTAGTAGTAGGAGTAGGAGTATAACTGCTGTGATGAATATTTCAGAATGAAAAAAGCGCGCGCGAAAACTGTGTCATGAACGTGGAATGAGTGAGTGAGTGAGTGAGTGAATGAGTGAGTGGGTAAGTCCACCCAATGAATTAGAAATCAAAAATCAATACAAATGAACCAAAAAGGCAAATTTGCATGGTTAGCGTGTTCGTACTGAGGAATGGATGTGTCAGTCAAAAGCAGTCAAACAACCTCTCCTGCCGTATTTAGGAAGAAGCAGCTCTATTGTACTAGTTGGGGGTGCGCCTCAAAATCCTCAAGTAGTACATGCGACCCCTCCTTCTCACTTATGCTCTCTCCGAATTCTCCACCGCACCCCTTCCCCGATCAATCCAGAGATTTTGCTTATAATCAGGGAAACGCATGTTTCTCTATTATTCCCCAGATGAAAAAACGTGCGGGGGAACGGAGATAAGGAGAGGGGCGTGTATGTATGCGGGTGTATAACTTGGGGATGAGAAACTACAACGACAATAAATAATCTGGGAAGAAAAGGAAGGTAAATGGAAGATGAAGAAGAATGCGGCCGGGAGAGGTAAGAGGAGCAGCGGCAGCAGCAGGGGACAGAGTTAATAACAATCAAATAAGCAAAATCGTGAAGCATTTCTAATTGACAACAAGGACAAAAAAAAGTTGATGGAAAGGAGGGGGGAATGTATATTGGATGGCCAATCTAATTGCTCCCAGTTTATTACCATGTCGTCATGCGCGAAAAGTGCAATATACGTAGTAGACCCTGAACGGGGAATCGAGCTCTAACAAGGCAGCTGCTAGAATGCTAATCGCGGTTAGTGTAGCCCATGCTTGTCTCTCTTGTATGATAGCTTGCAAGGTAACTCGACCCCACACTCACTTACCCACTCACACCTAATACACTAAGCACGCCCTATGCGTATTTGGCATAGTATATAATTTTGATGGGCGCGTAGAGGGGGATGGATCACTCAAAAAGACAAGCAAGTATCAATATTAAAGTTCATGGTTTACGACGTATGGTGTATATATTGTTTTTATATGTAACGACAGAAAAGAAAAAGAAAGAGATATGATGTGTTGTGTGTATGCAGCTGTATGAAGAAGAAGAATAGATAACGGGTGATTTGAAAGAAAAAAGAAAAGATAGAAGGCTACTACAAAGAATGATATAAAAGAAGTATTTACAAGCAAGCAAATTTGGCTTTAACCAGCAGCCATCTAACAATAACTACTACTTCATCGCATAAATAATATTTTTTCTCGGGTGGATTGAGTGTGTAATGTAATATGAAGGGATCGCACATAATGTATATGATGTAAATAGAAAGAAGAAACGTTTGGCATAAAAAAACGATGGCGAACAGACTGTGATGAGGGTGAAAAAAGATGATGAAGGAGAGGGAGAAAAAAAAAGAAAACCGTTCAACGATAGGATTGAGGGAGAGGAAGAGAGATGGAAGGAAAGAGTGTGAATTAATGAAGGGAGGCTGCTTTTTGAATGTTGTTGTTGTTGTTGTCGTCGTCGTCGTCGTGCTTGTTTTCGACCAAAGCGAAAGTGAATGACCAGTCCATTGCGAAACGAGAGGAACATATAGTAAGTTATGATATGTACACGCAAGATGTTGCACTTCTTCCCCGCGGTGGGCAGAAGAAGTAAGAAAACAAAGAAGATGATTTGGTGTTGGTGTTGTAGTTTTTGTTGTGCTATAGTATGAGTGCTGTGTGCGAATGTCGTTCAACGAGCAGTAGTAATAGTAATAGTAGTGTTGGAAATGATGAAGAATGAATGACGGACAACAAAGCTGTCAGTTCGTTGATTGATGCTTTTTCGTTTGATATCGTCATCGGTTATGCGTAGAGTGGACAATCCGACGATGCGTGCATTGTTGACCCGCAGAGATAACAGACCTTGTGGGTCGTATTTTGGCAGGCATTGACCAGAGTCGATGATGCGGCATTGACCACACTAGATGTTTTATCGACGTTTCGCTTGATGTTGTTGTTGTGCTGGCAGCAAGACATATTGGCTCTTAATTGGTTTTTTTGTGTGTCGTTCTCGTTCTTGTAAACGTAAAGGATAAAAAAGGCTTATAGAAAAGAAGAAAAAGAAAAGAAAAGAGAATTATAGGCGATTTATCTTATAGAAATCGTATGGCCTTTGCTGTATTGGAAGATAATAGAAGTGAGCAAAGAAAAAAAAAGAGAGCGGGCTCGTTTTGCCCAGCGAGTTGCTGTCTTTTATAGAGGATCAAAGAGGAGGCTTTCTTTTTCTTGGGGGAGGGAAAGGGTGGGGGAAACAGGGTGTGAGTGGTTCTTTTCGGGGGGTGGGAGAAAAGGGAAGAACAAAGGCGGTTGGAAAAGTAAGTCACCGAGAAAGATTGAGGGAAATTACCTTTTGATGGCAGGTTCTGTTACACCGCCCAGCCCTTTCGACTTACTTGTTCAACTTGAATAACAGCGGTTGAGTGGGTGATGTGTGCGCTGTTAGGGTCGAGATCGGCAAATTCACGCTTGATGTATTATCGCCAATACACGTGGGGGGGCCGAACAGTTACACATATTAAGACTCCATCTCAAACCTGCCCATTCGTTGCACTGCCATGCTGCTCAAGCTCCCCCAACGACATCCCACCGAGATGTTCGAGAATCCACATCGAGGGAAAAAGAAGAGAGATAGCCCTTACAAGCCATTTGGCACGGACCACGGGCCGTCTCTCTCACAGCGCACATTAGTTTTTGTTCATTGGTAGCTCAATATCAGCTCATGTTTCACTCTCTTCCTTCCTTGCTTCCTTCGTACTTGTAGTGATGCTGAGAAGAGCTGCTTCTTACTACTGTTACTAACCACATAAGACGTATGCTCAACGGATACCAAGTCTAGATTAATACATGACGATCTCAAGCAAATATTACGAATCGAATGTGCAAAAAGGAAACGTGGGTTGTCTGGATCGCGCAGCTTATGATGGCGTGAACGGGGATCGACGTCTTGTATTATGTCTATAGAGGATACACCGACCCCGGGTGTCCCTCGTCTCTCTCCTAATGACCGCTCCCCCAATAGCCATGCACTATTCAAGAAAAATGATTTGCGTGTGTGATTGTTTCTGTACGCGCAAACAGCCCATTCCATGCCCTAATATGTTTGTAATAATGACATGAACCGACTTTCTGGGTTACACCACACGCGTTTATCTATCCAAGTTGTAGTCTTTCGTGCTTACGAGAAGTACAGTCTGTGACACCAACTATTTTATTATCATTATCGTTGATGATGATCTTTAACCCGTGAAAACATTCTTATGTCAGTTTGACGAAACGGACAGTGCGAATGACAATAGAATGACATCTTTTTTTGCCCTTTTTACCGACTTGGCGGTCCGTAGACAGACTTTCCAAGAGGGGCTCTACTTTTCTCTATTATCTTTTTGTGGTATGGGGGGGGGGTGCCGCGCTGAGGTGTGTGTGCAATTGGAAGGTCTGTGAGGAGGTGTGTCTATCCTTGTGGGCGAAACACAGCCACTCCGAAAGCAACGAACCGTCATTACACTTGTTCTTCCATGCTAACATTATCATTGTTTGTAGATGACACTTTTTACACATTTTCTCCAACATAAATTCTTGCTGTAGCAAATACAGTAATAATATAATGCATAAACGGAAATCATGATAGAAAAGCATGTCATATTTTTGGCAAACATAGAGAGGATCCCGAATCCGATATGATTTGCTAGTTGCCATGGAAGGACCCGAGAAAATAGTTGTCCTAAACCTTGTCATTTGCTGCTATGGCAACGCAGCAGCACCGACCAAGCAACCAACCCAAATCCGATCAAATAACAACCATCACAACCCATCAGAGCAACAACAAACAAGCTGACTTGCCGGCTACGAGGTTGTTGCTGTGTAGTAGTAGTAGTAGTAGTAGTAGAGCCACGAAGCGTCCAAGTGGTCCATCCAAACAAAGTTGCTGTGAAAAGCACAAAGAGCGAGACACTCTTGTGCGACGACAAACACCAATCTCCCAACATAAATATTTTGCGTATAATAACCAAAACTTGCCTTATTTGTTGATGATTGCAATGCAGAAAAAGAAAATCTTTGATTTGCCATGTTTTTTTGCCAAGCCGGGTTTGAGTGTGTGTGTGGTGGGGGGTGTTCGAGTGAAATTATAGAGCCAGGGGTGTGCAGCGATCTCTTTACCTCCTGCGATTAGGTAGAAAGCTTGAACTGTTGGTGTCACAAACAATGGTACAGCTTATCACATTTCAAGAGCATGATACATACGATACCATCATCACAGTGGGAAGTAGTACCACATTACAACATATTGTATTATGACAGATACATGCGATCATCAATTATTATTATCGGCAATGTAATTTACTTTGTTTCCGCAACGGATCACACGTTTGTTCATCATTCATGATCGGCTCTGGAAAGAAACAAAAAAGTACCAGCTAGACTCGAATGGTCCAAATGTTCGGCCTAGTTTTCTTTCGATCGGATCTCCCTTTGCGCGCGGCTTTCGCATTTTATTCCCACTTTACATCCGACCGGCCTCTATTTTTAAGGTTACCTCCGAAGATGTACAAGTCAGAAACTTTATGTACCTCATTTCATTCATATATGCTGTGCATCTTTATATATGCATTCACTTTTATGTGGACAATAACTTATGTCATGATATTGGATAGAACATGTAGCTTTTTCTGTTCTGCCATGTGCTTTGTCCTACACCGACACCGGAAAACAATTCTAATACATAGGATATACATCCGATTATCTATTAGTAACGCTCTTAATCATTTTCTAATACCTGCTATGACAGTCCTTGAACTAATGTGTTTATAGGTTGAGGGCTGATAGACAGATAGTATATTTCGGTAAATCCTAACCCCGAACAATATTCCGGGTGTACGCATGCCGGAAACAAAAAGTGGGCTGTTAGGGCGATATCCGGACTGAGGAGTTATTATGGACCTGAGTTATCGCAATCGTAATGACCCTGCCCATCAGTTTCAACAAGAAATCGTAAAGTCAGAACTTGTTCACCAAACCATTCAAGCGATCCATCGACTTGTTCAGCAGTACCCAAGTGATTTTGATCTGAATTTCCTTGAGCTACCAACGCAACACCCAACGCTTTCAGTTCAAGAGGCAATCAGTCAACTTTACAACGACACAATCTCTTTATATCACTCACGCAATGTCACCTTTGACAACCAATGGGTAAATCAGGAAAACGAGAAAAAAGTTTGCTGGAAATGTCTTCTGGTTTCTCTAGAGAGAGCTCGGCGCGGGGTGGGCTTTAAGGGGTAGAGTAAAAGAGATAAGTCTCGGCTGCTTTTGTTGGTTCTGCTTTTCACTTACATAATGAATACATGTATATAACGTACATATAGCACTGGAACGTAGCTTGGCGGCAAGCCCTATCATATGAAAGCATAACTGAATTAGCAGATGGTGACACGGCAAAGATTGTGAATTCGTTTCATCCGAAAAGTCGCAAGTCTCTGGATGCTATTTATAAGTATGATCTAGCGAGGTACATGCGTTGGTATCCATGGCGGTGGTTTTCAGACTTGGTCTTGATAGGATCAGGTGGATTCTCGGCTGTTTATGCTGCAAACGTTTCATTACTATATGATGTATCCGAGACCGGACAGCGATTTGGTGCACGGCGTCGTCCAGTGGCTATCAAGGTGGTAGACGAAAAGATTCTAAATGAGGTGAGTCTTGCTATGCTATACTTAGGAAAGGGAAAGTCGAGTCATTAGAGGGCAGTAGAGTGTTGCATATGTGCATTTTAAGCTTTTAAGTAGACAATTGACACTGACTTTGTGACATATCTGTCTTTGTAACCTTAATAATATGAAGATTATAGTTCAATCCAGAGCATTCTTGGCGCTACTGTTCCATGGCATCACTGTATGCGAGAGCACAGGCGATCTGTTGATGATTGCTACGTTGTCCGAAAATGGTAACCTGGAGCATCGGATCAATAAACCGGTGCAATTTGGCTTGGATATGGTCAATGCGACAGATATTGTCATTCGTCTTGCATTCAACCTGGCTAGTTTACATGATGAAATTGGCATGTGTCATCGCAATATACATCCAGGCAATGTACTGTGTGCAGACGATGATTACTTTTTGGTGGATTTCCGGTTCTCCACTGCATCGAATCAGGCTACTGATGTCACCAAATCATCCATGGGCCATTATGGTAAACTACATGGCTTATACACGTTGAAAAGGAGATGTCGAATTCTTCATGATCCACTGACGAAAATCAATGCTATTAACGATTTTTAGGTCGGATACCCTATATCGCTCCCGAGGTGCGAGAAGGCATATATACTGAAAAATCCGACGTATACTCGCTGGGCATTATTATGTGGCAAGTCGTATCCGGAATCGAGTTTCCATCGCCCGAGCTATTGTTTGATGCTCCTGACGTCTACCGAGTCGAATGGATTCCAGGTGTTCCGGAATGGTACCAGGAGCTGATGATGGCATGTCTCGAACCACGTCCCGAGAATCGACCCACAGCCGAAGAAATTGGGCTCATTATGCGCAAGTACGCTGTATCGACTCAATCGGACAAGATGCAGGTTCATCAACAAGACTGGGTAGCTTATGCAACTCGCCGCCGTACCGAGTGTAAGGTGCATCAAGAACGCTGGGCGTCTAGCCAAACCCCATCCTATGTCAACGGCGATCGTTATCGTTTCAACAATGAATCGGGAGAACCTGAGGCTGTAACTATGAGTAGCAAGAATGAAAAGGAAATTCAAATGATGACCGCATCTCGAGTGTATGCGTTTAGGTCTTTGCCATGCACCGAATTTGTGAGCCTCCCATTCCATCAACGTCCTTTTGATGCTACAAACTGGTCAGACGAAAATTAAGGAGCAAGGCACTCGCACATTTTATCATTGTCATCTTTCTTTTTTCCCATTCCCTTTCCCCACAACCTTTTTATCTGACACAACAATAGCAACACACATTTCATTTCCCAGCTACATCTAATTGATTCCCATCTCTCCATTCAGTATTTCTCTTACTCCTGTACTTTTCTCTGTTTCACCGATAACTCTGCTATAATACTTTATAGTGTTTGTATCCTTTTATACTGTTGTCAATACAGCACAGTGAGCCATATCTCATATATGAAAAGTGTGTGCGGGAGGCATAGTGCTACTCAGTTCATATGGCGTGTGCCTATTATTGAGTCATGGAAAATAAGAATTTACATAGCAACACGACAAGCAGTCGATCTGTGTTACCTCTTCCTTCTGTGCCTTGTACGTACCTAATTTTTTTTTACTTTAATAAACCGCTACTTCCAGTAACAACTACGATCTATTAAACAAAAGCGAAAATGAATCCCGCTGACGCTAATTACAACTGGGGAAGCTCACGCAAGAGATACGAATGGCAACAGGGTTATGCCATGGGCATGGCGCCTCGCGATCCAGAACTTGAAAAAGATCTCTTTGGCGAAGAAAACCACGTACACAGTGGTATTAACTTTGCTAAATATGACAGCATTAAAGTCAAGATTCGAGGAGATAATGCCCCCCCCGCATTCGATAACGTGAGTTGTCTTTGGCACGTCAACGGAAGTGAAGGCCTATAGATTAAGACTAATTTTTTATTTTGTTACTTCTGACCACAATCAGTTCGCGAATGCAAACCTCCATCCTGTAATGAAGGAAAATATTCAGCTTGCTCGGTACCAGGTCCCCACCCCAGTACAGGTATTTCACTAGTTTCTAAAAGTAAAGAACTGGGAGAAAGGATATGTGATAATGCATGCATAATGAGGTGGTTGTCCGTTTGTTTGAGAACACTTTCTCACTCGCCTACTTACTATTTAGCGTCATTCAATTTCCATCGTCACTGCGGGTCGGGACCTGATGGCCTGTGCTCAAACTGGATCAGGCAAAACTGCAGCATTCTTAGTTCCTACTTGCTCTGCGTTGTTCGAGCGTGCTCCACAACTTGTTGCACGTCCTGCAAGCAGATACGAAGCACGATCGTTCTCTGCAAAGCCCCTTGTTCTGATCATAGCACCCACTAGAGAACTGTGTACACAGATTTTCGACGAAGCACGTCGCGTGAGTATTTACTTGATGCCATTGTACACGGAAGAAGTAGATGGGGACCCAGATATCTCGTTCCTTCATGTTGTTGACACGGATATCAATAATGATCTTACTTTCAATTCTTGTTAGTTTTGCTATAGAAGCATGCTTCGACCATGGTATGTTATTCAAACGTATATAGAGAAATGAAGTTAGTTGATGATGTGGCTTTCAAATAAACTAACTCAAATGCAATAGTGCTGTGTACGGTGGTGCCGCCTACCGTGGTCAGGAAGTCGAACTCGAGAGAGGATGTGATGTTTTGGTAGCTGTGCCGGGTCGTTTGATGGACTTTGTTGAAAAGAGAAAGATTGATTTGAGCCATGTAATGTTCCTCGTTCTGGATGAAGCTGATCGTATGCTTGACATGGGCTTTGAGCCAGTCATCCGAGAATTGGTGGAGCGCCGAGGTAGCTTATTTTAGCGAGACTCAGTGTTATGCAAATGGGAAGGAAAAAAGTGGTTTGTACTCAAAACATCCTTTTTCTTGATAATAGGTCTGCGCAGAGAGCGTCAAACTCTCATGTACTCTGCTACGTTTCCAAAGGATATTAGACATCTTGCCAGGGACTTCCTGCGACCTGATTACCTTTTCCTGCAGGTTGGCCGTGTAGGTGGCACCACCACCGACATTACACAACGGGTAACGTATTATAACAGACTTTCGTTCTTGAAGCGAGAGATGCATATCCTTTCCTGAAAAGTCTGCTTTCGTTCATTTTAGGTATTATGGGTTGAAGAATCTCAAAAACGTGACCAGCTAAAGCAAGTACTGATGGGCCAACCGCCTTGTCGAACTCTCATCTTTGTGGATACGAAGAGAGCCGCAGACTCGTAAGTTAAAAAACAGGGCACAGATTGGCAAAAAGAAATAGGAAGAGAGGGATGGATGTGGCTGTAGTAGTAAAAGTAGTGAACCATAATGTTGATACTGTAATCACAGGCTGGATCAGTTTCTGTTCGAGTCAAAATTCCCCAGCACATCAATTCACGGTGACCGAACACAGCGAGAGCGCGAGGATGCGCTGATGGCGTTCCGGGCTGGCAAGTGCCCCATCCTGGTGGCCACTGCGGTTGTAGCTCGTGGTATTGACGTCAAAAGCGTCATGCATGTCATCAATTACGACTTGCCACCCAACATTGACGAGTATATACACCGGATTGGTCGTACCGCCAGAGTTGGCAATGCCGGTCTTGCCACCTCTTTCATCAATCACAACAGCATGGGTATCGCTCGTGACTTGACCAAGGTCTTGCAAGAATGCAAGCAAGATATTCCTGACTGCCTGAAAAGCTACGTGTCTCGTGGTGCCCTGTAAGTATAGCCGCCAATAATAGGGGAGCCAAGAAGATTGAAAAAATTACTAATAAGGGTGGATGTGTACATTTTGAATCTATAGATCCTTTGACGATGACGATGACGATGACGACGACCTCCCACAGCACAACCAAATGCGTTACTAGGTGGTCGGAAAAAGAAACAAAGAATAAAAAATCCAAAAACCCTTCTGCTTCTTCTATCTCTCTTTGACACCTGTCATCTGTCAAAAAAAGTCTAGTTTAGATCTTAAAATATAAAGTACAAAAAAGTACAAGTAATCAAATACATGATATCTTTGGAAAATATGTTACAAAATGAGACAGAGTTGATGGTTGGCATGATAGGAGGGAGCCATGCACAAGAAAATTTGACAGCCAATTTGTACTACATGGTTTTCTCTTACAAATCATTGTAAGTGAACTTTCTAGAGTCTAGCTGCAGTGTCACTGGACCTAGATGGACGGCAATAAATGCATGTCAATATTGGCTTGTGTGATCACAGCGGATATCCATTGATAATTAAAAGTAAATTGCACCATATTGTACATACCATCATTGGCGATATCAACAACCATCATGGCACCAAATACGCCATCTAGTAGTAGTAATATCGTGAAAGATATCAGCTTGTGTGCCACCTTGCAAGTATCCAACAACCTATTTCCACTGCCATTTTCCCCTTTCACCTCCGTTCCCCAAGCAACACAAACGCACATGGCTTTGCCTTTTCCCACATGGCTGTGTATATCGTGGCCTGATCTTTATTTTTTCATTATCTTACCTTTGATTTTGGCTGGGTCATAAGCCTGGCCCATCTTTGTCAGAAATTTCTCGTACATTGCCTTTGCCTGGTCCGTCTTCATGGCTCGGTGAAAGTCCGGTTTGTTGCCTTGTTTAGCGCAAAATCAAAAGCATGTGAGCCTCAATCCTTGTTATTTCGTACGCAGAGTTGCATATACCAGCGGGTAAAGTAAAGGATCCTGCAATTTACCTTTAATCGTTTGTCCTTGAAGCGTGAATTGGGAGACTAATTTGCATGTTCGTTTTATTAACAGTGACAGCTTTTATTTCTCAGGAGCAGAACATTGGAGAGCGAATTCCTCGCTTATTGCCATGTCTTTCTATTGAACTCACCACACAATACCTCGAGGCCAAGCTCCTTGACACCCTTCTTCCACATTGTTCCTTGTTCATCGTCAAACACTCGAAGGTTTAAAATCTTGTTGATAATGTAATCGACATCCTTATCAGTGTCATCGGTGCCAACGCCAACCAACACACAGACACCTTTTTGGATTGAACTCACAACCTGCTGATCGACTGCGCTATCCTCATTTAGCTTCAATGGTCTTTTCTTTTAATTTTCCAAAAGTATAGAAAAGTCAAGGAGGGAGTAATGTGGGTTTAATATGTAAGAGGGGAATTGCTTGCCCTAAAGTCAGACAGACGCACCAGTAACACTTGCTCGAGCCACACGTTGTAAAACTGCTCTCATGCCGGATTGCTGCTTTTGTGTATTGTTGCCGTTCGATCCGAGAATAAAGCAATATCGCTTCAGGAACGGTGACCGGAGACTAAAACCGGGGTGCTCGCCAAAAGCGGCTTTCGGAGCTCGATTGCCTCGATGAAGCAGCAGCAACAACCACCACCATCCCTATCGGTAGTTGGCGTTCATCTTTTACGGGGTAAGTAAGAGTATGTGCATGACTTTGTCTACCAGCTTGTGATGCTGAATACTCCTATTCAATGTTTTATTCTGTACATTGTCTATAGAAAAGCATGCACCTGGAGCGGAAAGATCTTGGGATGGGAGCAAAGCGTGGTGGAAATAGAAAGAGCTGTGCTTCCCTATTATGTAGAACTGTATTTGATAGTTATGGCTGGAGCATATACCAAGATCGATATGTATGAACATCCTTTTTATACAGAGTATATACGAACAATAGACGACACAGACGGAATGTCTGCAAGGGGCTGTGGCTTGTTTCGCTTGCTGTCTGTGGTGTATGCGTGATGGATTGCTTGCATGGTAAACGATAATGCCATATACCTTTTCACTTATGCATGATCACAATAGCTCAGATGACAATAAATAACAAGTATTCTTGAGACAGGATCATATGTCGCATTCGTATCTGTTTTCAGCAATCTGCAGATTGAGAACCGCATGAAATACACTAGTCGAAGAGTTTAGAAAGAAGGTATCGACTTGTGTTCACAATAACAAATCCAATTTCCGCAGATCTCCCTCCCCCGCACACAAGTCGGTTATGGTAACGATGATGACGTGAGGAAGATCGACGCATTTTTGCGCTGCCCTCCCTATTATTATTTCTTCCGCCGTTACCGTTTCTTTCTTCACATCAAGTTGTCGATAGCATGCATTGCATTAAACAGCGATTGAGCTAGCGACAACACGTCCATATGTACATACTCCTCCCTCACTGTTCGACAGCGTACGCTTACCTTATCTTTTAGAGGAGGCGATTTGAATTTCTTTTCTTTCTTCCGAAAAATGAGGGGCGTCATGCATTACACGCTATTTTTGCTGCGTAATAGCCGTAATAATATCAGGGGGAAAAACTGCACTGCTACTGGCAATTGCTACGACTCTACGCGTAGCACTCCTCACCCCTCCGCCATTTACCGCTTCCAAATACCAGTAGCTTAGTAGTAGCCGTGACTATAGTCAAAATGGTTGAGATACATAATGATCAAGTTCCGCCGCTGTCCAGGGAGTTGTTGAACTTTGTTTTGCCACATCGCTTATGCTGTGTATTGAATTCTTTGAAAGCAAAACGACTTTTCTACATACTGTACTGTACTATCCAAATTTTGTACACTGAATGCAAAGAATGCACAAGTACTTTTTTTTCCTTTCACCCTTCGAATTCTATCTCCTTCAAAAAAGTAGTCGTTGAAGGCGGTCTTCAAGGTCGCTATAATAGTAGCATGTAGCGGTCGCCTAAACCTACAGCAACGACATGTACATTGTTAAAGTATCTGTGCCATCCGGGTATATCATGCTGTTACCCATATAATATACTTCTAGAGTACTGCAAAAAGGAGCGACGACCTTGGAAGGTGCACTACCACCCGTTGTGTTGAAAGAATTGTATTCGCTGCGCCCCTTATAGGGAGCTTTACTTTGGAGAGCTCGTTTTTGTGTTCTTTGATTAAGGAGCTTAGACGCAGCAATTTCAATAATAGAAAATTATGTGCAAGAAGAATAACCTTACTGGACCTTCTTCGACACGAATACGTTGCCTGCACTTCACAGCCGGACTATCACTTTTTCCACCAGTAAATGGTTTGTTTTTGACGGCTGAGAGACCTACTTCGGTTAGACCCTTCTTCCACATGCTGTATCTTCCTTTCCCTCTCCTTTTGCTGAAAAACAACTCGGCCCCTTTTGCACCAAGTCGTTCTTTACTGCAACCTGCGTCTGCAACCCCTCCCCTCCTCCTCCTCCTCCTCCTCCTACGTTCTCTTTTACTTTTCTCTAGCCCCATCGGTTGCAGCGTTCTCCTTTTTCATAAGAAAGAGGAAAATAATTGTGAAATAGAATAGCCCTTTATTGAATACATGAGCAGCAGCACTATCACCACCACAAAGGCGCGTACGATAGACACAGCGAGGGGGAGGGGAGACAAGGACATGTAGCCTTTCTCTAACAGTATAAATAGCGGGGTAGTCAACCGTCGAATTCGTTTTTACTCATCACTACACATCTGTTCCTTGTACTTTCAAGACTTCACTCACACACAAAATCTTTTAATATGCGTTTCTCGATCATTTCCGTTGCTGCCGCTGTCTGCCTCATTGCTGGTGTCCAAGCTGCTCCCGCTCCTCCAGCTGATGGTGCTGGTGCTGGTGCTGGTGCTGCCCCACCCAACCCTGTTTCAGCCTTGACCGACGGTGCAACAGGAGGACTTCCTGTTAACACCAAAGCTGCTTCCGGTGCTGTTACTGGCCTTACTGCTGGTACTGCTGGTGTCCCTGCCACTGGTCTCCCTATTGGCAAACGCGCTGCTGGTGCTGATTCTGCCACTGGAGTCCCAAACAGCACTGAAGGTTCATCTGGCACTGGTGTTGGTGGAAGTGAAGCATCCTCTGCAGGCAAACCCCAAGGTGCAATCCACGCTACCGTTGATCAGACCAAGAAAATTGCACAAACAGTCAAAAAGGCCGCCCAAGCCAACGGTTCCGCTAACGGTGCCGGATCCCAAAAGTTGACTGGACCTGTCGGCAACACTGTTGGCCAAACTGAAGGCAAAGTTGTGGGCAACGGGCAGCAACCCGGTCTTGTAGGTTCTGCTGCCCAGGCTGTTCCTCAGTAAAACATGTCACTAAAATCCCCCATCGCACCTTCCTTTCCAATTTACAACAAATGTTACTTATCTCCTTTGTTTCAATCCCTTTTGTCCTTTTAAAACACGCTATTAGCTTATACCCTTCTATAGCTAGTAGTATTCCGACAAAAGATGAAAAAAATATATTTTGCCTGTTCGAGTTTATTATCTTATATACACAGTAATACATTTATTGCTGCCTCAGAAATAATCGTGGTGAAAGGATAATCGTCTATAGTAGTCTCATCATCAATCTCTTTTTCTTGGGCCAATATTATTCTTCTGTATGATAAGATAAACTGTGCGATTATGGAGTTAAGTGCTTGTAGATGATTACATTGAGATAACAAGCCGTAGCTATTCAACAAAGTATGCATTACTGTACATTCACCGTTGCTGCTATCATATAAGCAGTTGTTTCAAAAGGTGGGTGACGATCTTCTCTGATAATGCCGTTATTCGTCCCATTATACGCTGTAAACTAATTTGAAAGCAAAAGCACTCATGGACTATTCAATCGCTAGAAATAGAGAAAATAATACACACATCTGCCCCATGCGATTTACTAAGGATGCACAATCCATGCTTTTCTGCGAGCTATTTTTCAACTTCAACAAAAGTGCTAAATACAGGGTAGTAGATACAGTCAGGACATGACGGGTTTATTTGAACTAATGAAGGGACGAATAAGAAGGGTGCTGCTGCAAATGGAAGAAGGACGGAGGAAAAGATTCAGGCCAGCAACAGAAAATCTATCTATTTCAAGAAGTACCGATATAACAAACCTGTATCAAATACATACAAGAATAAGGAGGGGTCGCCATCATGATGATGCTGACACACAGAGATGGGATGACAGCCATACACAGCCTGTTGCCGTAATGCGTTCTTCTGTTCGAAATAGCAATTATGGGCGGATAACAAGGAACAACACAATATACTATCAGTTCTTGGACATCACATAGTTTAAAAGTTAAAGATCGTTTTCTTTTATGATAACGAAATAATAATACCCAGTAGTACTGTACTTTACTGCTTTGCGGTCGCAAAAGAGCTTCTGTATGCTACAATGTACGTACATATCACTAACAGGGGTTCTCTCTTTTACCTGTGGATGCCACAGCTTGCATAAAAGGAGGTGGACGCTTAACTTGGTAGTCAACAAAGCGAACAAGAACAATTGTGTTTCCGATCAACCACTAAGAAGTTAATCAAAGGAGAAAAAAATCTAAGGTTAAAGTTAACAGGGGTTGCCGCTTGTATGTATGTACTTGAAGCTGTAAGGAAAACAGAGACAATGACGAGGAGCAGGTTTTCTTGATCAAGTATTCCTAGAGTCCCTAAACTGCTTAGTATAGAAAGTAAATAGTTGTGTCATTACGAAAACTTGATAAGAGTGCTTTTACTAAGAAGCTTTATACTATTTGGCATGCATCATAATGTTACAGAAGATAACAGCTTATGATTTCAGGAAACAAGAGTTGAAAGCCACCTAATGTCAGCTGCAGAGGAACGATGGAACTTGCGCAGCAGCAAAACAAGAGCCGAAAGAAACGTGAGGGTCAGCAACGTTCCGTAAGCGCTTTCCTACTTAGTAGTCCCATAACGCGCGCAGGCGATAAGAAAAGGAGTAGTATTTCAGGTCATAGTGAGTATCAGTACAGAAAGGTATTAAAACGGTGCGACTTTCACTGCAACGAAGAAGAGGGCTTCTTTTTTTTGTCTGTTATTTTGTCACATACGTCTTCCCACGACCGTAAATTCAAAGCTATGCGTATTGCCATCTCTACTACCCTTGCTTGTGTACTCGTTGCAAGCAGTGTAGCCAATACAGATCCTATGACAAGACTTCAAACGCAACACTCCGACTTGTCTCCCTCAAAGGTTTCCGGTGTCGCAAGATTCATCCCCTCTTTACAACAAAAAACCGCTACGACCACCGTGCAGCCGCAGTTTATCAAGCGACTTCATCGGCGACGTACTCGTTTATTGAAAGCTAGAAAGGAACAGCCCGAAGAACCCGAAGAAATAGACGACGATGAAGAAAAGGGAGGCTCACACACAGCTACAAACGGATCAGGCCACGGAAAATTCCTTGAACCAACTGTCCACACAACGACCGATGGGCCTGTCAGAACCGTCACTCAAACAGGCGATAAAGTGATTGCAGGTACAGCTCCGCGAAAAAACACCTTGGTCAGGACAACCGTGAGTGATTTGAACCGTGCTGCTACTGCTGGTGCCAGATCTCCGAGAGCGGGGAATACCGACGATGAAGCTGGTGATGGCACAGCCAGTGATGCCGTTGATGAAGAAGAAATAGGTAGACCCGACAGCGCCTAGTTATATACTATTTCCTAAATCAGTACAGTATCGACTGCCTATATATTACCCATTATATGTTTTTTACTTAATAATACAATTAAAAAACGCTGATATTATGTGTTTCGCTGTATGATATGGAATGTAATAATATGTTAGGGCTACAAGTACTGTACTATTTTTATAGCAGTTGAGTCGAATATAAAATAGGCACACTAGAATATCTCGTGTTGTACATTATAAGAAAAGTTTGGTCCTCGTCAATTATTCTGTTTGCACATGCCATCCCTTCTATAACCATCGACATGGTTAGTCATCTGATAACGTGGCAGTTACTATAAAGCTTGGCCATACAAATGCTACCTTTAGGAGCAGACGTTTTATTGTAGGCGAGAACATAGATCACAGACAATGAATTCAACAACAGCAACTACGACGATCACCTCCAGTGCACAGTCAAGAAATCGTTACAATAAGAGTAGCATGAGCTCTCAGCGTACTACTATTAATGCATTCAGGAGCTTGACATTAGAATCTGTGTATGTAGTCGGGAACGATGCAATAAGGAGTCCTACAAATAGGGTGCCTTATTGTGGCAGCTTTTTCATTGCCAAAATATATGTGTTTGAGTGCAGTAGATGATAAAGTAACTGTGTCAGCGGAGGTTTACATCTCTTGTAAAGGAGAAGACAGAGAGGGGTTTGGGGAGTAAGAACAGGAGCCACATCGGTTGAGCAATACCTCTATCGTTCAGTAGAGCAAGAAGGGAAAGTATTCGGGAGATAACATGCAGGAGTATATAGGCGCTAGTAGGATAGAACTGAAAGCGAAAACGAGAAACCCACAAAAAAAGAAAGCCAAGAACACTATACGACGATGTAGGACAGAACAAGGGATATATTGTGGACAGATGAATACTGTCGACGACTACTGCTTATACGACTGTTCCCGAGTTCACGCAAACCTAAAGGTGAAATATAAAGAAAATCCACCCTTTTGACACTTGTCTTTTTTTTCTCTCTCTTTTCTGCATTTTTTTTTAAATTCTTTTACTCTAGAAAAACTAAATCAATTTGCAGTTATGCGCTTTTCATCCATTGTTGTTGTCACAACAGCGATCTGCTTCGCAGCTACTACTACAACTAGTGTCGTCCGTGCAGTTCCTATTCCAGCCGAGGACAGTCCAGATCCACCAAGGGTTTTTCCAAAGGGCGCTCCAACACCAAATCTCAGTGCTGTTGTTCCAGACAGTCAAGGATACGCCGCAGATGGCTCAAAGAAACCATCCCCAGTACTTGGTAACAGCAAGATCACTTTACGACGAAAAAAGCGTGATGCCCCAAAGACAGCAGGACCGATTGGTACTGTTTTAGGCACAGTAACGCCCGTCGCTGGTGCCGCAACCAGTCCCGTTACTGGAATGACGACAGGCCCTGCCAAAGGCGCCACGATGGCGGTGACTGGTGTACAAAGTCTCCCTCCTGCAGGCCCAAGCGACCTTGATCTAGCAAAGAAAGTGGCCGAAGTTGAAGCCAATGGTCAAGCCATTGCTGGAAGCGGTGATGCTGCGCTTGGATCGGGACCACCAAAAAAGCAACCATAGAAACATTTTATCTTTTTCCACTTTATTCAATTGTATACGCTTTTTCTATTTCTTTCTTCTTTGTAAAAGAAAATAAATCATTCACTATCTAGTAATCTCTACTTACGTTATATACAAGCATTTAAAATTTGAGCGATCCTCAATATAGTAGCAGCTCTTAGCATCGGGTCAAAACCAAAAGCAAAACCATATGCTCGTACGTAGAATACGGTGCCAGTTCTTTTTTACGCTGTGTCATCAACAACAACGATATCACAGTACACAGGTTCAACTGCAAGAAGCCTAAACCAACTTGATATTGGAAGACGCATATTCGCTCAGATTATATCCAAGCCTAGCAATTGCATATAGACTTTAATCATCAGATATGTCCAAATAGAAGAGAAGGGAGACTTGTTTTTGAAAAGAATAACGATAAATCACTTTGCTTTACAGGTCGTGTCAGCGGACGGGTAGCTAGTAAAGAGACGTAGGAGCTAGAATAGAAACGACAGAAGACAAGAATAAAGAAGGGAGTGGTGATGAAAGGAGGAGTGGGAGAGAGATGCATAAGTCGTATACATACTTTATCAGCACTACTGAGTTGACACGATAAAAGAGTAAGGAAGGAGATGTTGGGCAATTCTGATCTTTCTTTCTCTCTTCCCCCTCTCCCTTCCCTCTGGGTTACATTTCTTTCAACTTCAACCGTAGCCATCATATCACCATGCGCCTCTCGTCGATCATTGTCACCGTGGCAGCAACAGCTCTACTCTACTGTACAAGCACCCAAGCAATCCCTGTTCCGGGTGAGGACGAACCACGGCCGCCAGCCCAACTTATTAAAGGAGGTATTCCACCCCAGATGGATCTCACCGCTTTAGTGCCAGGAAGTAATAACCCCGGTCCTGGTGGTTCAGCAGCGCCGATTGTTGGAAAACTTGGAGTTTCACTGCGGCGACGGGGTCAGAACGACGACAACGTATCCAAGTAATAACCCACAACAACAACAGCACCACCACCACCAAAAAGCCCAGAAACATATATATTGTAACCTACGACCTTGATGTTGTGCATACCTACGAGTAGGAAACGTCGGTGATCACGATACATTCTACAGAAGGAGGGGGGAGCGGTTATTCGCTCGCAACACATCGTCCTCTTTTTGTACTTTTGTAATGCGTCTTTCTTTCTTTTTTTACTATCCAACAGATAGCTTTTATAATATATTTTCACGTTTTATTTCAACAACCAAGAGTAATGATTTGCAGCCTGTCATAAAAATAAGTACATGCCTCTGAGCGTTGTGAACGTGATTTTTGGAGTTTGAAAATGACTTGTCAAAAGCAAGATTTGAAACGAGAACCGGGACGCGGTTACACGACTCTCATACATTTTGTAACTACTTATCATGTCTCTCGAATCAGCCATTGAATATTTGCAATCCAAAACTGTTCCATCCGTTCAGCTTTCGCCACCAGCAAAGACGATTAACGATTTGCTGCTTGACGCCACCAATACTAAACACAATAAGAGACAAACACGCATCAGAAATGCTGAAGCACACGAACGTCAACTTTGGAACATGAGTGGAGACGATGCTGTACTTGGAAGGTACTTGTGCAATACTCTCTTCAGTTTAAATATGTTGTTCTTTCAAACGTATACATGGCTCATACATTTGGGCTCTTTTGTAATTCAACAATACTGTTTCGTCCAGACATCGTACTGCTTTAGATCGTGCAAACTTAGCGGGATCTGGTGGACCTCGAGACTTGGAACAACTGCTGGCAGCTGCCTCCAACTTGAATAAAGTGTGGTAATGTTCTCTCTTTTCCAAAAATTCATACAGACCAGACATAATCGCTCACATATGTCTTTGCATAGCAATATAGCGGATATTGAAGATATAATTGAACGACTTCGACAAGAGCAGGATACTCATCAGACTGACCTGGACTATTTGACCACGACTTTCAATGAGGTATTTCCTGTTTATTACCACTCTTTGCCTATCCTCCCCTCTATCCCTATGGAATATTAAAATGCTTGTCGAAAATTAGAACAAAATTGAGATGGAAAGGCTCAGAAAGCTTGCAGCGAAAAGAAAAAGCGATAAACAACATGATCCAATGGAGATTGATCCTGTACCAGATCAGGTAAATATAAATCGGAATAACAGCTAATAAGAGTGTGAAAAGAAAACTTAACGTTTATTTAAAAAGAAATCCGCTCAAGAAGCAGAGCGACAAGCTCAACTGGAGAATGTAAGTTGTTTTATACTCTATCAAAGTGTGAAACAAAACTCACACAGACATTGTATCTACAGGAGCTGAAGGAACTGGAATCCAGTATCGCTCGAAGGAAAGAAGAACTCGAGCAAGCATCAGGTACCTGAAGCACATAGTGAGAAGGAGCGAAAAACGATAGGATTGGTGATGCATATTCGGGGAATGAACACAAAAAATCATACTAGAGGAACTACGTCGCTATCAAGAACTGAAAGTACCAAGGCAAGAACAACCTGCGATATCGACCCCGGTGCCTCCTTCACCTGTGCAGGTTACAAATGACTCATCGTCCAACCTACAATTGTCCCTTCAGGAAATTTTAAAAGATCCATCTGCTAGCACTACAGATAAACTCAGGTAAAGGAGTGGGTTGGGGGGGGGGAAGATTAAATAAAGCACAAATGCACAGGAAGGATAGTGATACGTTGAGGGGGAGAGAGAGAGGGAAAATTGCAGACAAAGAACTCGTACTTATAGTAAAACAACAACAACAACTATAATTACTGCATGCAGCATGGTTCGGCGAGAACTTTTACGAAATATCATGGCAAATACCGATACAACAGGCATGGCCAAGGTTATGGCCAAGGTTATCCAACTTTTAGAAGCCGAGCCAAGTCATCGAATACTACTGAATGACCTAAAGCAAAAGGCTACGGACTATGCTAACGGATTTGACTTGAACAACAGCGCAGGATCCCAAGCAATCTATAAATTGAACGCGTACAAGCTCGTCATTATTGATCGAACGCAAGAGCAAGCCTTTGTCCAATTGACATAGCGGTCTTCCTTTAGTTCCATCACGACGAGGAGCAGGAGAATGAAGGGGGTCAGTGTGATTCAACGATGGACTTCATGGCCTTTTTTTCCTTCCCGTCTTCGCCGTCCCCCCCATCCTCACCGCCTCCCTTCTTCATGCTTCCTCTCCGTCTTCTCCTAGACTGGGCGCGCAGCATTTATAGAGGAAGCTATAATGCTTCTCTCTAATGTATAATCAAAACGAATGCAAGTTCTAAATAGGAGTAGTAGTAAACGAAATCTCTCTCTCTTTCTCCCTGTAGAAAAAAAGGTTGTAAATAAAACATATAAATATCATAACACTGCCGCTTATTATGACGACACGATTTCAAACATGCAATTCTTCACCGTCGTCACTGCTATCGCCACACTCTGTCTTGCCGCTGCCGTGACACAAGCATTTCCCAACAATGAGCAACTACTGGTGAAGCGAGGAAGCCCCGAAGGCGAGAAAAAAGGTGGTTCTCCGGCAGGTCCAGTCAACTTCAACATTAACGCTGCTCAGCCAGCAAGGCAATTCTTAAACAGCTTCGGGCCACCAGCAGATGATGACTAAACTGGATTCTTTTCCCCTTCAAAAATCATCATATCTAAATACCTTTTACCATCTCCAAACCTAATTTTTGTTGTTAATATACTCTTGTTATCCCCACATTCAATATATCACATACGCTATCTTTCTTCTCGCCTTTCTTGGCTTCTGTTTTGTTTTCTACAATTATACATCTCGCGAATCTTATTATCTTGTTTGTGCGAAGCAATAATCGAATACACTGGTAACTCATCCCCGCGTACATAGCATGGTTGCACTATGGCATCACATATATACTTTACTCGTTTATTGCTGAAGATAAGGGCTGTAGGCGTGTAGAACCGTAGTGATCCCAAACAGTTACTGTGTGGTGAGATATATCATACTGTACATACAAGTCTGTTTGTATCTTTCGAATCTCTATTTGTCACCTTCATACATGTATGTCCATGTCGATATACCTTGTTTGTCTCTTTTAGATTGTATATGAAATACTGACACAAAGCAACGAGCAGAAAGAGAAGAGTCATGGACACAATCGATCAATCGCAAGAGGGAAGACCGTCTCCCAGTTACACTGCCCTGTAAACATTACAGCAAGCTACGACTAAAGGACGATATATGTGTTCAATGAAAGCAAAACTGGTCTTGTTTTGCATAGTAAGTGACTCCACTATGTTATTCATAGGATACAAGAAATAAAAAAGCCCGGGATCCCCGTTGTTTTCTCATAGTGTATATAAGCATAGTGTAATAATAGAGAAAGAGAGAAAACAGGGCGATTGGGAAGAAGGGAGTGGTTGTTTATATAAGAAAAAAATATAGTAGAAACAAACAAGAGCATTTTTTTAAAAAAGTTTGGGTAATTCAAGGCTTGTTTACATATTGGCGCATTCGATCCAATTCTCGATGGACTTCTTTCCTACTAATAGCCGATCGTCGCACTGTGCTGTCTTCTGCAGTAGTTGCTGGTAAAGATGCACCAGGAGATGTGGCAGTAGGCGATCCCCCGCCAGAGGATGCTTTCCGTAAGAGCAACGATTGGAAAAAGTTGGCAATGACTTGATTTGAAGCGCCGTCGGTTCCTGCAGGGAAACCGGCCGCTGCACCTGTACCTACAGAATCCATGGGTGTTTGCATTGTATCGACGTGCGGTGGCAATGGCTAAAATATACATTCAGAAAAAAATAGAGTACGTTAGATTGATGAAAAGAAAAGATCAGATCAGAAAATGACTTACCCGTGTACCCTGTCGCTCAGTTGCAGGTTCCTTTTTCGTATAGAAGAGAAAAATAACATTTATGCATTAATGAATCATGCATCCTATGCGCCATGAATCTTTTGTAGAGATCAATGAAATCAAACCTTTTGTCGTGTTGCTCTGCTACTGTCATCCTCTTCAACTAAATCAATGGTTGCTTGCGACATATCAATGGGACCAATGACGCTTGGCCGTGAGCCTGTTGCTCCATTACGTGCTTTATTGGCACCATCGGGTCGTCGAAGTGGCCGTAACGTTTCATAATGACGTTCAAAGAACACTTGCTCGTCCTCACAAGTGACAGGTGGGGAAATATTCAAAGGCTGCTCCTCAGCCTCTGGATCTGGTATCGCTTCTTCATATACTCCTCTTGCACCATGTGCTCCTGGATCTTGTCGGTCCATAATAGCTTCAATGTCGGCATCCCATCCTTGATGGACTCCTTCACAGTCAAATCCTTCTCGCAGTACTCGGATCTTGCCCCACGAGTCCCATCCAGAAGGGACCATAACTGAATCTCGTTCAACAACTTGAGCCTTGATAGTGAATGGGAATGCTTTGGTCGCTGTGGTGAGTAGGCGATGGAGAATATATTGGCGTAGATTATGGAAGGTATAAGGGTGCAATGTGGATGTATAGAACAGGGCAGCGCCATCTAAGAGTTTTTTGTTTGGAATATCATTGCGCATATTAGCGTACATGTACATATATAAACACTATTTCGAATATGCTCTTTCACTTTTTGAATAGTGTGGTCCCCTGTGAAGCGACGACTTACATTTCATGCAGACACATCGCAGCGTTTGTTGTATAAAATCAAACTGTTCTTCTTTATAGTCTTGGGATTGTTCCAGCATGTTGAGCGCATCACTCTGTACACACACATGTAACCGATATGAGTTCGTGTAACGCTTTAGATAGGGTTTTCCTCAGTCTCAAACTCGATCTCTACTTTTACTTTACCTTGCAGCAGACAATCACTATAGGAACGCCCAAGTTGGTTGATAAGCAGCCTTGAGTTAATGGCAAGGTAACCTGATCTGCTGCTGTTGTGGTGGTAACTAAAGGTGTCGATACTGTTGATACAAAGTTCGTAGGTGTGGATGGAACTGAGCTCGTGGAATTGGATGCTGCCATCGTGTAGCCGTTAACCATGTTGGAAGAAGGTTCCGAGTATGTTTGCAGATAATGCTCCACTGCACATGTCAAAATATCGGCCAGCATCAGTACGAAAAGCAAAAAGCTTGCTGACGCTTCTCTTATTTCTTCCAGCCTATCCACTGTGGATTTCTAACATATCATACCTTTTTCTCGTAATTCATCAACAACGGCTTTTCCTTTACTCCATGATTCGCCTGCACAGCCTTCTTTACAGATTTCATCAATCACGTGCTGCAAGACATCAATCCAACGTTGAAATGATTCTAAAAACTTCCAGGGTCGGGTCCAGTCGATCGCAATGATCACAAGTGCATCCGCAAGCGTTTCGGAACTGAGGGCAAACTTCAATAATGGAAGATACTCTGGAGCAGAGAGACCAAGCTGATACATGCCAAGTCGAGCAATAGCTATTTCATATATGGATGTATAGGTAAGTGGATTCATACCTATAGGCGCCTTATATACATATGCACTCCTTTGCAGGTACCTTCATTTTCCTCGTCCTGTATATCAGTGAACGTATAGCCCAAAGCAAGCGTATTGGTCACGTCTTCATCGAGATTATCGACAGGCACATGAGCATAATTGGATGGATTTACACCAAACGATGTTCCTGTAGCGACATCATCACCGTCGACTTTGGGAGCATCCGGTCCCGGATCATGCTTTAGGTAGTGAATAAGTGTTGATTTTCCGCAACTTGAATCACCTATATATAGATTATTCACCCATTATTGTTTTGTCTAATACCTCTCACCTTTTTTTAGCTTTCTCCCATTCTCACTTTGTAGTTAATCATAACAAGAATAGTTACCCAAGATAAGAACATTTTTGGTTGGAACCATCTTTGAGGATGCCACGCCCTTCAGAATGCCAGACCATATTTCATCCTTTTCAGGACCATTGGTCTGAACAGCGGTGCCTGTGACGGAATTGGTGGATTGACTTGCTGTAGGTACGGCTGCTGGCGACAAAGACATTCCGTTTGCTAAGGAAACCGTCATTATAGTGGGGGTGCGCAAACAAACACTCTGTTTTTTTTCCTAGTTCCAAAAGAGAAATAGAAAGTAACCGGGCACACTCTAAATATGCGAAACCATCCCATCCATCCCACATTCACAGGTCCGGTCGGAGTTGATACGTCTAGGAGCCTCATTAACACAGTAGAAACATTTGACGCGATATGTTGTGCATTCAGATAGTAGATGGAAAAAGTCGCGCGCAAGGAGTAACTCTGACATTTAAAGAAACGGTATCTCAAAGGATCAAAGAACGAGTCTAAGCGCACTCTTCTATTGATGAACGAGTAACATCCTATATTTTATTTTGATATGAACGATTCTAAATTTGATGATCGCAGCGGATAATGCCTTCTTCAAGACGCCTCCAAGCTTATCTACTATCACTCAAAGTCTTTGGAAAGCTTTGACAGCAGTGTCATTTCTGCTTTCCTACTTGAGACATCCAGAGATTGAGATTCGTTGTTTTCTTTTGTATGACACTCTGTCTCCTCCATTTCCACCAGGACTGAGCATATTATTAATAGCTGAAAGGATGATGGAGACAGTCGCTAAAGAATCATACAAAAACAGAGTGACGCCAAGCGGGAAAGATCTACATTGGAAGAGCAACAACCACCAGCAAAGCGGCAGTGTTTGCATAGTGATGCTACAACATCTCATCAAAGCCCGCCACCGCATATATCAAAAAAGGAAGCAATACATTGCAGCTGGAACTTGAACCATGTTGAAAACGGATCCATCACAATGAGCCACAAAGGACGTATACGGATGTCACGACAGAATATTCAGCAGATGCGGATTCTGTTGGACCGTGAGATGAAAGCTTCACCGCAGCAAGAGCATCAGGACCAGCAACAGGACCAGCAGCTACAACAACAGCAGCAGCAATATATTGATCTTGAAACGCTTACAGTCAAGGACCTAAAACTACCCAAGCCATTTACAATCACACACGAACAGATCCGTGAAGCGACGGAAACAACAAAATTCATGGTGAGGCAGGAGAACCGGCTGAAGAAGGTATGTTTATGTAAAATTGTTGTACGCATACGTGACAGTTTACATACTTAGCTTATCTTGCTTTAATGTTTATGAACAACTTTGATACACAGCCTGAGAATTAAGAAGTGCGGAATGCTCTCCACGACTTACAACAAAACTGCTTCGTTGGCATCTGCGATCCAGTGGAATCCTTCAAAAGGCAAAAAGTCAGGCTACAGCATGTCGACGTTCTACGCAAGTTTTATTATTCCAACGCTGCCCTCAATGAACACCGTCACCGCGAAATTGCTACAAGTCGTCTTTATACGCAACTTGCGACAAAGGAACGCCAATACGTCAGAAGCATAACTTCCAAAAAGCTAGGAATCCCACCCAAGAACCTGCGTCCTGTCATGTGTGTTGGCCTTGCCGGCACAGGCGTACGCTCCCATCTACGTGGGCGACCTCGGCGCGGCGGCCGCAAGATGCGCAATGAACATAGAATTTGTTGTCGCAGGATGAATATCGAACTAGTCAAACCTGTCTCTTCTGCTTTTGTCCACTGGTGATGGCAACGGCAACCAAGGCTACAAAAAACGGTAAAATCAAGACAGTGAAGGTCCATGGCGCTCTCCAATGTGTCAACCCGGATTGCCCTGCGGTGCGTGTCGGGTACACTACCTTTAGTCGTGATTCTCTCTCGAGTACGGCCATGATCATCGCTGCTGTTACCCAGTTATTCTCCCCTACCAAATCACCTCTTCCCCCTTTCGATCCTACCAACCCAACACAAGCAAGTTTTACATTTTCACCTGCCTTTTTGCAGCATCCATCATATCATCTTTAGAAATGGTGCGCTTGTTGCTTCCATGGTTTTTCCTGGACCTGTTTATTGCGCGCTCCCCTTCTTCCCCCAAACATCGTTTGAGTGCCAATAAATTCATTGTGTCTCCAAAAAACCGTCCACCACGTAACGCGTTGCTTTTTTTCTTTTCATTTCCCTCTTTACTGCAAGATAATGTACAGACGTCGACTCGTGAAAAAGGTTAAGCCAGAATTCCCAAAGACCCTTGATGGTTTCGGCTACGTTCTCAAGGACAATGGCGAGATTCGAGACAAAGAGACTGGTGAGCATTTACTGTCCACTCGATGCAACCCGATACAAAGCTTCTTTTATAATTCAGAAAAAAACATTCAAAAAAAAAAAAACTGACAAATGTTCTAATAAAAGGTGAACATTACCAGTTTGACTACATTCCAAAGGATCGAAACTACAATGAGCTACGATACAAGGCCTTTATAGGTAAAAGTAGTCAATAAACAGGGTGCAGTGGCATCCTATATCCCAAGCATCAATAACCCCGGATGCTTTTTTTTCTGGATCTTTATAGACCTTGTGGGCGACCTGGTGGAAGAACGTCTGCAAGCTGAACCAATTGGCTTCAATAAGGTCACGATCCCTGTCGATGCTGATCCTTCAGAGGATCCTCATACCCACATTTTCATGACGTATGTTTCTATATAGACGAGAATGTGTGCACGCATGGGTGTGTTGGTTACATGGAGGGGTGTGTTACTGAACTCAAGTGTGACTGATGGGGAGTTGCATGGTTTATCACTAGTCCAAATGCCTTGACGGCACCCGACAGACTCCTCGTACTGATTCCAGGCAACAACACACGGTAAGACTCGCCCCTTCCATTTATGCACGATCTTCAGCAGTATTACTTGAAGCTTACATGCATTTGGCGGGAACCAACAACAGTATCGGTCAATGGACTCGACGAGCCATGTGTGATGATAACATCAACGTAAGCAAAAGGCGAGGCTTTTTTGTTGTTCTTTGGTCGGGCGTTTTGATTCACGTGGATTTATTCTTTCTCTGTATTTAGTCAGGTTCGATGATTGAAGTAGCAAAGTTGGCCAAGGAGCGAGGATATGAAACCATGATTCTGAATCCAAATGGCATCTTCTGGTACGATGGCAAAGCCAACGTAAGTAGCCCCATCAATCTCCTACACATTTATTTTCCCAAGATGCATATGCCAGAAATAGAAAGCGAGAAAGAATGATCGTCAATTTGTTATATGTTGTCAATTCTTTTAGGAAATGCCGCCCCTGACCCATATGAATTTCCTCATGTTGCCAGGTAAAAGCCATCGACACAACATGCATTCTTCTCTCTCCTGGGGATGAGAAAAGAGAGTCTTCTAGAATTCTAAATACGAGTCCATGTTTCTACCTTATTTTTGCAGAAAACGATGGACCGGAACAGCATTGCAGATACGTATTTGACCATTTTATCAGGTAACACGGCATTTGATTGCATTTTTTTTTCTCTTTCAAGAAACAGACAATAGCGTGGGCACCCTGCAGCAGCAGCAGCAGCAGCACATCGGACTCACATTGTACATGTACGCATCTCTTGATACAGCAAAGCAAAGGCCAAGAGAATCGTCGCAATGACCCTCGGTTGGGGTGGCTTCTGCTTGACTGAGCTACTGAACCAAAACTGTAAGTTACTCCAGATAGACAACCTTGTTAATATCATCATAAGCTTCGGCAGCAAGTTTTAGCGACAGTGAAGAAAAAAAAAATAGAGGAACATGGATGTAAAGTAACATTTATTTGTGTATAGTCGACTTTTTCAAAGAACGAGTGCAAGCTGTGGCAATGGCGGACAGTACCCATTCAAGCGACCTGGTTTCAAGCGATCGCGAGCGCATCTGGATACGCAATGTAAGTCGACGCAGTAGAATAAGCTGATAGTCGCGCACAGGACACTTTCCACTCCTCATATTAAGCACGCATGCAACTGAATTTAGCATGTACTGAATTGGTGTGCATCGACCAATGCTCGTGGAGAACCGGTCAAGGACACCCGGCTTGGATGCGACTGCATCTCTTCTGGTAAGAACAGAACATTTATCTATGAATTTCCTTTTCTTATTGCTATCCCGCCTCCTAATCGTTTTGTCTTTAATGGATCAGGTGATGAGCTGGCCGAGTTTACAGTGACACATTGCATACAAGACATGCTGCGTTTCATTGATACGAAGATGGGCGACTATATACCTGAGGAAGTGGACGATGAGATTATCCGCGAAGATGAGCAATTGGAAGTTGAAGAGGCCGAGCTGGAGGAGCACGTTAAGATAATCAACATTAGCTAAAGAAAACAAGACATCCAGTTTGCTGTCGTTTGTAGCTTTGTTTGTTTTTGTTGATGGTGCCTCTAATGAAATAACAGAAAAGCAACCTGCATCACACACAATACTGGCTGAGTAACTACGTTTGTTGTGGCAACAACAACATTGTCAAAGGCAAACAACATACTGTTGCTGCAAAGTGGATGACTCCCGCATGCATGCATGCATGTATGTACTTGTGCTTTGGAAGATGATGAATCGGTGGTGAGGGCAATGACATCCTTGTGATGGGTGCCATGGTGTCTCTTTTTACTTTTCCAACTGTCACAGACAACCGAGTGGACGTACAAACTGTTTGTTAGGATGTACATGCACACATCAAAAACGGTGTCCATGGGAAATTGTGCTACGCAAGCAGGGGTACACAAGCCATCATCGACGAGAAATGGTAGGACAAGAACAAGAAAAAAGGTTTGCTGGCGTTCATGTCATTGGGATCAATCAACTCGATCATTCCCCCCCTTCCCCCAAAAAAGATAATCTTATGCTCATCGAAAATCACTTGATGATTTCGAGCAAAAGAGATATAGATCGGGGCTTGGCTGTAGCAGCTCATCATCAGAAATCACAATGATATGGGCTTGCCTGGCTTGATTTATCGAGGGAGGAGCTTGCGATATAATCATAGTCTAGCAGAGCCATGGTTGATAGCACTGCATTGTAACAGCAGCAGCAGTAGATGTAAGGCAAGCTGTGCATCATCCGGTAGAATCACAATTATATACGCAGCTATAACGATAGACGGGTGCATGTTATGCATGTATGCTATAATGACCCGGTCTATACTCTTTTAGTCTAATGTACATTATTACTACAGCCAACCTTACAGTACACATGCATGTACAATGCAAGTATGACCACTTTTTTTTCTTTTCTTTTTTTTTTGCTGTGTGCATTGCTTCGCATGGCATTGCTATCAGCCATATGTAGCCCTTTCTTTATAGTGGATTACAGTTCCGCAAGGAGTGCTACTTAGTGTAGGAGTACTGTAACAACAATCTTTTTGTCTTCTTCTTTGAACAACCAACTACTCGGCAATATACATGAAATCATGTATATGCTATCATCGGATCAAAGTGCACATGCGTAATTAGTAGCTAGGAGGCGCCGTGCGGGAGCAACAGGAATCATCTCCAAAAAAAAAAAAAGTTAGATGAACAACAAAAAGTCATGTGCGAATAATAACCATTTGAAAGCCCTCCCGTATTTGCATACAAAAGATCTGTGGACGAAAAATCGTTTGGTTAGCGGTTTCTCTCACTCTCCAGCAATATTGGGAGAACAGGAGTTGTTGTTATCATTATGGTTTGCTGATCATCCAGAACAGCAGAGCTTAGTCGTAGTAGTAGTAGTAGTAGTAGTAGTAGTAACAGCAGTGGTAGCACTAGTACTAAATGGCAGTGAGAAAAACACCGAAAACCATCTGATGAGATAGCCTTTCTCGGCATCTTCCGGAGATGCGGTCCAAGTTGTCGTCGTCGTCGTCGTCGTCGTCGGTTTTCACTGTGCAGCGCTGCACTCGAGGGCGGGCAATCGTGATCTTGGGTGTGCAAGCCAAATGCACAGGGAAAGAGTGGCAAGGACGAGTCGCACATGTAGGCAACAAGAAAGACACGCACCACAACAAACAAAGTGGATGGGTTTTGTCTAGCCTGTCTTGCGCCCAATCAGTAAACACACACAAACTTGGCAGCTGTTTATTAAAAACAGGGCACTCACTCTTTTTTTCCTTTTCGTCTCTCTCTTCTCTTCTCTTTTCTTTTCTTCGCATTCTTTGCACCTTAAGAACCTTGGAGACTTCCTTTGTCGCTCCGGTGATCATCATTGCTCCCCTTTTTTCTTTGAATCGGAAAGCCAGTTGCCTTGACAACAAATCCGCAAGTTCTTTGTCGTATATACGCTCCAAGGTAACAGGTGTAGTAGTAGTAGTAGTAGTAGTACCAGAAATCGACCAGCAGCAGCAGCAGCAACGATGAGTAAATGACAGAGAAAAGACTGACCATGCTGCGCATTGCATAACCTTCGTGTAGTAGTCCCTGATCAGTACTGCAAACGGACTGCATTTGCTATTTTTATATAAACTCGCAGAGACAGCCCTTTTCCTTCTCCTTTGCTTTTCACTTTTCTTTTTTTAACGCATTGAAAATCGTACTTTTTTCCCACCAACATTAAAACAACAACAACAGCAACAACAATGCTTGAAGGAGTATACCAGAGCTTCGGGTACCCACCCAATGGTCCACCACACTTGCCTCCGCCGCCGCCGCCACAGGCACAACCTCCCTCAGCCTACTCAGACAACCCCGTAGAGCCGCAAGTGCAACCCTATGTCGGCTACCGTGATCCGTACAGCGCCTACCGTGGAACAAACAGCAGCAGCAGCAGCAGCAGCCACCATCCTGGTACCAATGGCAACAATAACAACAACAACAACAACAGCGGCGGCGGCTACTACGCGTATCATTCACCGACATCCTCATCCTCATCCGCAAACTACGAAGCTCCCAGCCCGATCTTTCCAGACCATCGATCAACGGCCGTCCATCCCAATTCCGACCCCAACAACTACTATGCATCTTCTTCCGCTGCTTCTACTGCACACTCGCCAACAGCATCGCCACCACCACCGACATCAGCGACAACAAACGGATGGCAAGTACGTCCTCCTCCTCCTCCTCCAACAACAACAACAGCACCTACGGGATATCCCTGGAGCATCTCTAGCCCACCTGCGCGCCCACACCCGTCTGCAGGGGGTGGTTTTATCGGAGCAAGAACGGGAGGTGACCTGGACATGAGCAACCAAGCAAGACATCATCATCACCATCATCACCACCATCCCATTTCCCCACCCGGCTTCGGCCCGCCCGCTTCGCTTGCACGACCCAAACTGACGACAACCGTTTGGGAAGATGAAGGCACCGTTTGCTACCAAGTAGATGCCAAAGGCATTTGTGTGGCGCGACGTGCAGGTAAAGACAGATAACATGAACAACAGCAGAATCAATTTCTGTCAATGCATGTACCCTCTTTTATTATCTTTTGCATGTGGGACTAAAGCAAACACCTGCATACTCTGTTTCTTATCCAAAAAAAAAAAGATAAGGAAATGATCAATGGCACCAAACTGCTCAACGTCGTCGGAATGTCCCGCGGCAAACGAGACGGTATCCTCAAGAACGAAAAAGATCGCGTTGTCATCAAGGTTGGCGCCATGCATCTCAAAGGTGTCTGGTACGTGAATTAGCATAGCCTATACGTTGGCAGATGCAACAATGCTGCGACACCGTAAGAACTTTCTGTTAAATCCTTAATCATTGCCGTTGTCGTCTTTAGGATTACGTTACGACGTGCGAAATATCTGGCGACCAAGTTCCGAATTTGCGACTTGCTCTATCCGTTGTTTGAGGACGATCCTAAAAAGTATGTCTATGCAACGAGCCCTCCGGGTCATCCTGCTTCTGCTGCCGCTGCCGCCGCTGCTGCCGCCGCCATCGCTGCAGGTGTCTCATCGCCGCCAGCATCCGTAGCATCGTCGCGCCGAGCATCCTCATTACTTGACAACAGTCCGGATAGCCTCTCTAGTGGTATTCGATCCTCTTCATTCAATGACAATACCAAACGGAGCTCACTTCCGTCCATGAGTGCATTGGATCAAGGTATGTATTCAACACACTACATGTTGTAGACCGATCATAAGGAAGAAGAAAAAATACCTTGCAATGCACATCGCTTCACTCCTCCTTTTTCCCTCTGTCTCTCTATCTCTCCAAACTCTCCTTTTCTTTCTTTGTACATACTAATAAGACATGATTTTTAATAGTGACATCCCGTCTTTCACCGCCACATCAACTATCCGCTTCTGCAGGTATGTGTATGTTTTATTTACATAATAACTCAGAAAGATTCATTGTTTATACTCACACACACACGCACGCACTCGCTCCATGTAAAAAACACATGATAGATCCTTCATCATTGGGCGATACTGATCAGCAGTCATCCTCATCGCCGACATTGCCAGAACCCAACTCCACTGCTACTGCTACACCTTCCTCGCACAACACTAACAACGGCAGCTACAATGGTCTAAATTACTATTATCATCATCAATACGATTATTCGCGCTCGCCAGCTCCAACATCGTCCTCAGCACCTTCACTCTATCGATTCTTTCCTGATGAATCCTCAGCTGCCAAAGGAACTAAAGATGACAGGCGAATCCCCCAATGTGCTGAACGCGGCATCCCAGATAAATCATCAGGTATACTTTTGTTTGATTCTACACGCGTGAAGACTTGAACATTTTCTTCCCCCTTTGCCTCTACTCTGCCTTCTCTGGATTCAATGGGTCTGCTATACGGCACAGTTGGGATATCTAAAAGAAAGACGCGCCCACATATCAAACCACTGCTTTTTCAAAGAGAATCTCTGATCTAATTCTTATTTTCCCAATCGATCCTTTTATAGACATAACTGCATAGTTGTCCTTAACCCCACCAGTCCCTCAAAACAAAATGAAATTTTTTCTCTCTCTTTCGAAATATTTCATCATGTATGTACCTCCATTCGACGACGACGACGACGACAATGACGACGAAATATCAAAGCTGGTTCTAGTCTTCTTTCTTTCGGACGACGAACGATAAAAAAAACGGCTTCCCACGCATATAATAAACACATACACAAACATAGTCTTTGAACTCTTAGTATTAACCTGTCGGCTCTTCTTTCTGTTTACACACTCACCTTTTCACATAACGTTTATACATATCTCACATTCCCCGCGCCCGACCCGCATAACCCTCTCTTATTTCTCTTTTTTCCATGATCTGTCTCTTGCATTTGCATTTGAAAAAAACCAGTTGCATGAATAATAACAAGAACGATTTGCAAGTTTAGATTTTTTTGTCAAGTCTAATGTGTCGTGTGCTTATCCATGTTATCGTGCCTCCCAATAGGCGACCATCCGTACCTTAGGATCTTTACCGTATACGGTGTTGTATTCTGACTGAAATCGTACATTATTGCTACTATTTGGACTCTATAGTCAGCAAAATTGGAATTTTAAACTATTCACAGGAAGGTGACGTGGAGAGGTAGAACAAGACGGAAAAATATGGATGGGTATATACCTTTAGGCCGAGGGTGGAGAGCAGCAGCATCGGCGACGATGCCGGTAAATTCTATTTTTTTCAGTGTCAGTTATAATAGTAATGACACTGGCAGTAAGCACCTATATGAGTGTAATCCTTGCAGCTTCTTTTTTGAAAGGAGAAACTTGCATATTGTATATGCTCAAAAGATAATGCGCATTTATGTTGGACCATGTTGCTCCCTGATTATCGTATTTTATAAAGCGACGACGGCTGAGAAGTCGACCGAAACGGGTTAAAATGCAAGCATGACGGGGGATACATAGATTACATATGCTATCTCACATGATATTTTTTCTGTATGTATCTGCAGCGTATCTTACCAGTAACGGGTTGTTGTTGTTGTTGTTGAAGCAGGAGGGGATGGCCATGATCATAAAAAGCATGTGGATGCACGCGCGATTCACTCGTCGAATGACTGAGATTTGCATCCAAACAACGCAACTCAACCACCAAACAACACTGCATGCATAAGTACACTAAATCATACATGCATTGACACACGATGCTGTTGTTGTTCTTAGCATCACAACAACATTGAAGCTCAGATCAACTCTTCGATGTTATGTAGCAGGACATCCAACAGTTTTGACCTAGAACTTGAAAAGCGGCATGACATACTGGCCTTTTTGAGACTTTACAGAGTCTTGGGAGGTCTTTTTAGGTGTCCGAAAGGCCACAAACGGCAGCAAAACGACAATTTGTGTCCTCGGATGGATACACAAACAGTAATCTGTGATCTGGGATGGTATAGGCTGAAATAGAGCGATACTGTCTTCAAAAAAAGATACTAGCATAAATCTCGTTATTGAAGTTAGATTGCTGTGCCAAACAAAACCATACTCTATTTCTTCCTACTGCATAGTATATACGGACAAATAAGCTTAATACAATGTGGGCTAATGTTTTTGTGTTTATAATGCAGTAGTACATGGAGATTGGATTGTTTGCCAGAGATGATTGCTCTCTTTGGTAAACCACGAAGCCGCTAATACCACATACAGTAACAACAACAAAGCCCGGAAGTTTCCATTAAAAGCATGATACTGTACGCCGCGTGTCTCATCCGCTTGCATATTTTTTCTTACCTCCATGTTACTTCACATAAATTTACTTTTTCGGATAATACATACACCAGTAGATACGTATTTGACAAATATGGTGATAGCCCTCTACGAGTCATGCTTACTTGTTGCGTGGTCACAAACATGTCAAAGTCAATTAGTACTACCTATATAAGCAAAACATTTTTTCTGTACATTACTACGTAATACCATTTTGGTGATTAAGGTGAAAAATCTCCCTACATTATTAATGTTAGCAGCAATTACTATTTGTGCTTGATGTATTGTCTAATGTGTATAGAAGATGTCTGTCTTTGGCAGAGGTACTAATAATGATTAGTGGGTGACCAAGAACAAGCTCTGTTACGAAAATGAAATACTTCGCTGTATAGCCATTCGATATCAGTTTATTATCGTATGTGGTACTTACTGACAAAGCGTGGGGGCGGTGCATAATGTATAGATTGGCTGGTGCATGCTACTGCGGGGCAAAGCAAAAGAAAAAAAAAACAAGTCCAGTCGTGCATTATTTATATCATCAAATGATCGCCACATTGTCAACAACAACGGGACATCAGCAGCAGAGAGCAGCAACGCTTAGACTTGTAACGTGAGCATACTTGTTGCTTTTTTTTTTAACGTGCATGTACTAATGTGTCTAACGGGGTTATAATTGGTGTTTTTTTGCTTGAAACTGTGGCTGAGCAGATTGCCTAGCATATGTATTGTGCTATACTATACACGCCATGGTTGTTGGATGGAACGGAATATATATCACAAGGAAGGACGATTTCAGATAATCGTATATTCGATGATCCATTAAGCTGCAATTTAAAATATCAACAAGAGTAAATGTGGCTATTTACGCGGACCCTTTTCATCAACCGTTCATGCTTACAAGGAACGTATAAAACTGTGCGCTGCTTGTCGCAGCATCGATTAAATGGAGGTTACTTATTCTTCAAAGAAAAAGAAATACTGCGTATATTTAAATAAAACTACTAGCATAAGTATTGTAAGGAATTAATACTGTTTCTAGGAAAACGATGTTCAAAAAGATAGGTTGGGAAGATACTATTTTTATGAGATCATTCTAGTGATGATACCTTGCATTCAGCACGTTTGCTGGCTTCATCATTTAAAGAGTATATACTCATATATTATAGGTACCACATACATGTACTTAATGATCAGATGAAGACTAAATAAAGTGACAATGGAGAGTGTTATGTGAAATTCACTTGCTGTCTTGAACATAAAAGGAGGTGTCATGACTATCGTAACACGCCTTTGACAGGGGACTATCACGGCCAGATAGGAAAGGCAACTTACACTTGTCATAATATGTACAGTGAAGTAGATAGGTATACACGAGAACGTGTTCCTCCCTTTTTATTCTCGATCTTCATCGGCTCTCGATCGCCTTGCATATCATATTTAGCATCTGTACCATTACATACATCTTTGAAATTGACAATAAAGAAACATATCCCAGGGAAGAACTGCTTCTGCTCCTGCTGCTGACCCCGCAGTGGATCTAGGAAAGCTATTATGAGTGGCTACAATACTTTAACACGTGTACATTACTTACTACATCTCCTGAATCAAGAATAAGCTATCGAAGGAAAAGAATTGCTTATTTTACTTCTATCTCGTGGCGCATAAACCGTTTTTACTTGTCTCAAGTGTGTGCTTGTAATACATGGACTATCGTCTGCAAGAAGGAATTTTGTATATACTATAAAAGGCTGGCTTCTACGATACGAATCTTTACTTGATCCGCATACATGACGCACATACGGGATTTTGTCACAATGTCAATAATAATATCCGAACGAAATGCATAAAAAGTGCTACGCCTGTGATTTAAAGTGCGCAACAATGACGCCGTGTATTTATCTCCCGAACGACGTGTGTGACAGTCAGTTTCTTATTGTGTATAAAGGAGACTAGAACTATCGATCGCTTTACCTAAAGACGATCAAGCTATTTCTTTTTCGTTTCCGCTCTTTGTCCAGAGCTTACGAAAAAATTAAAAGAAAAAACAATGAGTCGATTCGCTGCTGCAGGGGTAAGGAGAAGAGTGTATTGTTTCCCCGCTGTTCACGATTTGACGGCGCGATTCGATTTTTGAGTGTTGGTGCAGGATCGGTTTATGAAACGGCAGCAGCAGGGAGGAAAAGGAGATTGTTTGTTGTTGACTACATCTACATCGTATAATTGTTGATGGAAAACGTGCAGTAATAGTACATAATAGTAGGTGTAATGTAATGGTTGAAGGACCGAGTACTGCAACTTAGTATACATATACTCAGGGACGTACTGTATAATATGCGCGCATTTGGTGACTAAGCCCTTTTCCAACCTCCCTTTTCGTACCTTGTTATGAGATATTATTCTATTTGTTTCTTTCAGGTTTACAAGGATCAGAAGCAGCAGTAGCAGTAACAGTAGTAATACTCACATTTGCTGGTTAAATGTATGTGACTAAAAGCATCTAATAAAATATGCTGAGCTGTCATAAAATGATATGGTTGGTATATTTATAAATATGGCACAAAAAACAGAAATAGATGCCGCCAATGTGATACAGTGCTCTGCTGGTAATATAAAATTATTGCTTCTCTCTTGCTCGTGCATGATTTGTGTATGCTTACATCAGTAACAATGAGAATCATTTTTTTTTGCGTAGTAGCTTATACTTGACCCCATAACAACGGTAACCATGGCAATTTGCATTTTGTTGCTAGGCGACCAAAAAAAAGAAATAACACCTACATGGAACAGCAGCCACTCACAACTAACAGTATGGCAACTCGCGCGTTTCTGCCTCCTTTATTTGTTTATTTGCGATGATGCCAGATTCTGCAAATTATGATCAACGTCTATACATAGAATACAGCTGGCAAGGTGTGGTGTTTAATAATAAAAGAGGTGATAACAATAATAATGAAATGTGTTCGACCAAGCCTAAAAGGGCGCAGCCAGCAAAAGCAGGCTTGCTAAACAGAGTTAATCAGGGCCGGGTTTCTAAAAATGGAGTTTTCTCAGGCGCCACACAGATGCCCTTTATTTAGTTTTTTTGGTGCGTGACACGAGCCATTGTGCGACACGAGTGAAAGAGAGGAAAGTTGAATGCCAAGCCGTGAGTGGCTCGTTAACACCCTTTTTGCTTGCTTGCTTGCGTGTGTGTGTGTGTGTGCGTGGGCGTGTGTGGTGTAAGCTTACTCCTTTTCTCTCTCTTCTGCCTTTCTTTTTTTCCCCAGTTTCTTCCTGTTGTTGTGGGCTTTGCTCTCTGATTCTACATCCTCCTCTTCCCTCTTTCTTTCTCTTTTCTCCCTTTCTTCCTCGCATCCTCCCTTGCCATACGCCCCATACAACTCTTTTCACTCATCATTCGTCATCCCCCAGGGACACCACCCACTCACACGCGGTTTGCCTCTCTGTCTCTCTTTTTCCATTCTCATTTATAAAAGCTCAGCTGTCGTCTCGAAGCACAACTCTTCTTTTTTTTTTCCTTTTCTTTTTTCTCTTATTTGCTCTCCTTTTGCGTCCACCTCGCTCGTGTACATACGCATACACGTTCTCTCAGTACAGCACAGCAAGAGACGCTCTACACAATCATCACCACCACCACTAGCTATAGTACAAAGAACGCACCGATAATTTTTTTAAGCATGGCATCAGGGGTGATATCGCCTGAGGAAACTTCTGCGCGACAAAATAATCAGCCACACCAGCGACCACCCGCACCCCGGCATGACGCTTCCATTTCTGCCCTGTTAAATGACAAACAAACCCAGAGCCATCACCAAAAGCACCATCATCATGAAGACTATCTGCCCACGCCCGTCACCCCAGCAACAAGCTTCCCCGTCCTCTCGTCATCGCGTCCGTCCGATTTATCCGCATCGCCGCTCCCTTCGCCCCTGCCGTCCTCCGCCCATGCAGCCTCCAAGCCCACGCCAGTGGCAGACGAACAACGCACTGACAGGACAGCAACAGCAACAATAACATCTGTTGAAAAGCCCTATGCATGCACGCAGTGCAGTCAAACGTTCAGTAGACCGCACAACCTCAAATCCCACTTGACCACGCATTCTTCTGAGCGGCCTTTTCAGGCAAGTAATTATTCGGAAAGTGATGGTGTGGAGGCCCCAGAAGAGTGTGTATGTGTGTATTTACCTGTTTTGCTTATTATAGTGCGATATCTGCAAGAATTTTTTCAGACGACACCATGATTTGAAGCGACATCGCAAGTTACACACTGGCGAACGACCCTACAGCTGCAACATTTGCCACCGTTCCTTTGCGCGTCTCGATGCGTTAAACCGGCATTGCCGCGCCGAAGGTGGCACCGCTTGCAGCAGTGTGCATCGTGTTCAAGGCCGAAGGTCCATTGCGTCCATCACACCCACATCCACAACCTCTTCCTCGCCGTCGCCACCTGTCTCCTCTTCTTTGTCCTCTTTGTCCTCGTCCTCATCGTCATCATCATCGTCGTCCGTCACCATGAACAGCCAACGACCGATCATACCGCAGCTTCATATCGCCCATCCAGCTTCACAACCTCTCGCTAACGAAGTTTATCCTTATCCACCTTCAATTAATACGATTATTTCCACAACCACTAGTAACAATAATACCTATACAACCGCAACAACTACTACTGCTAATAACGCTGCCGCTTCCATGACTACGCCAGTAGCATCACCACCACCACCACCACAGCCTGCTACATCTTCTTCTTCCACTACTGCTGCTGCTAGTTCGGCTAATAGGATTCGTGACACTTTACTTCCTTCACCGAGCGCACTCTCTCGACTACCAGTTTCGGAAAGCACGAACCTCGTGCCCATTCAAAAACTCCATTCCGAGATCGCGGGCCACGAGAAAACTGCCAGCAGTGCATACGGACCTTCTTCTCAACAACACAAACAACAACCAACAATTCCTCCTAGTTCAAAAGTAGCAGCAGCAACGCCTCCCCCTTATTATGACTGGGCATCTCAAGCCGGACGCGACCGAATACTACCATTACCAAAGCGGTATTCAAGCAGTAACAACAACAACAGCAACAATAATAATAATAATACTATTAGCAGTAGTACCAGTAGTAGTCATGGTGGTATGGAGCCTAGGGATCGACTTCGGCTGGAGAATAATGATTTGCGACAGGAGCTTGCATATTGGCGATCCACAGCGGAAGAGTTGAATACATTAAAGTCGCAGTTGCATGATTTGCAGGTCGAGGTGAGTTTGTGCTACTTCTTGGAATCCTCCTCGTACTCGTCCCCCCACCGCACCCAGAAACTCCCTGAAAATAACATTCTATGCCGTGGTCTCTTGTAGAATAAAGTATTGCGGTCACTTATCACTGCTTCAAGCGCAGACGAGCAGCAGCAGCAGCCCAAAAGGAATATAAAATACTGCATTAAGGAGGAAGAGGAAGAAGAAGAAGAGACCTACAAAAGGAGACGAAACAGTGATTGATTATTGGCTTCCCAACGTGCCCTTTTCGATCCACTTACTCAAAGCTACACACATTCTCCTTCCCCTTCATCCAATCCCTTTCTCTCTTTTTCTCTTTCCCGTGCTATGCGCATACCACGCGGTGTCATCTTGTCGTTTGCTTTACAGACACAATTATCGCAACATATTCGCCCGTCTCTTCATTGACAAAACCCAAAGCGCTCCCCACACGCTCCTCCTCTAAAACATCTCCCCACCAATCCTTATACTTTCTTGAATTCGATTTCATGCCAATGTACATATAAAATTCTCGATCTCTCTTTCTCTACGGCCCACACCCCTTAGTTTTTAAAAATAATAATAGCATTATTGTTACAAGAAGAACATCAAAATAAGAAAACATCTACGACAGAGAATTGTTTGATTTTTTCTTGATATAGGCCTCTCCTTAGAGTGGATTGTATCCTTCACCCAAAGCTGCCTCATCCTCCTCTTTGCTAAAGCAGCCATGCAAATACGTGTATCCCGAGATCGCAAAGCACGCAAATGCCATGCCACTTAACACCAAACAAGGGCCTCTGACAGCTTCCAAATGTGGGTAAACGAGGTTGAGTTGGTCCACACCATTCTCGTACATGATCGATGACTGTGCAACCAGTAAGAGTGCCAGCACGGCTGCGCCCCATGCAAGAAATCCACGCGAATAATATTGGTCCTGAAACCGGGGGTATAATATCGCCCACACCAAGCCTATTAATGTGGCAGCGCCGCCACACAGGAGGCACAGCACTGAGGCAGGATAGATCTTGGGATTGTGTGGGGGGTTCGGTTGTGAGGCAGGATTCAAATCCGGATCTTGCTCGATTTCGTCTGTGAATAGCTCGGGAAATGTTTCGTTGAACTTTTCTGGAATCGTTACGTCTAAATTTTTATGTAATTCTGTTATTTTATAATCACTCAATGCCCATGTATAGCTTCGCAAATTACCAAAGGGCATCATCATTACACCATCATCGGTTCGACATGAAGTGATCCCGCCACGATCGGTAATGCAATAGCCTTGCCAACCAACGTTTATTGACAGCGTGCCGGCCGGTCGTTCGGTCAGTTGTGCGAAGTATAGCTTTGCTCCAGAGTTCGATCGGCAGCCTACCAGACACAGTAGGATAAAGATGAAGCCGACAAGTGAAAAAAATATACCAACGTAATTCCTCCGAGATGGTCGCATGCGTAATACTACTCGTCGCTTCTTTTCAGGCATTGTGTATGTGTATTATGGTAGTTAGTGTTATAGTCAAAGGATATTTATGCTATTAATACATTAAATCAGAAAAAGAACTGAAAGCGGGAAGAGAAATGGATATGCAGTGTTTTGTAACTTTTCCAAGCTTGGCAATGAGATTGTTGACAAGGTCTTGTGTCTTTTGATTGATCCAGTATGAACTGATACAAGGGTTAGTACTTTGTACTTTTATATGCACCTCCGCAGGTGAAATATAGGTGAAGCTAACCTAGTGGCAGTCAATAAATGTTATGCAAGTCATGTGCAGCCCTTGCATGAACATCAAGTTGGTTCAAGGCTCAATCCTTTTTGCTTTTTGACCAAAGTCATAATGTTTGGGTTCATCATCTTCGCTATGGCCAGCAGTAGCTAAAATGAGACTTTTCCCTTTAAGCATGTAGAATATAAGTTACTGAAGCTTGGCAAAAGTTTAGCCCCGCACTACTAGTATATGCATATTGCTGCTTTTTATTGATCATTGCTAGCCATCACAACAGGTATCATGCGATCGTTTCGTCTCCTTCATACACACATGTAGCGTCCATTATTGAAGGCAGCTAAATCTTCTGCCAACAAATTAGAGAAGTGCGATATAATAGAGTTTAGCAGAGTTATATGATTATATTAAACTCCTTGTTATGCCTGCGTTTCACGATGATTACCTCAGCTTTGCTTTGAGACGAGCAGAAGCCCCTTCGGTAAAGTAGTGAAACAGCCTTCCTGTGCACAATAGGGTAAACTTTTTCACATTATAGTGATACGATACTCAGGCACGTATGTGCACAATAACAGATAACACTGGATGATGAGTTCCTATTCCTTGGTTTATATACCTTCATTGAGTTATCAAAGTTGAGGGCTCTTCATAACATGGTTGGTACATAATAACTACTAAGTATCCATGTATAGAATGCAGGTGGCCTAAAGCGTCACCAAATCAACGTTAAGAAGTCCGCATAAGTTGGAAGCAAGGTGTGCTTTTTTTTCGTTTTATAACGTGCTTGCTCTTCTTCTTTTGCGTTCATGTTTCATGAATTCGCTGTTGGCGATTCTACTGGTGGTGAATTCCACCCGAGGCCACCACTTTATGTTCAGTTATCCGCCTAATCCTGAACGACCCGAATCTTATCACGAAGACGTTACCTCAACCTTATACGCCAAAAGCAAGATTAAGAAGAATAAACACGCCGAAACGTCCGTGCCACCTTCTGATCGGCTTCCACCCAATGCATCGCATTCATCACTACGTAAATCAACCGACGATTCATTCGTTAATTCAGAACAACAATCACAGCAGAAACAAAACCAGCAACAACAACAACAACAGCAGAAACGGGAAGCAGAAGATAGGTTTGCTGGTCGCGACAGTATATTTGATATTGGGGTATCATTTCTCGCTGATGCGCTCGCGCCGCGCCTCGAGCTATGTGATCGCAAGTTCCAGCTCAGTATTGACGATCTTACATTTGTCGGCCATCCAGTCAGCTTAGCATCTAGTCAAGAAGACGATGACGAAGGAGAAGAAGACGAAGATAGTGGCGTTGACAATGAGGAAGCAACAACTCCTACGGATAATAATGCCAGTAGCGGCGATGGTATTGGTAGTACTGGCAGTGGTAATGAAAAAAACCACACAACTGGTGGCAATAATGATACCAGCAGCAGTCGTAGCGACAGCAGCGACGATACAGTCAGTAACGACACTACAACAAACATCAAGTCAAAAGAAAAGCAACAAGATGATGACAAGAACGGCAAAAAGGATAGCAACAGCAGCAGTAGCAGAAGTGGAGGTACAACCCACATGACGCTCTTCCATGTCGTGTTTGTCATGTCTCCCCCTGATCTGGAATTGAACGCACGCACGGATATGATCTATACGCATGTCGTGCGACGCTATGCCGCAGCGTTGCAATACGAGCAGCTTCGGTGCGGGTATATTCAGGACGAGTTTGAAAAGATCTTGGCGATAAGAGATGATGCGATCAACAAGAGCACTCCATACGACGAAGTCATGAAGAATATTTTGCAAGAGTCGTCGTTGGCCCGAGATATCAAACAAATCTATGCAGCTATATCAACGGATAATATCGCTCACATCATCATTAATGACTTTATTGACCTGTCACTCCAGATACCTGTGTTTGGTGAGATGGTTCCTCCGTCAGACGGTGGCATGGCATTGCCTTTGGCACGTACACAGGATTACTATTACGCTTCACTGATGGATATCTATGGCATGTCTGGCTACGAATACGACAATTATCCGATTATTTGTCCGTACCATACCCTGTTACTGCTAGAAGACCCAGAGGAAGTGTTGAAAAACATGCCATTAGATGCAAGTCCTACTTTAGTTCAGCTCGTTCAGATACTGACGCCCACGCAAAGGTAAGGTGCATATTTCACATATGCCAAAGTCACTGTAATTATTTTGCCAAAAAGAAAAATAGGAAGGCAGAGTACTCAACAATGTATGAACAGTCTACAGGAATTACATCTTTTGCTCGATTGCTCTCTCGCTCAGATATACCGTTTGGCTGCTCATTTAATCTACTGGAGAAAAGCCAAATTGATCCATACCATCCATGCTCGCAATATATATGTCATTTCCCCACAAGCTAAACTTGAAGAGTAAAGTATCATTCTATCCAGCTCTCTTTATTAATGCATATAAAGCAATATAACGATCACTAATGTCTTTCTTTTACTATTGTAGCCTTGAAAGTTTGAATACCGATTTTAAAATGCACATAGCAATCCCGAACCTCGACTTACCACGGTTGCTATCCCAACTATCTATTGCGAAACCGCTTCATATGATTGCACCCAAAGAATTTCGAAACCAGTATCTTGAAGCAATAACCTACTTGGTTCGCAAAGATCTCGTTATCCAACTGCATATGTTTCTGGTTCTTATGGAACTGAGTACTGCAATTGATGACGATCAGGATGATAATTCTTTGAGTAGACGAAGCTCCAACAGTAATACAAATATGCCGCCCACTAATGCATCACCGCCAACGGATGCTGTCATATCATCCAGTCCGGGCCAAACGAGTATGCTTGATTCACGCAATCGCTTTAAGCGTTTGATCCATGATAAAGTGCCTAAAGAAGTCGCTGAATTGTTTGAACGGTAAGAAACAATAACAATTATTATCTGCTTGAAAAGAAAAAAACATTTCTCATTTTATGCTGAATTAAAATATCACAGGTTAACTCCATTCATGGATGGCAAACATCATATTGAAGAAATTATGTATAGGGAAGGTGTTTCAAGAAGACAACTCAGTCTTGTCTTGAAGTATTATAGAGATAGCATTGTAGTCGTTTATCATTATTGATTTAAATGAAATGAAATGCAAGTTAGTAGTATATATATTTTTAGATTTTCTGCACATAAAAATGAGATGGTGATGGAGTTGAGAGTGTGAATTGGGTAATAAAGATAAAATATTAAAACAAAAAAATTGAGACAGAAAAAGATAGAGGGAGAAAGAAAGAAATTTATGAAGATAGTTGTGACCGTTTGGTAGTACTACGGAAATAATGAGGGTGATGTTGTTGTTGATGATGGTGATGGGGGTGGTCTTTCTCAAGTTTCGAGACATGGTGTTTTCCGTTGCAACACATTCTCACATCTTCCAACCCTTCGTCGTCGTCGTCGTCGTCATCCTGCTCGACTCGACTGCGACTTGATACGCTTCTTCCGCTTCCGGCTATTGAACTGATGGAACGTACCGGTCGTAGCCGTTGGAAACTTGGCTTTTTAAGAATAGATACAGCACTGGTGGAGACGGATTCAGTGATATCACGTCGGTCAATGCTTTTCTTGGGTGTGCCATCTACATTGGCGCGTGCCAAAAGATACGACAAGGACTATCATAATTATGGTTAGTTAAAAAACAAAACAAATGCTTATATTAAGATTGCATCATAAAAGTTACCTCATACCACACGCCATGTTTTGACGCATCTGGCGCGGTAATCTTGAGTTGTCTTCCTGGTGTTTGGATCATTAGGCTTACTTGTGGTAAGCCCGTGGGATTGGGAGTATAATCGGGTATGGCAGAGACATCCTCAATGAATGCTATGACAACAACAAATAGATTTTATGTCAAGATATTTGCTTTTATATGAGGTCATTTCATTGTAGATTTTGTTTAAAACTTACCACTCTTTGCTTTTGATTCTCGTCCATCAACACCAGGAGCAGAGGCACTCCAGTAGAGTGTGCGAGTGTAAGGATGAATCCAAAAGAATCGCTTATGACGACGTTCTGAAAGTCCGTTTCCAACAGCCTTGCGGGTATATTTCCACATCCAGTCACCAATCATGGTCTGTGTGATCAATGCAATGGCATTAGGATCGGATATACCATTGGCAGTACGGGCCGCTGCTTCCAGTTGTGACGAGGTGACAGAGGGTCGGCGATCAGTCGTTGTGTTGGATGTGGACACACTCGAAATACTACCCGACTCCCGGCGTCGGCTAGTATAGGTCGTCGTGTGTGGATTGACATAGGCTGTGCCATACTCTTCATGATTTTCAGGTGCTATCCTGCTCGATACTGAAACCGATCGTGCAGCTGCCTTGGATAACAATGTGGACGGTGGTGGGCTGCTAGGTCGTGCCGGTGGTTGGTCTTCCTCTGTTCCTAGTACTCCTTGAGCGTCATTAGCTGCGAGTGCTAAACTATCGCCATCATTGGAACGTTGTTGTTGTTGTTGCTGCTGATCATGTTTCTCTTGTTTCCGATAGGCATTGAGTGCGGCTTGCACGGCACGCTCTACCATAGCATCCGCTTCGGATTGTGTTAACGTCTTTGGTTCTTCGCCTTCGTTTACTTGTGTAACAGCGCTTTGTGGTGTTAATAATGCTCCATTGGCCATCCATTGTGGTGCGCGACGGTTGTCACCATACTGCTTGACCTCGGAACTATCCGTGTTGGTGTAACTGCCTTCAACACCCTTTGCATGAAGACTGGGTGCCTGTGACATGTGATTAGAAGCATGTTGTTCCAGGTTGGTAGCGGTGGCGGTAGTGGTGTTATCCTTTGGCATGTTGCCAGCAGCATGGGTCATCTCGTTAGGGTGTACGTCGGATGATTTGCTTCCGGTGCTAGCAGCAGTAGCTTCAATAGATTCATGATGCAGTTGTGATGAACGAGCTGAATTTACAGATGTTTCTCCAAGTGACAAAGGTGTATGGATTGTTTCGTTCGATTGTGATGCTGTTTGGGATGATGGCTGTACGCTAGCTGCCACTTGAGCTGTTGTTGCCACTGCTGCTGATGCTGGTGTTGGTACTGCTGATACCGGATGAATCGGTTCACTCGGTTGAATTGCTGATTTTGGGGAATATCTATTTTCTTGAATCGATCGATCGAGAACCGTGCCAGTCTGAGGCGCTTCAGTTGCATTGGCAGCAGTAGCAATAGTTCCGTTCTCTGTAGCACTATTTGGCGGTATGCTGTCGAAACCACTCAGAGAGCCTTCAACTTGAGAAGACGACGGTGCATTATCAAAAGCATGTGTAGCTTCCAGCGCTAAAGCATTCGCTGCAGGTGACACTTGATGGGATACAGAATTTCGAGATTCAATGCTTTCCCTTGATTGGAACTCTTGTTTTGACGATGATGGATTAGCTGCGCTCGTATTCACAAGACCGATAGTAGCAGCAACATCGGTATCTACAGCTTCGGTAGTCGATGAAATTGATCCGTGCTGAGGTACGTCGGTGGTGCTTATACTGCTACTGGTTGTTGTCACCTGGCTCACATCCTTGTTATCTACTGCATCAGTAGTGTGTTCCTTGACCAAAGGTGTTGGCATGGTCTGTGCGCTACCGACTTCAAGATCTTGGGTGGCAAGAGCATGATGTTCTGTCTCGGGTGATACTCCAGCCATGGCAGCAGCAGTGGTAGCAACACCAGCAGCAACACCAGCAACAGCGGTTGTAGAAGTAGTCCAAACTGCTGAATCGGAGCCAGGAACCATGGTAACAGGATTGGTCTGCGTAGAAACAGTATCTGTTGCCTTGGCAACAGCTTGCGGTTGTTGCTGGATTATATCAGCCGTAACTCCAGCGTCCACAGGGACAGACATTGGCTCGCTCTGTACTTGTTGGGTTTGTTGCTGTACAGGCGTAGCGCTGATACTGGGCATATCGACCGTTTGCAAGTCAGGCGGTGCAATGGTAATGGTAGTGGTGGTTGTGGTTGGATCTGTTTCGACAACGCTTGTTGCGGTTGTGTCTGGTGTCTCAGTCTGAATTTGTCTGTTGCTAATTTCCATTTCTGTCTGTGTTCCCACATCAACAGTGACAGTGCTAGAACGTGGTGGTACAGACGACGAAGATGACAGGGCCATGGACAGTTGATCGCCAAGCGACATTTCTTTTGGTTTTGCGGCCCCAAGTTCCGATGACAGTGACGTGAACCCGGTCGCAGGCGCAGCATCATTTACCACACGATCCATTTCATCCTCGTCAGAAAAAGGGTTTGATTCATCAAAGGAATCAACGACTTCTTCTTCCTCCTCTTCATGCCCGTCTTCCGCTACACCTTTTGGTGTCCGACTGCCCACGCGCTTGCGTCTTGTGCTACCTTTTCTCCGTTTGCTTGTGCTGCTGCTACCGTTGGCCTTGTGTGACCGTTTTGCGTCGCTTGTACTGCGTGCATCCTCCCACATGCGAGGCTCATTCTGCAGCTGTTCGATCGTCTCTTGCGATTCTGCCAAGAGTTTCTTCAGTTCAAACTTTTCGGTCTTTTCGCGATGCATATTACTGCGCAAGTTGGAAACCATGCGATGTGCATGTGCGAGTGATGTTTTGAGCGTTTCTACCTCCATTGCTTGGTTGCGCGTTGGTGTTTCTTTGGGCGAGCCAGGAGGTGATGTCTTGGGACTTTGCGCTTCACGATCCGTACCTGATGCATCGCCTGAAGATGCTGCATCTGCACTGTCTGCCTTATTCTTCATCAAAGCGTGCATATCGGAATGGCTGCGTTTGGCGATTCGTGTCTGCGCCTTGGCGATAGCAAGCTCGGATGTCAATGCATCGATCTGCTTCTTTTGATCCAATTTTTCACGCTGTAAACCGGCTGCATGGCGGCGAATCGAAGACATATCTTGCTCATGCCGTTGCTTCATATTCTCGACCACCGACTGCAGCTTTTCCTCACTCGCGCGAAGCTTTTCGATTTCTGTTCGAAGATCGTTCATTTGCTTGACCAATCGATTTTGCTCGGTGTTGGACTTTTGTAATGTTTGTTGCATTTCGGTCACACTGATCGTGAGCTCTTGCTTTGCTAACTCCAAATTCCACGTGTCTTCCTTGAGTCGTTCTTTGAATCCGCACATAAATTTAGTAAATCACATATCCCTTTGCTTAATTTTTTGGAGCTCCCTTTTCATTACCTTCAACCTCTTCCCGTTGTCGCAACTGTTTAGCCATGGCTTCTGCAGCACGTTCCAAGTCAGCCTTTTGGATTTCGAGCTGATTCAACTGCTCGTCCTTTTCTTGCAGTAGCGCCTGCATCTTCCGCACTTCCAACAATAATCCCTGACCAATTTCGGTTGCAAATTCGATATCCGTGTTTCGACGATCAGCATTGGGGACCTTAGAACGCCGTTTAGTAGGCGTCGAGCCGGATGGTGGTGGAGGAAGGGGTAGTAATGACGAGGAATCAAGGCCTGAACTTGATGGACTGGGTATCGGATGGCTACTGAGCAGCTATAGGAGCAAGATAGAAAAAAGAGCCGGGTTAAGGGGCTGTTTCTTTTAAGGCACCACATGTAAGATGTAAAACATCTGTTTTTATTGTATAATTCAATCGAAAGACCCACTTACCCGAGGTGATCGGTAACTCGACACGTCGCGTTCCAAGCTACGTAATTTGTCGAGCGTTGCCGGAGTCATGTCATCCATCCCCGTATTGGATGCCAAGACTTGTCGACGTAGTGGAGGTTTTTGTTGCTGTTGTTGTAGTTGATGATGATCCATTTCCTTAAGCCTCTCTTTGAGTTGACTGATTTGTCTGATCAACACGTTTTTTCCTATCCCACTATTGGACTCTTGTAATAGCTTTTCGTTTTCGGCTATCTGCTGCTCCAGCTGCTGCCGAGTCGAGTTTGTTGAGGTCGAAGTAGATGGTGTTGGAAGTACAAGGGATGAATTGCTGCTTGATGCTGGAGTTGATAACGACGGTTTTGGGATCGGTGTCATCAAATATGAGAGAAAAGCCAGATGGTGTGAATGAGCGTGGAATTATTTGTAAAATATAAAAAAATAAATAAAGTTATAGTATAGTGGAGGGAGTAAGAATAAAGGAATGTATGTGGTGTGCACGACTGGACTTGTCAAAAAACGTTCGTCCTACTATTAAGCTGCTGGGTAAAAAAAAAGCAAAAAAGGGAGCAAAAGAGAAAGGGGGGAAAAGAAACGAAGAAAGCAACGGTCTTCTTTTTGCTGCAGAGTATATGTTTATAAAGTGCTGTACGTGAGTGATTGTCGAGAGATTGTGCGTGTGCGTGTATGTGTGGGTTTTAAAGGAAAGTACTAAGTGAATGTGATAAGTAAGAGAGAGAGAGAGAAAAAGCGAATACTGACTCTCTCTCTCTCTCTCTCTCTCTCTTCAAATGGCGTCGCCATGGAAACATGAGGTTTTCAAGAGGTTCGTGTAACATGACCACAATATATGACTGCAAACGCCGGATTGTCTTTTCCCTCTCTCACTCTCACTCTCTCTCACTCCTACCCTAAACCCCCCCCCACCCCACGAGAATATGTCGTCTGGACGTGCCTTTAAACTGTAAGTGTGTGGACTTTGCATTTCACTTTTATTGTATTCGACACATCTCCTTTTAACCCTTTTGCTTCCCCTTCTATTCTGCGTGCATATCTTGCATCGTCCACCCGGCAAACAATTTTTACGATGGACGGGCAATAGAAACAACAATACGATTATTCCTGCCGTGGTATGTATCGTTGACAGCATACATACAAGATTATAATCAGCTTACAATGCAATTTTATAATAGGGCCTTGGAACGTGGCAATCCAAACCCAACGAAGTCTATGATGCCGTACGGACGGCATTGAAAGCAGGGTAATCCTGATGGAGACCTCTTGTTTCTTTAGCGCATAGCACACATGCTGTTGTCACCATGCCATGACCACCCTGCTTCTTACTAATGACATGATGTAAACTCCTCTCAGATATCGCCATATCGACACAGCCTACGTTTGTATGTTTTAAAAGGAACACCCACGCTTAATATTTATTACTGATCGTACGTTTTAGACCGAAATGAAAAGGAGGTCGGACAGGCTATCAAAGACAGTGGCATTCCACGAGAGGAGCTCTTCATCACCACCAAGCTGTAAAATATAACACTTTCATATAAAGCGAGTAACAACAACAGCACACATTTAATACATATTTCGTAGCTGGAACACAAGCCATCGTCCCGATACGGTGCAGGCCGCTCTTGAACGATCGCTTGCTAATCTTCAACTCGAGTACTTGGATCTCTACTTGATGCACTGGCCCATCGCTTTCCAGCCATCTCCTAGCAACTTCCCGCGCGATGCTGACAAGAATATTTTGCTCGACTCGACTGATTTTACCGAGACGTATGCTGTACGTTGTACCTGGTTCCCTTCTTTTCATATATAGCGTGTACGTGTGGTTGAGTTTGAATTGTCTAAAATGTAATGCTAATCACGTAATCCACAATTCATATTTCCCTTTTGTCTTTGCATAAATGTAGGCCATGGAAAAGCTTGTTGGTTCTCGCGTGCGTGCAATTGGTGTCAGTAACTTTAGTATTGCTAACCTCGAGAAATTGGTTCAAACTGCAAAGATTATGCCTGCTGTTCTTCAGGTAATCTCCATTCATTGTTGTAGTTACGAATATGATCCTATAATGTATGCGGAGAAGAAAAGCAGAAGAACCTGACAAAAGAACTATAAATTAATAGGTTGAGTTGCATCCCTATTTTCCCCAATGGGGTCTCCTTGCCTTCTGCGAGAAGCATAACATTCATGGTAAGCGATCTTCTCCTTCTTCTCCATTTATAGCAGATAGCAACGCGCGCTAATAACTATGATGATGAACCTCCTACGATATAATTATACATTAGTCACTGCTTACTCGCCGCTCGGAAGCACCTCCTCGCCTGTGATGGAAGAGCAGATTGTTGTAAGTACAGTAATGTTTTCAGCACCATTTACATTTACGCGTTAAACTCTTCTCACGTATGACATCGTCATCTGCAGACCGATATTGCTAAAAAGCACAATGTCTCCCCTGCCCAAGTATTGCTCGCCTGGGGTGTCCAGCGCAATTGCTCTGTCATTCCGAAATCAGTCACGCCTTCTCGTATTGTTTCAAACTTCCAGGATGCGATCCTTACCAAAGACGATGTTGACCGCTTGAACACTTTGGCAAAGTCTGAACGCGCCAAACGCTTGTTGGATCCCTCACCTATTTGGGGTGTAGATATTTTCTCTTCCAAGCTATAGATGCGCAAAGGACTGTTAGAGAGTACCGGAATCAAATGGATGGACCGAGCATATCTTTCTTAGCTATGTATTCGCTTAATGTGTAGTGTAATAAATATCTAATAGCTTCAAACATATGTTTCACGTTTGTTTCTCGGACAGTAAAATGATGACAAGAAGCATAAATTCGAGCTTGATCCGCTTACTGTGCTCATCAGGCTGTCACCCCGTCACTCAAATATACAGCTGATCAAGAGCTTCTGGTCTTTTCGCATCACGATATCGCTGATGTGTTTTTACACAGCCGTATAAACATTTTTACATCACAGCTGAAAGAAAGAAAATTTATTTTCTTCTCTACAAGCAGGTCATCTAAAACGGTAATAACCTTGCTTGCTGTTCCTGAATATATTATCCCTGACTGTTTCATGTGCACGCATGCACCAAGTTGGATTTTAGACATCACTATGGGTTGCTTCCTCGGTTCCCTTCCCATATAGATGATGCCTCTTACCGTTATATTCTTTGCAAATGGTATATCTGTCACAGCCATGTGAAGATTCAGATACCCACAGTCGATAGTGTATGAGAGCGGCATCAAATTGCTATACTCTGACGATGAATTGCAATCATTTGTTCAATATGCTACAAAACCCAAGATAGTGAATGGGCTGGCAAACGCACGCGAAATAAGATGGGTCACACAAATTAATGTGCTGGGTTATCAAAAGTGAATAAAATAAAGGGCCTCCTAAAAGTAGCCATTTTTTGTACGGCACAAAGGAAAGAGAAGCAATAACTCACTCCTTGCAATGTCTTTTCTGTATTAATCCTACACAGTCCTTTTCTTCATCGCCTTCAATAATCTACACATCCTTAAAAATATAAATGCAGAATGTCTGCTCTACGACCACCGCTCAACAATGAACAGTCTACAAAATCCACAATGTCGGCATATGCACACATTCTCGACGATTTCCCTTCAGATGGAGGAGGGCCACCACAACGACAGTGGAGCATTCGGCAAGCTAACAGCCGACTTGATCAACATGGCTTGCAATCTGCACTGGAAAGCGATCTTAACCTTCAATATCAAGGCAACAATGCCTTACAACAACAGCAAGAGGAAGAAAAAGCTGGTATACCCATGACAGTCTTATCTTCACCCACCAGCCCACAACGCCAATCCAACAATCCCTATTTATCATCACCGCCCATGTCACCCACCAGCAGAAATCTAAAGCACAAGACATACGGTTTTGACGACCCATTTGCAGAAGCGCCCATGGAAGCGTGGCAAGAGATGAAGGATTATAATCTGAGGGCCAACGGCTTACCAACGCTGGATCAAATGATGCGTCTGCGGACACTGACGCCGCTCACGCAATCGAATTTCACAGCTTTTTTGCGCCGGCGTGGCGTGCACCAGAACTTTAACTTTCTGTTAGAGCTGGATACTCACGATAAACTCTGGCATGCACATGTTCAAAGTCTACGACGACAGACGAGATCGAGTGCGGATCGGTTGTCGCGATTCCTAGAGAGCGCAGCCGAAAAGCCAGCAAATACCAAAGATACCATGATGATGATGTATGATCCAAACCACCATCACCACCACCAAGGCAGTAACTATGTGGAAACGCCCGACACCCAAGATCTATTGCGACAGCAACAATATTTTCCATCCACCGAAGAAGATATTGGTCATAGCACAGCAACAGCAATGGGCAGCAACAACAATCATAGTACTACCACGTCGCCATACGCTTCACGCAGTCCTAATGGCAAATCACTCGGTCGCCACGATCTAGAACAGAATGCGACAAGAATATACCGTACTTTCTGCTCACGGCTTGATGCAGCACAGCCAATCCATCTACCCGACGATCATCGTGCTGTTTTGGATGAACTGATTGAAAAACACCATCGACCAGAACCCATCGTGTTCGAATCGGCACGCTCACATGTATTCGAGATCCTCAATGTGTTTTACTATCCGCAATTCGTCGATACGGTCTTGTATTCCAACTTGGCTCAAACCAGCGCGCGTATAGTATTTTTATTTGGACTGATCTTTCTGACGATTGGATTCGCGGTCGAGTTGAGCCTTATCTTTTTGGATCAAGGCACAATGGGAACGCGTTGGTGGGCCATCTTGCCCTTCTTTTTTGGCTGGACTAACTTGCTTGCTGGAATCACGGATTTTGCATGGTGGTTAGCTTTCACAGGCAAAAGGTAAGCAGATTTAGTGAGAGCTAAGGGCACTCTGACAACAGGGCCGGAGGGAGAGAGAGTAAGAGGCAATTAACTAATAACTCTATGATATCTTATTATACCATGGCTCTTCACTGTATCACTTTAAATAAAGTGAAATAAACTTCTTTGCATTTGAGCCAATACAGGACAAGACGGTGCTTCGAATCCATCGCAAGCGGGCAATTATCTGGTTAGCGGCCACAATTGTTCTTGCTATCCTTTCATCCATCATTTTCGTGTTTATCCCTGGAACAAGATTGCGCTCGGCGTAAGAAAAAAAAACGATCCTTTTCTCCTATTCCTTTCCACTATACTATCGCTGGAAAGAAAGATATATTCCCCATCTTTCACACACAGACACTGCACACGTTTCTTATCCTCTTTTTCTTCTCCTTATCTATTTCACTTTCCTTTTATTATCTTCGTTCATCCTTACTGTTTAATATAGTCTCCTTGATATATAATCTTTTTCTTTGCTCCGGTAGCCAAAAAGATGTTGTTAGTGTAGTATCAATTTAATTTTTTAAACAAAAAAAAAGCGATTACTTTCTTTCCCTGCCTCCTTCTTTTTTTATTCATCAAGTTACCAATGTCACTAGATATGTCTATATTTGTACGGCGATCATTCATGCCTCTGCGTAATAAGATTTCTACAGGCAACATTTGCAAACGTATGCTACGTTGTTGTTATGATATGTATCAACACATACGTGCCCGCTGTGACGCAGTTTGATAAATCACTAAAATAAGCCTCTACATATAATAATGGGCAATACTAAAACACTTACTACACTACCAGTCTCTAGACCTGCATAGATTTCATAAATTAACTAGTTAGTTTGAAAAAGTGTGTAGTGGATCCTTGTTGATTCCAGAGCGTCGATTCCCAAATTATGTGTGAAATTTATGAGGAACAAACTTTGTTTGGAAGCCTCTTCCATATTTTTCTTTTGTCTGCTAGCGCGAAAGTTTACAGATTCAAGAGAGTTGAAGGCTTAAAGATGTGAACTAAGTGGGTCAGCTGCACGTATTTCACCGTGAGTTAGTGATGCGGATATCACTAGAGTATGGCATGAGAATTTTTTGATTTGCTGCTGCTGTTGTTGCTCATTGATCTTACAGTATCTAGTAGATAAAGGCATTGGTAAAGTTTATCAGCTCTTCTGCTTACGTCATGTATATTAGCTGCTTTGGTATAGGGTAGTATCGCTAAAGTATTCAAGATAATCTTGGGTCATGCGTCTTTGTGAACACAATGTCTTGGGCGGGTATATATGCTCAAAACAGATTGAAGGAGCGTGTTATATTGGAAAGATCGTGAAGTGACACAGCGATAAAGGTTCTTTATAATGCGTTTATCATATAAGGTCATAATCATATCATAATATATGGGGCACTGACAGAACAAACATGTTTGCTTCTACTTAATGTTAGAACTAGCGCTTATTAATGGTATCTGCAGCTCCTGTACGATTTGGGTTAGTATACATACAACTTTCAGGCACGGAACACCTGTAGTAGATCCTTTTTTCCTTGCTTCCATTTTTATCGCTGATTTCTGCGGCGGCAGTTCAGGTACCATATCTGCCACAAAAGTAAGCGGAGCTGCCTTGCAGTTGTGAAACATTCATGCACTGCTTGAAAACAGCACCCAAGACAATGACAGGCAACTTCTTTAAGTTCGAAAACTTCTTTCTCTATAGCTCTTTTGATTAAAGGTGCACAGTAGCAATATCATAAGAGATTAGATGACGTCACAGCGGGGCTGAATTTCTGTGACGAGCTTTTTTAGCGCGTTTTTTCCAGTGTTTTGCTCTGCACCTTCACCTTCAAAAAAGTGTTTGCTCTGCACCAAATCAACATCTCTCAAAATGTACAGGACAGCAATCAACAATGTAGCCCGCGAAACGACAACAAGTATGTATAGAGAGATTTCGTAGCTTTAGAAGTTGTTAGCACTTTGAAATAGAAACAAACGCTAATTATTATGTCATTTACTTTCATTTTCAAGCATTTACAGGTGGCGGCTTTCTTGCAAAAGAAGCCCGGTTTGCTCGAAACATTGCCACTGAGCTTTATTTCACACAAGAGCCTTCCGAAAGTCTGGGGTACGACTCAAACTGCCCCTGATCAACGGTAAAAAACGTTAGGTAAGAGACGCAGAACACTTTTGAATGGTTGTTTTCTCTTCAATCTTAATTTCTGGTACAGTCTGATTACATGTTCTTAATAATATCTATTTTTTCTTTCTTTTTCATAATTCCAGGCCGCGATGCTGCTTGGGATCACTTCTTCCCTCCCTTTTACTTTTTCTTTTAGGGCATCTCATGTCAGCGGACTGCCCAAAGTGTACAGCGAGTGTGCGGGTTTGAGGGTTGGCCGCCTTTGGATCTGCTGTGCATGGCGGGCTGATATGAGCATGCCTAGTGGTCCTAAACCGTAACCGGCACTAAGTATATGCCCTCTGCGAGTATTCAGAGTAAGCGAGGACGAATCCCTACTTGTCCGGCGACCAGTGGCTGCGAAGCTTTTCTTTATATCTATTTTCCAAGAGCTCCAAGCGTAGCTAGTCCTGCATCTCTGACCGTGGCTGGCTGCTCCTGGGGCATTCTTACACCATTAAGGGAACCTTCTGCTGCTGAGGCACTCGCGTAGTCGTGTACTCCCAAGTGGGTTTGTGGACGCTGGGGAAGGGCTTGCCTCTCAGTTAGTAACTCTCTCTGCGATCATTATTTATTACATTCACCTTTTTTTTACACCCTCTTCTTCTTCAACGATGACGCGGTCCCGAGCAGCGGTGCGTCTTTAACTGCGAGGGCTGTTGTCTGGTGGACTTATCAATGAAGAGAGCAGGTATCATTGAAAATGGGGAGGGTGGATGGAGTGGGATGATATGCTAATTAGACAAAAATTACGCTTGCGTGGTTTTCTCTTTTTCTTGTAGTAGCAGGAACCGCACCTTTGGACAAGTGTTACATTTGGCTGGACAGCGAAAAGTTGATGTGTCCTGGGCCGCCATGCTGGCGAACGCGGGGCTAACTAAATCCGTGTCGTTAAAGTGAGCGTGTGTGCCGAGTAGTGGATGGGGTGCGGGGTAATGTGGGCTAACATGTTCCTTATTGTGAAATCAGAAGTGATTGACTATTCATTGATAATGTAGGCGCTTGATACTTAATGCTTCCACGTCGTCAAAAAATAAATGTTTATAACTTGATGCTCTTTAAAATCTTCAAGCGCTGTGGAAAAGCATTCAAAGTCTTCTTAAGGCTTTTATAAACAATAAATTACCATCTTGGATTTTCATACACGTGCTTGATGTTTTACCGGGTCTAGGTCCCGATTGTCCTAGTTTTTACACGATACATTCATCTTGTTTATCTACTATTAAAAGAGAAGTGGTGCTTACTATAGTTACCCATTTTTGGAAATCCTGATCCTGTTTTGGAAATTGTGATGCTGCTAAGCCCCGGCTGTCAGTATATTTTTTTTTGGCGCTAAAACTGGGATAAACCACTGCTCTTCCCTCACCTTTTCCTTCTGCCCACTGAATTCTTACACCACTATTTTCTCTTTTAAAATGAGTTTGCAACAAGTATGACACCGCATATTAGATTCTTCTTAGAAGATCTGACAACATTGTTCAGCGCGCAGCGCGCATTAGTTTCAAATGAACAATCGTTTTGAGTATTTTGAGTATAAAGCAAATAATAACCATATATTTCCCGCTTTAACAGAGTGACCAAGACCAAATAAACGTGCTTACCTGTATTTGTGGCTCAACTAGCCATTTGACCGAAAGTCATCACGATTGTCCTTTGAATGAGCGTAACGTACGCCGTAGAATTGATAATGATGTATGTTTGTTATCTTTAATAGCGTGTTTGGCGGCTATAGTTATTAGAAAACAAGCAAAGCGAGTTTGCTCAGGATTTAGATAGAGGCGCTGGAGGGGGGGTGTGGGCAGTTTTGGGGAAACGCCCCACAGGAGGATCTGTGGGAGGGAACATCTTACAAATCGTCTACAAGATATCGTCTTCAAGATGTATTTCTTTGTCGGTTGTTTCTTAACACTAATTGTATATATGTAGGACATGAATATTGTCTTTGAGCAGTTTGATTCTCATACAAGTCAGCGCCAACGTTGCCGTTGTAGGTCCACCACACATCAGCGAGTAACGCATCGCGATTGCCCCCTTAATCGGAACAATCAAGGTATAGAATCTAACCATGCAGTATCTAGAGCTATGTGTGTTGTGTATTTGTGAAGCACATTACTTATGTGTGCATTGTAGGGAATGTCCGTGTCTGCGCGAGCTGTAATGCGCCTGGCCACTCTCGACGAACTTCTGAAGACTGTCCTTTCAATGATGCAAACATCCGATCTGAGCATGGGGCACAGTATCAAATAGCGTGCACTGTTCCTTTCGTTCCTGAAGATGTGTTTGGCCCCAGCATTTGTTTTACACTGGGAGAAAACTTTCACCGACATGTGCTTTCTCGCATGGCTGCTGTTTGTACGTTTTGTCAGGCACGTATGTGGATTGAGGAGCGTATTGCCAGCTCTTCAAACTCAAACCCACGTTTCAGTATTTGCTGCACTCACGGAAAAATACAGTTACCTATCCCTCGCCCTCCGCCACAAGAAATCATCGACCTGTTGACCAGCGGAAACGACGATTTCTTCACTAACATTCGCGCTTATAACAACATGTTTGCATTTGCGTCCATTCGAGCAAACTATGATCGCAATTCAGCTGACGGATCGCAAGGTGTTTCAACTTTCCGCATAAATGGCACGATGTACCATTGCATGGGTGCTTTACGACCAGAGCAGCAGCAATCAGCCAACTTTGCTCAAATATATTTTGCCGATACGCAAGAGCAACTGATGAGAAGACAGACGTTGTTCACTGGACTCAACAGTGAGACGATAGCTGTGCTTCAGGGCGTTATGGAGAGATGCAACCCGTACGCACAGACCCTCATGAATGCTGCTGAATCGTACCGTGACACCCCTATCGGAACACTCCAAGTTGTCATTCGTTCTGCGCGTGAGATGGGTAGACGCTACGATCAGCAAAGTTATCCCGAAGTCGCTGCAATGATCGTCGAAGACACAGTGGATGGTGCATCATCACCGCATGACATTATCATCCGCGATCGTCAGTTGGGTCTTCGAACTGTCAGTTCCCTCCATCCATCGTATATGCCCCTCCACTACGTGCTTATATTTCCGTTTGGTGATGATGGTTGGTTTGCTGGAATGCAGTGCGGAAGTGCCGACCGTCAGACTAATACTGTTACGTTGCTCGAGTTCTGCTCCTATATGCTCATGGTCCGTGACGGGGACCGCACGAGCTACCAGCACCACTATCGTCGTCTTTTCCAACAATTAGTTGTTGACAACTATGCACGCATCGAGTATTCGCGCCTTCAGTATATTATCAACAATCAAAGTGATTTACGTTCTGAGGTGTACAACGGTATTGGTGATGATGTAGATCCACGTCAGATTGGTCGATCAATTATTTTGCCATCTTCTTTCACAGGGGGTCCACGGTACATGAAGCAGATGCTCCAGGATGGATTGGCAATCATTCGTCAAAGAGGCAATCCCACACTCTTCATCACTTTTACCTGCAATCCACAATGGCCGGAAATCCAAGCTGAACTTCTTCCAGGTCAGCAGGCGTTTGATCGCCCTGACATATGTTCCAGGGTGTTCCATATGAAGATCACTGAGATGCTATCTCATATCAAAGAGTCCAGTTGCTTTGGTCGCGTCGAAGGTTATGTGGCAACTGTTGAATTTCAGAAACGTGGCTTACCACATGTCCACATCCTACTTATCTTGCACCATGAAGACCGTCCTCGCAATCCTTCTGATTACGACCGTTTTGTCTGTGCTGAGTTGCCAGATCCTGTCACACAGCCTCAACTTTACGCCACAGTGACAAGGTCAATGATACATGGCCCATGTGGAAATTCTAAACCTGATGCTGTTTGCATGAAAGACGGACGTTGCTCTCAAGGATATCCAAGTCATTTGTTATTGAAACGCGTGTGAGCAGAGATGGTTATCCGATCTATCGCAGATGTGAAAACCTTCATCGTCGCCACCACTTCCACCGATCCAACTTTGTTGCTGACAATTCTCACATCGTACCATATAACCCGTACCTGTGCCAAAAGTACAATGCTCATATCAATGTCGAGATCTGTACCTCTGCACGTGCTATCAAGTATTTGTGCAAGTACATCACCAAAGGATCAGACAGAGCGCAATTGGAGACTGTTAGAGCTGGGCAGCCAGAAGCAGTGCGATCTACTACTGCTGTTGTTGGAGCCGTGCTGCTACGTATGGAAATGCTGAGCGCGAGCCGGTAGACGAGGTGACACAATACCAGAATGCACGGTATATCGGCCCATGCGAGGCAATTTGGCGTACCTTCGAATATCAAGTACATATGCATCATCCCTACGTCTCCCGGTTAGAATTGCATCTTCCTGACCAGCAATCTGTCACTTTCCATGCAAACGATTCGCGTGTCGGTCTTGCAGCCGCACGTAACAACGCATCAAGAACAAAACTTACCGCTCTTTTTGACCTTTGCTCCCGCGATGAACAGGCTCGACAGTATCTTTACACTGAGATTCCTTGCCACTATACTTGGGATAAAGGAAATAAGACATGGATCCGCCGCACCCGCCCACCATTTCAAAACATTGTTTCTCGCATTTACTTTGCATCACCGTCCAATATGGCGCTGTACTCACTTCGATTGCTGCTGCTCACTGTTCGTGGTCCTACCAGTTTTGAGTCTTTAAGAACGTTGGGTGATGTGGTGCATCCATCCTTTGAAGCTGCTGCTCTCGCGCGTGGTTTGCTCGAGTCTGATGACGAGTGGGATCGCTGCATGACTGAGGCGGCTATCCATTCTCCTTCAGCTGCATCACTTCAAGCTTTTGTGTATATCCTTACAACTGCTCACCTTCCAATCCTCGCAGACTCTGGGATAATCATCGCGAAAGAATGAGCGATGATTATTTTTTTCAAGTACACTTTCAGCTTCCGAACAATGAGACCGAGTTGGTGCCTGGGCAATGGAACGAAGTATTCCAGCGTACTCTTGGTGACGTTGAGATGAGGCTCCAATCTACAGGTCATCACTTAACCGAGTTCCCTTCTTTGCCGCAAGATTTCGTGACTGAGCTCGATGCTCTTCCGCAGCTTACTGCTTTAGAAGCAGTCGAGCGTGGAGAGTATGTCACAGAAGAACAAACACGAATCTACGATGAGCTATCCAGTCACTCAACGACGACCAAAGACACGCATTCGACGCAGTCATGCAAGCAATCAACGAACCAGGTGACCTCGACCAGTCACACCTTTTCTTTGTCAATGGCCCTGGAGGTACAGAAAGTCTCAGCTTTTCAAGGCGCTATTGAGTCGTGTTCGTTCGCAGAGCAAATTGCGCTGCCTGTTGCATCCTCTGGCATTGCTGCAA